AAAGGACAGTAATATATTCAATTAACATGGGTTTATGAAAAACAGATCCTGTGAAACTAACTTAATACCTTTTCGATGAGATTACAAATTTGGTTGATAAAGGTAATAGTGTTGGTGTAATGTATTTAGATTTCTGTAAGGCATTTGACTTAATGCCATGCAACATTTCGGTTAAAAATTGGAACAATATAAAATTAACATGACAGCCATTAAGTGGATTAAAAACTAGTTAACTGAAAGATCTCAAAATGTAACTATAAATGGGGAATTGTCATTGAGCAGGTGTGTTTCTAGTGTGTTCTACAGGTTCTTGGACCGACACTATTTAACATTTTTATCAATGACCTAGAAGAAAAGAAAATCATTATGGAAAAAGTGTTCAGATGACACAAAAATTGGGGAGTGGTAAATAATGAAGAGGACAGATCACTAATAAAGAGTAATCTGGATTGCTTGGTAAGATAGGCACAAGCAAAAAATATACATTTTAATATGGTTAAATGAAAATGTATACCTCTAGAACAGTGGTGGACAACCGGTGGCACATGGAAGCTTATGCTCAAATAAATTTGTTAGTCTCTAAGGTGCCACAAGTACTCCTTTTCTTTTAGCAGTCACTTAGTATTCTAAGTCAAATGTTAATGAAGAGTTCATGGAGACTTCGGAAAGAAACTGATAGGAAAAGGTAAACAGTGGATGGGGGGACCCTTTGCTGAGGTGTACATCAAAGGTCTATTCTGGTATATTTGGGGGTGCAAACAGACACGTTGGCATTTTTCACATAGGAAGTAAACTGACAGAAAGTTTGCTTCATAAAAAACGGGATCTCAACCAGGCTTGGATGAAAATGCTGACGAGAACTTTGGGTGAGATAAACTTCTTTAGACAGGAAGATAACTTGTAGTTAAGTTTGGGCTTTAGAATGTGTGTTATGATGTTGTCTTATATGTAAACATTTATTCTGATCTATTAGACTAGTTCTTATTTGAGTTTCTGTAATTTCTTAAATAAGTTTCCTTTTGTTTTATAATTCAACTCCAATGCTATGTGTAATAGAGGAGCAGTGGTTTAAGGCAGTGGTTCTCAACCTTTGGTCTTCAGACCCCAGGGGGTCTGCAGACAGTGTCTAAAGGTTCTGCAAAAGGTTGTTACCACCATAGAACAGTGGTTTTCAACAGGTGGTCTGCAGACACCTACGGTCCACAGACTATGTCTAAGATTTCCAAAAGGGTCTGCACCTCCATTTGGAATTTTTTAGGGGTCTGAAAATGCAAAAAGATTGAAAACCACTGGTCTAAGGTAAAACTGGTGAACTGTAGTACAGTGTTCCTTTGGGAACAGAGGATCTGGGATTTCTGTGGATATCCAGTGATCAGGGCTGGATACCACAGCGTGACACTTGGAAGATGTGAATGCACAGAGGCAACTCTTGAAGAGTACTAGTAAGTAAATCCTTCTTTTCTGCACAAAGTGTGGCCCCAGAAGGATTTCTTGTCCTGCTACCTGTGCTATTTAGAAGTGCTAGGACAAATCAGGAAAGTTAACTCTGATACAGAAACAATTGAATTACTAGCTTGGAACTATCTGGGGCTGAGGTAAACCTTTTATCAACCTACATGGCAAAGAAAGGCCTGGCGCAGCCCAGAGGCAAGTGCTTAAGTGACAGGCTGGTTGTGTTGGGGAGCTAACACCCCATTAGCACAGACAAAACTCCCTTGCTCTTATTGGAAACACTGTGGAAGTCAACAGTGCTTTCTGGCATAGGGAACACAGCCCACAAAATCTGGGTGCAGATGCTACAGCTGAGACAGTCATAATCCTTTCAGAAACATTTTAGGTATCTCTCATGTTTTTCGTAATGAACATCTTGTGACCACACTCATGACAATTTTTAAAAAGCCACTAGCTAACTTTTTCTACATGCTGAAATCCTGAAGAATCAAGGGGAGGGGAAAATAGACCCAAGAAAACAATATAAAGGCTATGATATATACCAGCATTAAGATTTAGGAAAAACCGTGGGAGATGAAAGAAATTTCAGCAACTAAAACTCCGTGATGCACCAAGACCAGCCTGCCTCCGAGTGCATAGTTTCATTTCACCTTTTGGAAAATACTGCATGGGAAAAGTAAAATGAGTGAAAAGGGGTAAAAATCTAAGATTAAATAATGGAGAATTAGTGAATGATGCCCTAACTTTGCTGTGACAAAGTAGTATCAGGGACACAGGGGAGCTCCTTCGCCCTTAATAGTAAGAAAGAAAATGAGAGTTGTAAGCTATTATACCTCCTCAGAAGGGATAAGGAGATGGCTTGTATAAAAAGTTTAGAAATCTAGCTAGGAGAATTGCTGCCAGTCCCACATCATTAATAATAATAAAATATTGTAATACTTTGCTTTTCAATAGGTCTTATAATTCAAGGATTTCAAAGCAATTTCCAAACAGTTACTTAATCGTCACAGTACATCACTTCATTAGAGAGGAGAAACTGAAGCACCTGGAGTTTGCGACTTGCCCACTGTCACATAGCAAATCAACTGTCAGGGTGCAGGGAACTACACTTGCTGCCCCCATTACACACTTCTGGAGAAAAGTAGTGTTTTGCATACCAACATTAACTGCATATATTATGGACAAATGTCAACCAAAAGAGGGATGTGTACGTGATAATTCTGCTAGCCAGGTGGACAAAGAATTAACAAACAGCACAAAATGAAGATGGTCCCTGTTTTGTTACACTCACAATATTCATAAATTAAGCACGTGAGCTTTGGAAAAAGACCATACCTCTCATCAGGCTATAGAAAGAGAATGTGTTAACCATAAATATAATAGCAAGATGCCCCTTTGTTTGTAATCTTAGAAATTAATTATGAGGTCTGAATCAACTCTCACTACATGTTCTGCCCCATTGTGTTTCATTCCCTTTGCATCTCGCTTTATGGAAAAAAGTGATTCTGAGGCTCTCACCTATTTCAGTTCGAATTAGTCCAGCTAACTGAGTTCTTTTTGTTAGTATTCTAATTTAAAACAGAAAATAACCTACCTTTCTTTATTTGAGAAATCCAGTTAAGAAAATATCCATGTGCCATATCATCCCATTTTATGGAATACTGTTCTGACCACTCCACAGAGTTTATTTTGGGGGGTATATTGCTAATTTTTATAGTTCACCTATGGTATAAACACAACTTTAATTATTGTTTCTTGTCAAAGGACAGTAGTTGTACTCTCTGTAATTATATATACTTGCAGTATTTTATTAAATCACTAGATGTCACTGTGGGCTGTACAGAGTTCCAGACAATATATGACCCTTTATATATAAAGCTAGATTAGACAAACTCAGGCTGTGTAAGGTTTCAGAGTAACAGCCGTGTTAGTCTGTATTCGCAAAAAAAGAAAAGGAGTACTTGTGGCACCTTAGAGACTAACCAATTTATTTGAGCATAAGCTTTCGTGAGCTACAGCTCACTTCATCGGACGCATACTGTGGAAAATACAGAAGATGTTTTTATACACACAAACTATGAAAAAACGGGTGTTTATCACTACAAAAGGTTTTCTCTCCCCCCACCCTACTCTCCTGTTGGTAATAGCTTATCTAAAGTGATCACTCTCCTTACAATGTGTATGATAATCAAGGTGGGCCATTTCCAGCACAAATCCAGGTTTTCTCTCCCCCCCCCGGCCCTCCACAAACCCACTCTCCTTTTGGGTAATAGCTTATCTAAAGTGATTACTTTCTTTACAATGTGTATGATAATCAAGGTGGGCCATTTCCAGCACAAATCCAGGGTTTAACAAGAACGTCTGAGGAACAGTGGGGGAAGGAATAAACAAGGGGAAATAGGTTACTTTTTATAATAACTCAACCATTCCCAGTCTCTATTCAAGCCTAAGTTAATTGTATCCAATTTGCAAATTAATTCCAATTCAGCAGACTCTCGTTGGAGTCTGTTTTCAAAGTTTTTTTGTTGAAGAATAGTCACTTTGAGATCAGAAATCGAGTGACCAGAGAGATTTGAGTGACCAAAAGTGTTCTCTGACTGGTTTTTGAATGTTATAATTCTTGACATCTGATTTGTGTCCATTTATTCTTTTACGTAGAGACTGTCCAGTTTTCCCAATGTACATGGCAGAGGGGCATTGCTGGCACATGATGGCATATATCACATTGGTGGATGTGCAGGTGAACGAGCCTTTGATAGCGTGGCTGATGTTATTAGGCCATGTGATGGTGTCCCGTGAATAGATATGTGGGCACAGTTGGCAATGGGCTTTGTTGCAAGGATAGGTTCCTGGGTTAGTGGTTCTGTTGTGTGGTATGTGGTTGCTGGTGAGTATTCGCTTCAGGTTGGGGGGCTGTCTGTAGGCAAGGACTGGCCTGTCTCCCAAGATTTGTGAGAGTGTTGGGTCATCCTTCAGGATAGGTTGTAGATCCTTGATAATGCGTTGGAGGGGTTTTAGTTGGGGGCTGAAGGTGACGGCTAGTGGCATTCTCTTATTTTCTTTGTTAGGTCTGTCCTGTAGTAGGTGACTTCTGGGAACTCTTCTGGTTCTATCAATCTGTTTCTTCACTTCCGCAGGTGGGTACTGTAGTTGTAAGAATGCTTGATAGAGATCTTGTAGGTGTTTGTCTCTGTCTGAGGGGTTGGAGCAAATGCGGTTGTATCACAGAGCTTGGCTGTAGACGATGGATCGTGTGGTGTGGTCAGGGTGAAAGCTGGAGGCATGTAGATAGGAATAGCGGTCAGTAGGTTTCTGGTATAGGGTGGTGTTTATGTGACCATTGTTTATTAGCACTGTAGTGTCCAGGAAGTGGATCTGTTGTGTGGACTGGACCAGGCTGAGGTTGATGGTGGGATGGAAATTGTTGAAATCATGGTAAATAGTTCATACTATGTTTTATTTGACATTGAAATTTGTAGATCTAGAAAATCTTCAAGACTATAAAAGGAATAATCATGTCTACCAGTATATTTTATTTATGTTAAGTATACATATATGCAGGGATTGTGAAACAGACTATTATTTTGGTAAGAGAAAGCAATGTTGGCCTAAGATTTTATTTATTCCAATTGCATAATTTTATTAATATTAGATATATTATTCAATCATTTTATCCCATTAGGCAACAGCATGCTCATCTTGCTCCTGGTTATCAACAGATTCTTTTGTATCACTCATTCGAGTTACAATAGGTAAGAAGTGATCTTGGTTTTTTTTCTTGACATAGAAATAGGCTGCACTTCCAGATCCTGCTAGAATCAAAATGACCAGAATAATTACAAGCCAAGTGACCTTGGTGGAGGATCCAGAAACCTCTTCATCCTTTTCCTCTCCTGTAAATAAACGCAAAGCAATTCCTAGACACCAGAATGATATGAGAGATTCCAGGAATGTGGAAGTTGATATTGCTAATCACAGTTTTAAAAATCAAGTTATGAACATATGTATATGGAGATATTTTGCTAACAGAGATGAAGGAGAAGTATAATAAGTTATATTAAACACCACAATTAAAAATGAAAGCCAATTTTCTGTATTTAGATACAAATAATGCATATGGATTTATTATTTTTAAATGCTATCAGTAATAATTATACTGTCCAGAAACTTACTTTAAATAATTATTATGCTTTTACTCTATTTAGGTTTCTCCTTACTTTAATTAGAAAGAAAATAATCATACCTTTCCTCTCTGGTGGCTTCTCAGTCAATACTGTTTTAATACCTTTCAAAAAGAAATAAAGCAAGATTTTCATTCCAGATACACTCACATGGATGGTCCTGATGGTGCCATCCCATAAGCATGAAAAGCTGAGGCTTCCACATACTCTGCTTTTGGTGCTGCTGAACTTCCTTAAGAGATGGAGCTAAGAATGTGTGAAGCTCAGAACGCTTGGCTGTCTAATTCTGGTAAGTATCAGACTCTCTTCAGTTGAGATATGGGCAGGAAATCAGGATCTTGCATGATTTCAATACTTCCTGCATCAGACTCCAGCACAGGAAAGCACCTTAGCATGGTCTTATCTTTAAGCATCTCTCTATGGGTCTTGAGCACATGCTTAAGTGCTTTCTAAAATTGGAGGCTTGCCTGAATGGACGCCTCCATTGGCTTAGAAATACCACAGGAGTATCTTTGCTCACAATACTAGGGTATTTCTGTTTCCTAAAAGCACCAGGTAGTGCAAAGATGCACAGAAATATAAAAATGTGAAGTTAACCACACTTTTCTAACCCCAAAAAAATTTTATTTATGTTCTAAGAAGTCCAGTTGTTTCTCTTATTTAATTTAACTTTCATCATCCCTATATTTCCCCCAAAACTATTCTAATACAAAGTAGTCAAATTTTTAATAAACTTATTTATCAATACCTCACATACAAGTTTTCTAAAATTCATTTGAATACAATTCCCTCACATGTAGGATGATGTGAAGGAAATCAATTTACATAAATTAGAGGGACACTTTTAATTAAAGGGAGACTGTCCATCACAAAAATATTTTTATATATATTTAAGATGAGGTGAAACTAAACTTGTTACTTCTAAACCCATTGTGTATTTTTTAAATCTATCTCTTTAATCAATGGAATTTTTTTTAACATGATAAAATCTCCTTTAATGAAGTGATCTTTGACTTCACCTTCAATATGTATGGTTTTATATATTTTATATATATATAAACACACACACAATATCTTAATACTAATATCTTACTATACAAGCCCTATAATACTTCACATATTTAAACACCCATATACACATATAACAAACCACAATATATTCAAATACACTTACTTTTATTTCAAATATACCTCTTTTAAAACATACACCATACCAAACATACACACCATACATAAACCCCCCAACATAAAAACATCACCCCAAACACACCAATAAAAAATATAAATTTGAAAGAAATTGAAAAGAAATTTAAAAACCAAATAGAAATATCAACAGATCGACCCCAAATTTTAAAACTCCTTCATTCCCACAAATTTTTATTAACACCAAACCAAGACTACACTACTTACAAATCTAGTAATACCCCCCTTCTCTCCATCCAATTAATTTACTTAGATTTTTTCAGGGAAATGTGTTATAGGACAGACAGATCATATTGAATGTTTATGATAATATATAATTACAAACTTATGTCTAGAAATACAATTAGGAATCAAACAAAATATTTCAATAATTATTTCCCATTTTAAGTATGAAGAAAAACTGTGATATGTGTATGCAATAATTGTTGGGAAAAAATGTCTTTATGTTGCTCATATACTCACATAGCATTTATTCTTGTCTATCTCCCTTCCATATTTTCAGTGTGCTATTTATCTTTCTGACTTCATCCCCCCCATATCCTGCTTTCCTCACAAGCAGATCTAAATTCCTATTGGTTATTACAGATTAATGAGTCATTTGAAAAATATCCATCTTCTAAGCAAGGCTGGCACTTTAATCTGGACCTGGATTGTTGCCAATAGGAAAATCTTAAAGTGAGCAGAAATTTTATTGACAAAAAGCACAGTACAGGTAAAACGTAAAGAACCAAATATTTTTTTTAAAACATTCAGGAGACTATTGGGGGATAAACTAACCTCCAAGACCTTTAAAATAAGATAAAAGGCGATAATGTTAAGGTAGGGGAAAACTAGGTAAGGAAAATAACTGTTATAGACACTATAAACACTTTAGTTAAGTGCTGTAGCATATAAATAATTAAAATACATACTCAAAAGTAAAGTCCTAATACTGTTTTATATGTTTAACTTCCAAGTATGAAATATACCCATGTGTCTATTTATATTATTGAATACGAAAGTTAAGAAATACTCACTTTTTGCTCTTCTGTCCAAAGCGCTTGTTTTACTTTCAAGGCTTTTGCTATGTGACAGAAAGAGGATTACATGGTCTTCTATAGAAGCCAAATGGACTGAAAAAGATAACAAGCAAATGAAACAAACGCCTTTTGGGGAAACTCTTTTCTAAGTTTTATGAACAACTGAAAGCAATTAATTCTTGAGGCTGTGTCATATCACTGATTTTTGCACAAAACACCACTGTCGAATGGGGTTCGTGGGGTCAATGGCCATCGCTCTTGCTTGCTTGTTAGTGTAAAATTACCCTTTTCCTCGTGACTAAATTACATATATTTGTGTAAATCATTCTAGAGGTTTATTTTTAACACACTTGCAGATAAAAGCCTTTATCTCATTTTTGCTTTTGCTCACCTTTTGCCGACTTGCGCTCGGATTTTGTGCCTTTGGATTAAATTGTTATTAAACACTCAGAAATATAATGCCTGATATTTAATCCATTATAAAATCTGGCTAGAAGACAGAAATATACTGGAACAATTAAGCAAACATGGGTGGGTTAGGGATTACCATCTAGGCAGAGTCTTTATGAGTTATCCTGGCGTTCTCCCGACTTACCTGGTGGGGTTAGGGCTTCTCCTTCCTCCCCCCCTTTCCCTTCTCTGCCACGCGGCGCTGGGAGGGGGACGAACTTCCACCGCTGGGTGACTTAACACCTGATTTCTAATGCATGAAAACTAGACAGTGAAACTAATCAATCTAGTTTTGTTGTCCAAGGTGTGTAAATATATAAAAAGCATTAACACTGAAAAAATCAATTTGTTTTTTTAATGATCTAAAGTTTGATTACTATTTTTTGAAAAATATTATTTCTACATGTATCTAAGTCTTCACTCTTTAAAAAAGAACCACTAATCGGGCATTCTGGGAGCCTGGGCGTTTCTTGTATACGGGACCTGTGTGCTGACGGTAATGAACCCGGTTCTGTTCGGGCCTTCCAAAGTTGTGAGATCGTGGGGCTATAACTGTTAAGAATGAAATTCTTACCAAATTTCCTTCTTCTAGCGTGTCTCCCTATTCTGGAATCTGGGGCTTCTGCGCTCACGGTGCGTGTTTTGGTACCTCCTTGCTGACCGCCCCTGTTGCGCTTGTGCCGGTTGTTCCGGGCTGTAAAACTTGCATAACAGCATTATTAATATTCTAGAAGTAACAAAATAACTACGTTAGACCAAGGAAGATGGCTAACCACTTAATATAGACCAGACATGAGCCCGAGTGGGTAGAACATGGGAAACACTGCTGCGAAGAAATATCAGTAAGAATTTTCCATTATGCAGCCTAGCCTCCCACAATCTGGATGTCTGGAAGTAGTGGCGAAATTTTGGTAGAAAAAACCCCCTTTTGGAGCTTGCCAAAAGATTTTTCGGGCCCCTTCGCCTCCTGCGGGTTACGTGGAGGGTCCCTTGTAGACTATGGGTTTCCGATAGACCGGGCGTTTCAAATTTCCGAGGGAGCACTTGTTGTCCGTGGCTGGGGGTGCTCGGGACGGGCCGTTGTAGGCTTCCCAACACGGCCCTTTGGGGCTGCGGCCGGCCTTGGGGGGGCATGGGACCCCCTCGTCTGTATGCTTGGTGTTTCAGACTTGGACCTGGTGTGACACTTCTGGTTGTTTGGACGAACAAACAACCCTGGGAAGTATGGAGGTTAGCTGGGGGGGAAACGCTTTGGGACTGGGGGCTGGTTGTAGGCGCAGCCCCAAACCTATCTGGCACCTAGAACTGAACTGAATATAAGGGTTGGAAGGGACCCCATTACGTCCAACCCCTGCTCAAGCGGACCAAACCCGTAAACATCCCAGCCGGGCTTTGTCAAGAAACCCTGCACCACCCCAGGTACCAATCCCCTTAGTGAAAATTTCCTAATATCCAATCTAAACCCCCCACTGCACGACCAACCTCGTTCTGCCTGCCCGAACTCTGCCTTGGAACCCCTTCGGTGTTGGCCTCAAACCCCCCTCCCGCGGCAACACCCGCCCTCGCCCCCACTCGTGTTCCGCCCTAATCTTTTTGCTTCGCTGGACCTCTCCATTTATCCCTCCTTCTTGAAGTGTGGGGCCCAAAACTGGACACGTACTCCAGATGAGGCTCACCAATATCGAATAGAGGGGAACACACGCCTCGATCTGCCGTGCCCCTACTTATACATCCCAAAGCCTGGCCTTCTTGGCAACAGGGCCCTGCGACTATCCGCCGCCCGCACCCCTAGGCCTTTTCCGCAGAACTGCGTAGCCTTGGCCCTGTCTGTGCTGTGCATTGGGTTCTTCCGTCCTAGTGCGGACCTGCCTTACCTTATGAACTTCGTCTTGCCCAACCTCCATTGTCTAGGTCCTGATCCTACCCTCCTCCAGCGTATCTACCACTCCTCCCGTTTGTGGGAGATGACAGAACTAAAACAAGCTTAGTTGATAAATAAAGGCTGACATTGAAGTCAGGGCTCAGAGAGGCTTGTCAGGCCCCAACACTAGTGGGGTTTCATTTTGGGAGGGGCTGTACGTCTAGCTATTAGACTGGAGGACGCTGCTGCGGGGGCCTGGAATAGCTGCCTTAAGAGCGGCTAGGTTGGGTGATGTACAATGGTGCAAGGGCTGGTGCAGTGCTGGGCTGGTGTCTGCTTCTTAGGCGAGGTTGGACGTCTGGGAACACCTGGCCGGCACCGTTGTTGACGGGACGGGTTTGGGAACTACTGAAAGCGCTTGATGCTGGAGACGTGGGAGACTCCCTCAGCCGCTGTTCGCTGGCGTCGGTCCGTGAAGGGGACTGCAAGGGCTGGCCCCTGCTGGGGGGTCCGTGTCTGCTACGGTTTGAGAAACAGGTCCTGGTCGTGGGGTTATCAGTATTACCATCGCCGCCTGATCTGGACCCCTCCCGTAGTGGCAAGGGGAAAGCGCTGGGCCCTGCCAACTGCAAAAAACACTGCTCCAGGACGGGCCCCTTGTGAGTATTTTGGCCCTCTACTATGAGAACGTTGTTTGAGGGGCAAACACTGAACATGAGACTGAAAATGTTCAGGCAAACTTAGGTTGGAACCTGCCTTAGTTCGGCCCCTTTGGGGACACTGGGGAAAGAGGATGTTCTGCTACATTATTATTTCCACAGCTTTCGTTTGTAGTGCCAAACCCTTTGTTCCCCCCTTGATTTTTTAAATATGCAACTGTAGTCAGGACAGGGTTCCTACTTAGGATGGACTGGAATCTTTGTTGAGCAGCCACCCCTCCCTAGGGGTCCGGAGCTTCCCGGCTATAGTCCCGGTTGTTTGGTTTCAGGGGCTTGCCCTTGAGGCTGGCATTGGTTGTGAAGACTAAAAGATCTGGAAGGCAGATGGGGATGCCTTTGTGGACATGGTAATGGGCTGACTATCACTGTAAGGTGTTGAACACCTGTGCTGGAACGTAGACCGTGTTCCAGGAGGACCCCACCTTTAGTATAGGCTAAAGTTATGATGTGTGATACTTCATGGCGACCATGTACTGACAAAGCCTAGCGTTGGAGGCTGGGTTGGCCTAGGCCTGGAGCAAGAAAATAAATTCCTGGATGGAGCCAGAGAACTTTTCTTGGCACTGGTGATGAACCCTTGTGGCTGGAGGAGATTCAACATCCTAGACATGGTCCTGTGTGCTGCTGATTGCAATGGAGCTGTGATCAGAATGTTGTCCAGGAAGGGGTACGGTGAGCCCTGTGACTGACCGGCTGTTATCACACCACCCTTCACCACTCTCGCCTTGGAGGTTGGAATGGCTGACCCCTGGTGACAAGAAGAAGAGATGGGGAACCGGAACTCGAGAAAACAGTTACACTCCCAATCCAGAAGAGAGTTTCATTCTGGATCAGATTGTTTAAAGGACCTGGATGATGGCAGTGGGGAGCTCGGGGACCCGGACCCGCTGGGTCAGAAAACCCTCGAAAACGAAACCGTCCCCTAGCTTCAGCTCTGGGTGGGGCCCGCGACCGCTCGTGGTGGGGGGGGCCGAACCCCCCGACTCATCCGTTCCAGGGGAACTTGCTCCAGGAACTGTGGAGAGGGCAAAGGGGGCTGAATGCGGGACGGGCAAGGGAGGCTGGACAACCGGGCGACAGGTTGGAACCCAAACGACAGGCACAAAAACCCGCGAGGGGGATTGGAGAACAAACACAAAATACTTATCTAAATGAATGGGTTTTTCTATGGCAAGGGGTAATTGGGCCCATATTATTTATTTTATTATTATTTTATTTTGCAGATTGATTAAATGGGCCAAGTAGATTTGGGAGTGATTGTTTAGATAAATGATAAAAATAACTAGAAAAGGTATAATTTTGTTTAGTTTTGTTTTCTTTGATCTTCAAGGGTTTTTGATTTGGGGCATTATTTTTTTGGTGGGGGGAGGGAGAGGGTATGGGGATTTTTAAAAAAAGGGGGGAAAACTCTTTTTATATTTTTTTCCACTGGGAGCAAATGATCTTCTCTCACTTAAAATGAAAATTAAAAACTGCAAAGAAAGTGTTACGGTTAAAAATGAAAATTTTTCATAATAAGGCTTTAAAGTAAAAGTGTTACTTTCTCTCTCACCTTTTCCTCTCACCTATTCAGTGGGGGGAAACAGTAAAAAGCTGAGAGAAGGTGGGAATTTCCACACAATTTTACAATGAAAAATTTCAAATATGCCAAAAATTCCTTTTCCCCCCAAAAAATTTTAGTTTATTTTTTTTTGAAAAAACATTTAGTTGTAAAAAAAAGGAGGGGGGGGAACTATTTGACAAAACCCATTTCTCACTGAAAAATATTTTTTAGAAAAATTTAAGCCAATTCTAAACTAAACATAACTATTAATATTGTCCCTCACTGTAGAGCAATATGATTTTATTTATGTCCAGGAACTCATATAATAAAAGATTTAATCAATTAAACAATTTTGTTTATTTTGAAGAAATGTTTGCATTCGCTTGCAGTTCGAGGTCATGTAGAGTATACTTCTGAGCTCCATTACCCTGGACAGATGCTGAAATAACCTACGTGTAGAGCATGATGATTGCTCAGGTCCAAAGGAACTGAAGAGTGACCTTAATAGTGAGTAAACTGATTGGCTTCTGGGAAGAATTTTGAGTTTTTAGAACTTGATAGCCTCTAAATCTTGTATTATGGTTTAGGATTGGGTTCTTTTCCGAATGCTTATAATACAACTCATCAGTGAATTTAAATGAATCTCCAGGCTCCACAATTCAAATTGTTAAATTTTATTGCTTACCATCAGACTGTTTACAGACAGAGAAGAATTTTTGATCACAAGATGCTGTTTTCCAGGTTCCATCAAGGTCTAGATAGACACAAGGTATTGTCTGCTTTGGCTCGTCACTGGCCCACTTAGAATAACACATTCTCCATTTATCCATCCATTTGTAATTGCCATTGGTCTGGAAGCAAAATCAATTCAAGGGTGGCTTTTAGCATAATTATAGCATTATATAGTATTAAAGTAGTATAGAATCTATATATAATTTAAAATTTGAAGTGTACTAGTGAGCACCTCTTGTCAGCAGCACAGAAATAATAAGATTAGTAATGTCACATTATAAATTTATTATTTATATAGGACCTACATTACTATGGAACTGTACAAGGGGGGAAGTGTGCTGAACAAATAAGCTAGAATAATAAAGTAGGTTATAAAAGAATACAAACAAAGTAGGTTGCAGCCCTTATAGCTGAAATTCTTTAGGAAGCTGAGAAGTTGTAAATTGTATATTTAAGAAAGAATCCAAAAGAGTCTACATTGGGAATTTTTTTTAAGTAGCCGTTAGGGAACCTTAGATGTGTGACATGCAGAGCTACCCACTGGGATAAACAAACACACAACAGAGAAGGAAGAGTTTAAACTACTGTTCACTAAGTTTAAGAAGTGGTATAAAGAAAAATGACCTCTTTTACCTGCTGCTGGTCTTCAGCCCCTACCTGTACTTCTGTGGCTCTTCCTTTTCCACACAGTCTGCTTCTTTACCTACCAAGTCTTTCAAAGGCTGCCCTCACCCACTGCTTCGCTGCTCTCCTCTATGTTTCTCCCTTTTCCCATTTCTATGGCTTTACGTCTTTCCACCACACCTTGTACCCATAACTGCCTGTTGCTTGTCTCCTTCACGTATTCTGTAGCCTCCCTCATCTTCATGTCTTGCTGGTCTCATCCTTGCATTCTGACAGGATTTCATAGAAGTTTCAGATGCTCAGTGTGAGACCGTAAAGGGTGCAGCTAAAACAGTCTTGTGATAATAGATGCTCCTACCATTTAAAAAGGGAAGAAGAGTTCAAATATTACCTGGAGAAGCAGCAACATATTTGTTGTTCTTACCACATTGCTGTTAAGAGCAATCCATACAGGCTCCCCATATTCTAACACCTGGAGCCACAGAAATGACTGGCTGTAGGGATCTAAAATACTGGCAAGTTCTGAGGATTTCTCCTGGCAGTTTTTTCGTGCCTCTTCCCATTTCATTTTGGAACGGATGACTAAATAGCCACTATCACCACAACGGGTAAAGTCAGAGGCTGGAATTGTTGTTGGGGAATGAGACAGTTTAGGGTCTGTAGCAAAAAAACGAAACAAAACATGCAAAGATAAACTTTGGGTGCAAAGATTTGTCTTGTGCCAGTGAACAACAAGCATCTGCAGTCTTCAAAATTTAAGTAGTGTGGCATTAATTATTAATGAAAAAACTTCCTCGCTGAACATTCATGAGAAATTGTTATTTTCAAAACATCAGTGAACACTTCTGACTGAAAACTCTACATTTTGAGGTTGGGGAGGGTAGCCTGGTAAGCAAAGTGGAGTAATGCAGTAGTGGTTTACGTCTCCAATTTTGAATTCATACCTGGGTAGGCCAAAAGTGAGAGTGAGTTTATTGGCTTACGCACAAAGAGACACCTGGACAGATTTTGCAAAATGTTACTCTGAATGCTCCCTTCTGTGCCATGGGAAAGAGGGGAACATGTGACCCTATATATTTATTTTTATGGTGTGCACTAGCATCGTTGAGGCAGAGAAATTCATTTCACTTAAGAAAAGGATTGATCTACTGTGCATACAAACCCCGGTTAATCCACAAACAATTGCAAAATGAGTTTTTAATGTGTTTTTAGTTTGCAAAACTAGTGAAACAGAGCTCACCACTGCCCATCTGGCATATAAATCCTCTGGCTTCGTAACACGGTTCATCCTTCCATTGCCCTATCTTATCAACAGGACCTGTTTTCACAACCACACAATCCAGCTAGGGGAAAAAAGCATATATGAATTACTAAAAAAATGTCAGCAACAAAGAAGAAAGCCTTTTCCTCCTTCTGGAGCTATAGCCCTGGGCAGTTTCAGTCCCTGTATTCTTGCCCATTTGAATTCTGCTGGTATTTGGTGTGTTATTTACATCCAGCAACACCTTCTCCCATGTGGCATTCTTTTACACACAGCTGCTATTCCTAGTGGCTGCTTCAGTGCAGCTACTTCCTCAGCTCTAGCCTCTGCCTGCTTATCAATTTCACATTTTTATTATTCTGGAGATACTGGAGAGATACTACTATTCTTGAGAAGAGAATTAAATACAAAAAGCAAATGTACTAAAATAGGACTAGAAACATTCTGTCACACCATCAGCTTTGCTTGTTACCAATTACATTTCAGAGTTAAATTTAGGGATTGACAAGATGGCAAGGAAATGTTTAAAATAAACTTTTAGTCGTTCTTACTGTGAAGGAAAGTACTGGTGGGGTGTGAAAGGAAGATGTAGAGAGATAGAAGGAAAAAGGACGGTCAGAGTCATTGTCTTCTTGGATTTGAGTCTTAGGCCACAATTTACATTGGTGTAACTATGTCGGTCAGGGGTGTGAAAAGTCCACACCCTGAGCAGAGACGATCGTGACGGCTGATAGTGGGGGAGCAGAGAGAGGGCAGCTGGCTTCAGCAGTATCACTGAGCATGCTCAGTACAACCCAAGCAGCATATCATGTAACCGCTCATGCCCCCACCATGCATTGCCTTTGCCCCAGCGCGACAGTTATACCGACCTAACCTCTGGTGTAGAGAACACTGTGTCAAAAGGAGAGCTTCTCCCATTGACACAGCTACCACCTCTTGCTGAGGTGGATTAATTGCTGACAGGAAAAGCTCTCCCCTCAGTGTAGTAGCATCTTCACTACAGCACTACTTTAGTGCTGCTCTGTATGTGTAGACAAGGCCGCAGTTGTTGTGATGTCACTGTCCTTTCAAAATGATGTTCTGAATGGGGTAGTTCTACATATCCATGAGATCATGCTGCTCATTTAATTAACCACAATCAGGACCATTCTATCTCCTATTTAGTTAGGTCTTTGGATAATAATGTTCACAAAGAGGGAAGGACAAGTCAACGGATCAGACTGGTAAAAACTCAAATATTTTAAATAAAACCCCCACAGGTTAAAGATGGCATAATAGATAATTTACACCCAATTTCAAAAATGTGTAAAGTGTGTGTATGTAGTGAGGGGATGCGGGTGAGAGGGAGGATCAGAAAGTGAATAAATTGGTAGCAAACAAAAATAATAAGAGCGACATATTCCTTCATTTTACACTCTCCTTTTGTTTTTGATCATTTGTACTGTTTTACTAAGCAAGGGAAAGATTCTGTAGCAGCTAACAATCAGGGGCAGGTACCGGATGTGTGTGCATGCGAAGAATAAATGGATGGGTATATGTAGAAGAAATTGGGAGAGGCGTGGAGTGAGTTGGGTCTGGAGAATGTGTCTGTGGGTAGGTGGAAAGGCTGGGAATAGAGTGGTGTGAAAATGTAAGTTTTGAATGCATGGAACGGATGAAAGAGGGGTAAATAGGCAATATGTCAATGCAAATCAATATATATATGTGCAAGTGTATGCAAAATTGTGTTAATTAAAATATACTAATTTTTTATTTCAAATGTTGGCAGGGATGCATGAGGATTTTCCCATTGTTAACTCACCATAAAACAATGAACCTGGTTGCCAGTTTCTAATTTCTTCCAGTGCTACTTCAGAAATGTCTATTGACTTTGAAATATCTTCAAACTAACTATTCTTTAAAAAGATTGGAAGTAAAATAAAAGTCAAATACATGTGGTCTCTTCCCAGCTCCATAGATACATTTTCTCTTTTGTTACCCACAAGCTCTTTCAAAACAGACGGTATCTCTTTTTATGTCAGTAATACATTCAAAAATATTCTCCAGAACAAATCGCTAATAGTTTCCTCTTGTATCATTGTGACTGAAGTCAGCCCATCTCTCCTACAACATTTTAGAACATCCTTTCAAAATTCACTTTGTTCTTACTTGAGAAATAGGGGAGTGATGAATGCCACCATTTAAACTCTCCTCTCACATCAACAGAAGACCTGAACCTTGCAATATTGCCGCTCTATTCCCAAATGCAACAGACAAGAACACTAGGAAAACAAAGAAGCCTACATAAGAAATAAATTTAGCAAGTTATTTAAAGTCGGATTGCCTTCTCCAATGACAGGTTTCAGAGTAACAGCCGTGTTAGTCTGTATTCGCAAAAAGAAAAGGAGTACTTGTGGCACCTTAGAGACTAACCAATTTATTTGAGCATAAGCTTTCGTGAGCTACAGATCACTTCATCAGATGCATCTGATGAAGTGAGCTAAAGCTCATGAAAGCTTATGCTCAAATAAATTGGTTAATCTCTAAGGTGCCACAAGTACTCCTTTTCTTCTCCAATGAGTTTATTCAAACAACAAGGAGTCCGGTAGCACCTTAAAAACTAACCTATTTATTTGCTCATAAGCTTTCGTGGATAAAAAAACAACTTCTTCAGATGCATGGAGTGTTTATTGGAAATCTCTAATTAATGTTTACCTGATGCAGATTGTTGCCAGTCTCTGGCTGCAGAGAATCATATAGGATGATTTCTCCAACTACAGGTGAACCTGCAATCCAGTTGGTGTAGTAGACACCACTTCCATCTGCCCAAACAAAGTGGAGCTCAGAATTTATATCATTCAATCCAATCCAGGCATCAGTTTTGGCATCTTTTAAGTGGTAAGTAAGGAAAGCTGGAATAAAGCCAAATAAATATTTATAGGAAAGGAAGATACATGAGGAAGGAAGGGAAGGAAACCTGGCACATGCCTTCCTCTAATCAAGGAAGATGCCAGCATGTGCAGAATTAGGGCACGGTTACAAAAAACATACAAAACCTGCTTAATTATTTAATTTTAAATTATCTTGTAAATGCAATATTTTACATCTTTAGATTAGTATCTGGCAGAGCAGAATTGGTCCAGAACTATGAATCCAGGCTCTTGGCTGGGAAAAGGCTCAGAGGACAAAAGACCTGGATCTGTGGAGAAACATGGGTAAGGGCAAAGCATGGCACCATACCTAAGGTCACTGAAAATCTACCAGGTCCTGCCTGCTCATATTGTTGTCCACTCATGAGTTCGAATTTAACATCCATATCTGAATTCAGTGTCTACGTGGTGAGTTAGTGCACAGCAAGCCAAAATGTGTTTCTGCAGTGCGGCAACTTGCTGTGCACTAACTCGCTCTATGTACGCTGCTACGGTGCACTAAAAGTTCTCTAGCATGGCAAGGCACCCTGAGATGCCCCATAATGAATAGCACCGTAACACACTACATTTAAGGATGAGCATGAATGGCAGTAGGGGCAGGTGAATGGTGCATGAAGTTGCTCTTGTATTGAAACAGCTGCGATTAATATTGTTGCCCATTGGCCTGAGCAGTTAGCTAAAATTCAGGATTTTTTCCCATTAGGAGGAGAAATTGAGGACACAAGTCAGGGGTTTCTTTGGTGTAATCCTGTCTATTTATGAAAAAGGTATACAAAGTCCTGTTTCCCCGAGCACAGTAGAAACCAACAGCAACAGGTAGTTTCCATGCTCAGTACTTCCACACTTATCTTGCCAGTGAGTCCTGTGTCCAAGTATTTCTGGCTCTCTGCTCCTTCCCAGGGTTGCCCTCATGACTGCTTCTCTTGCTGTTTGCTAGCTTTTTACATCCCCCCTTTCCCGCCCCACACAGACACACATACATAGGTGCCAGGTCTGTGAAATTTTTGGTGGGGTCCTGGCATCTCCTGAGTGGAGATATAAGGAGCAAAGTCATCTATACTTTGGAGCTTGGGGGTGGAGCCCCCCCAAGGAGGAGAAAAAGTTGAAAATATTCTCAGGATGCAGCTCCAGAAAGACCAATGGCATCTTATTAAACTGGGTGGGCCCCAGGGGGACCCCACGAGCCTGGCTCCCTTCTCCGGAATGTGACACGGCAGGTTGGTAACCTGGGTGGACCCTGGGGAACCCGCGGAGCTGGCTCCTCACTCTGGAAAGAAAGATGGTGGCTCAGTAATCTGGGTGAATCCCAGGGGAGCCCCCAGACCTGGCTCCTTGCTCCAGAAGGAAAGATAGTGGCTAGGCAACCTGATTACTGAGCCACCTTCTCCCCTTCTGGAGCAGGCCCAGAAGCAGAAAATGTGGAGGAAGCAGCATGAGGAGATGGCATCCTCGTCTCCTCCACCACTTCTGCTTCTAGGCCATCTCCAGAAGGAAAGATGGTGTTTCAATAACCTGGGCTGTTCAGGTTATCAAGCTGCCATCTTTCTTTTCCATAGACCCATATAACCAGGTGCCCATGCACACAGCTCAGTCAATCCTCTAGCCACTGTGTTTGCAACCACTCCCAGGATTTGCCATGTTGCCCAGTGCCTTGGCCAGTAGACTCTTATTGTTTCCAGCTATCACTATATTAAGGGGGCTTATTTGTTCCTTTCACTGAGCCTGACAGAAGGATTCTTAGTGTACCCATCCACTTTAAAAAGTCTGTATTTGTCTATATAGATCAAACATCCACTTGATGGCAGACATTAACACCTTCCAGAATAACAATATGTAGAGTTAATATCTTTTACTGGATCACAAGAAGAGCTCTGTGAAGCTCAAAAGCTCATCTCTTTCAGCAAGAGAAGTTGGAGAAATAAAAGATATTACCTCACCCACCTTGTCTCTCTCAGGCTATGGCTACACTAGAGGCTACAATGAAGCAGCTGAGCTGCTGTAAACTCTCTAGCGTAGCCCCTTGAAGCCGACAGGAAAGAGCTCCTGTTGACTCAATTAATCTACTCCCAACAAGCAGCAGCAGGTATGTTGGTGGAAGAAGCTCTCCCACTGCCATAGCACTGTTCATATCAGTGCTTAGGTTGGTGTAACTTATGTCGCTCGGGGAGGGTGGCTTATTCACACCTCTGAGTGACATAAGATATACCAACGTAAGTGGTAGTGTAGACATAGCTTAAGTTTAGTTTCGGTTAGTTTACCCACCATTTCTTTCCTTCTTTCCGAGTACACCACTAGACTAAACCACTTCCCATGTGGTGTGGCATGGGAATATGGGGTAAGCCCAGAGAACAAACTTTTAGCACCACAACTACCACCACCAACCAATATACCTGATGTTTGCCACCTCCATCTGCCTGGCTGGTATAATAAAGGACTTTTATGTGTTATCAAAATACATATTTCTTAGAAGGAAGGTTCATTAATTCTTTCTCCTGAACAATAACAGGAAGCGATAGTATAATACACACTCCCCTTTTTTGGCACACTTTTCTTTGCAAGGTTTGATTGTTGTCTCATCTAATCTCTAAAGGGTCTATGTACTGTACCTTGCACTTGTTCATTAGGTATGCTAGCCAGGTTTCCTCCGAACTTTACACAAGTTCTACGTGCAGGAACCCACATAACTCTATCTTCATCTCTGGAGCCAAAAACTTTGTAACACTGGGGGGAAAAGTCAGATATTTACTTTATCAGGAAAAGAAAATAGAAGCTAATTGAATTGTATTAACTATAATATATATTGTTCAAATTCAGATCTGAATTTCCCTTATTCTTATGATACATGCAATGTATTGGAGATGTTTGCTACCATACCTTATTTCTAAACAAAAGCCAACTTTCAGGACACCCTCCTGGAGGAGAAGGTGCTGTCACAGCAAATGTTGAGTTTACAGTACTACCATGCCTTTCACAGATAAAGGCATTTGGAATACCACAGTTGATATCATTCCACAAACCTGAAAGCAATTTAAATATAGAAAATAAGCCATTGGATGAGTTTGACATTTCTGGTGAAAATCTATCACCTCCCCATGTTTTTATTTCCCCTGGGAATGCCACAGACTTTGCGTCAAGTCAACTGTCACTTGTTCCTGTACTTGAAAAGTTTATTAACTACATCCCACTTGCAATGCTTGCACAAAGGCTTTGAGCCTGCTAATCCTTGGGTGGTGCACAGTTTAGGTATCTGGACTCCAGTGTAAGTGGGAACAGAGATTATGTGAGGGAGACGTACAGTTAAGCAATTAATGTACGGTCATCCTGTACTCTGAGCCAAAGTTTCAAGCGTTTAGGCACCCATTTCCTTATTCTCAAGAGCTCAAACTAAAAAAGAGACAGCGTGTGGCTCACTTCGAGGAAATACAGGATTAAACACAAACCTCAACATGTGTATTAGGCACTTAACTGTGTTCCCCATTCTTTGGCCAGCCTTACTCTGGTTACCAGCTGGGGGTGAAATCCTAGCTCCAGTGAAGTCAATGGCAAAACTCCCATCAACTTCAGTGGGACCTGGATTTTGCCCTATTTGTCTGCAGAGCAGTAAACTTTTTAAAGTGGGCTGGATTCCCCTGCACACCTGGTTCTACTCATAACTTTTTAGCTTACACTTTTGCCCAGCACTGCATTTACCTGGGTGGTATATAACCCCCAAGAGTGAGAATCATTTATTATGGGTACATTGTTTTTCCCAAAGTTATCTTTTCTACATATAAAAAGAGAGGAGGCCAGTTAACAAACATATGGGGAAAAGATATAGCCACACAAACACATATACACACACAAAAGTCAAAACGTGTAGCTCAGCAAAGTTTTTATATAAGACCACACAATTTTCTTCAGCATTTGCATAGTCTGGCTCATTTTTCGCCCAAGCTACGTAGTGCACTGGGCTTCCATCCATCCAGCTAAAAAACCAAAAAGGCTAGTAATTACTGGTTAAATTACTTTGTTTTTACAAAAGAAACAATGCAAATCCATTTGTTTTATTACAGAAATCATTTGATAGAAATATCACAAGTGTACAAGTATATTCACTACTTTGCATATGTGACGTTAGGCTCAACTTCCGTTAGGATTAAAGGTAACTAAAGCCCTGCACATAAGGTCAAGAATACAGTACACATTTTATTTTGCATGGTGATTATCTCTGTATTCATAGCACTTACATTCCCAATAAAAAAACCCTTCATTACGATGCAGGTCATTTAATACATAATTAAATTCACTGAGTTTGCTTTTCAACACATCATATAACTACCTAAAACCATTTTTATAACTGCTTTTTAAGAGTCAGGTGATGGGATGAAACCCCATTTTAGCTGGAAAGTAGTTTATAGCCAATTAGTTACCTCTGTTGCACCTATGCTGTAATTAATTAGTGGCTTCTCAGCCAGAGGGGCATGGCCAAGCAGTATTCGGTGATAAGTTAATGAACATGGGGGCATCATCAAAGGGAGAGAGTTCAGTCTGAAGGGAGGAAACACATGGAGCAGAGTGACTCCCATGAAGGGGCTTGAGACAGAGTCTGCAGGAGAACAGATACCTCAGGAAGGCAGCTGGAGGGGCCAGTGTCCAGTACTGGAGCTGGGGAAGAAGACTCTCAAGTAGCTGAGAAAGGAGACTGAAAACAGAGCCCCGAGGAAGGGCTGATTGTTGAGAGACTTTGGGACATTAGGTTTGAGCTTTTGTTACCCCAAAAGGGATTTGACTTAGCTGCTTCTCAGCTGGAAAGCTGAATTGCACCCAGAGGCCTATAGGGTTGCTGGAGGTGAAAACCACTACAACAGCTCACCAGGATACAAGGGGGGATGCTGGTGATGATTGTGCACCCTAACAAGTCCCTTTAAAATCAATGCACTACATACAAGATGTTAACTACTCCATGGAATAAAACTAGATATTGCTTGTTTACTTACATAAACTGTTGATCGACACTCAGAATTAAACCAATGAGATATGACTCCTTTTTGCCATTTCTTAAAATCTAAACACAAGGATGTGATTTTAATTAAGTTCTTCCATATATATAACAAAAACTATTTGATATGAAAAGCAGATTCTTTTCAAATTATTTGGATTGGAATAATCTTGTGGACTGTCTGTACAGCTGACAATGACTTGCGACTCAGTGGAAATATGGATCACATCTGCTAGAATACAACTTTTGCCTCATTAGCTTGAATGCTTTCCAGCTAGTTCTGGATGCCATACTGCTATAATCAAAGCAGTTAGAAATGTATCCAGGCCAGCCTGGCAAGCACATTCCTGATTTTAAGAGAATGCTTTGTGGGGCACTGTGTGCAGTGCTGCACAATGCCTCCCCGGAAGATTACTGCCCTGGTGAGGCTGCGGGAATGGTAAGTATTCCTTCCTTAATTTCAGGAAGAATCTAGTTTAAATTATTTAGGTTGTTCAGGGTAAAAAAGCACCTACATGTTTTCTTTTAGATCAGTCCGTTAATTAACTGTGCTTCAAAATCTCCCTTCTCTGTTTGTTCATATTCTCTCTCACACACCAAAAGCACCAGCCTAATGCAGTGATTTTTTTGCAATAGTGACTTTATGATATTAGCAACTCTGTTAGTTCCCACACTTGCAATGTTTTGAAAGTTTCAAGGGCCTGATTGTGCAACACCTGACCCAAGCAAAACATCCACTGGATTCTGAGGAGTATAATTGACTAAGACCAGATATAGTTGACTTTTGAGCCTAATAAGTGGAGCAGCAGCAGGATCTGCCAGCTATTATTCTGAACATTTAATTTTCTGTTAAGAAGCTGCCTTATATATGTCCTTTTTCAATTAATTTTCAAATCTATTAGACACTGTAGTGAAGAAATCATGTAAAAATGCACATTCTCCTGTATTTCATAAACATATGTGACGTATGCTGACTATGCTGAATTAAGTAATAAAGTGTTTGCTTACGTATTTCCATAGAAACTTTCTTTCACTGTGACAACAAGATCTGCACAATGCTTCTTGCAGAACTCCCTAGCTTTTTCCAAGGGGACACTTTCTGTGCTGAAAAAATACTGCTTGTCCCCATATATAATCCATCCATCTTCATTGACTTCATACTCTGCAAGATAAATAATGAAACTCCATGTTCTGTACCTAGTGTGCATTAAGGTAGGCTCTTCTTGTTATACTGTATTATTCTCCAGGTAAGATGAAATAGACAGGAGCTTAGTGGCAGAAGAGCTTGTTTGTTCTGGTTTAAGTGGTGTTCCTGTAAAGGAAAGGAAAAATTAATTTTCTATATTTTTGACATATGCTCGTGATATTAAAGGAATTTTTTCATTCAGCAAAATATTATTTTGAGCCCCCAAGTTTTTAAGTGTAAAGAAAACATGAATCCCTCCAATGTACTGGATTTTAGCAATCCATCATATGACTTACACTATATATTACTTTGATATTTGTGTAATAAAATGTGTTTTATGGGGGTGAAACTAAAGTATGCCTTTGGGAAGAGTAAGAGGGAAAATACAATGCAGAATGTGGTATGCTCCAAATCACTGGTATGTTCAGATTGACTCCCCAGCTCCTACCACTTTAGCAGTAATAGAAATGGAACTCTGCTGTTTCTTCCACTGCTGCTAGCCCTTTAACTATAGGGCTTCAAGATGCTCCAGAACTGAGGTACAACTGCTGGTGGCCTAGCACCTCTCAGCCCTGCAGCGATTTTGAGTCCTGCAGCTGGATAAAGGGGGGGTAGCCTGTCTACTGAACATTCTTACTGGTTGATTTGTTAGACAAAGACCTACTTTGATTGTCCTTCCAAAGATGTAAACAGGGGAAGGACAGGACAGGACAGGACAGCTTGCTGCCTTCTTAAAAGCCAAGGGGAGGGGAGGGATGTTGTGCAGAGGCCTGTACTCAGAGCTCTCCAAAGTAACAAAAGCCCAACTCAGTCTGTTACATAAAGTTGATTATGAAAGTCATCAAAAGTTAAAGCCAGGAAGACTGAATTAGTCCAAAAAACAGGCCTACTGCTACAACCCAAGGACCGTGTTGAGATTGCGACTGGTAAACAGAGGAGGCTGGAACTGGAAATGAATGGACCAAAACTGGTGTGTTAGAAATTAGGCTTCACTGGTGGACAAAATGATGAGGTGGTAGGCTATTCTGCCCATCATTCCCTTTTGGGGTCCTTAAAAGAGACTTCAGGGGGAGGGTCAAAATAATTAGAAGAGTGGAGTTAAAGGACTGAGCTTTACCAGCATGGCTGCCACCCCTACCATCTCTTGGGACACCAGGATCCACTGTGCCACCATTGGAGCTTCCCTGTCCTGATCCTGAGAGATGTGCTGAACAGAAAGGGCCAGAGAGAGGGACCCAGATGACTTTGCCACCTCCACCCCTTCTGGCTAAACCTGGAATGCGAGACCCTATCTCATGTGTCCTTTTCCTTCCTTATTTCTTCTCTTTTCTCTGTCTCTCTTTTTTGCCTTTTGTTTAATAAGAGATGAGTTTAAGCAACCAAGACATCACTCCACCACTTTGCACCACTCTTGTGAGCCTGTGACTAATGAGGCAGTGAAAGCAACACCCTAAACAACCTGATGCTGATAGAAGTTTACCAGGTCACAGAGTGGCTGATAACAGCTGGTGCTGTGTCTGTGCATCTACAGCAGTGAGACTTCAGGTAAGACTCAGCACCAGAGACAGAAGTTGTGTTTTCTGTTCTTTTCTGTCTCCTTTTGTGTGTGTTTTTGGTCAATGAATTACTTTAATGACATTGTTTTAAGGTCTGAATTAACTCCATCTCATTATAGCTGTGAGATACCATTGTGTCTCAGTCTCGCTGCATGTCCCCTTATGGAAAGAATGATTCTCAGGGTCACAGCAATTTAATCTAATTAGTCCAGCTAACTGGTCATTGTTTTTTTTTGTCTAATATTCTAATTTAAAATAGAAAGTAACCTACCTTTCTCTATTTGACAAATCCAATCGTTAAAATGTTCACAGTGTGTGTTAATCCAGTCCATGGAAAACTCTTCATTGACTGTTCCACAATGTTCATTTCCATGCTCATTACTGGGTTCAGAATTATACCAGTTTTTATACCTCATCTACAGTAGAAACACAATTGGTTTAATTTCAAGCCAGGCTCTTGCTTTTTGTGCCAACAGCACATGGATGTGTTATGAAAGCAACATATTCAGCTTTTGTAAGAAGAGATATCAAGGTGGGGCTAAAAATTAAGTGGGGAAAGGGAACTGCATTATATATCTGCATGCAGTAACTAAATACATTTTGGAGAGACTGTAGTATATCTTTGTCACAGTAATATAATTGCCTCCAAGTAGTCAGGGTCCTTCAATAGCCCCTACTTCCACTTGTTTTGATGGTATAATCTTAAAGACTAATGGGCCCCACTGGATTCCAGAACACTCTGAGGGGATTGCTGTCCAATCATTTCACCAGTGAGATGATGGCCTACTGGAAGATTATAGTCATCTTCAATCCATATCCCTTAATGAACTGCCCCCAGTCGCTCCAAGGATGATGAAGTTAGAAAGATAGCTATACGGCTAAAAACTAAATCACTCACTGGAGAGCCATTACTCCAAAAAAAGCCCTCATCAGGATCCAGGCAAAATAAACCAATCCAGAAAGGCCGAAAAGACAGTCCTTTGTCCCTAAAATGTGTGATAGAAATAGAATAACACATAACTATAACAGGATATAGGTCATCATTATACACAATCAATGTTAGTACTTACAGCAGTTCAGCAAATTTTAAGGCTCTCGATATTTATAGGCTCTCATATCTGTTGGAGGCTTAAAGGCATACTCAGAACTTTAAACCTAATAAGTTAAATTAATTGTGTCAGGATCTGCAGATAAATATTCTGGTACATGGTAGTGAAGTCTTGACACACACCTCTGTATAGGAGACATCTCAAGTACTAAATTACCATCAACTAACTTTGATGGCGATTTTCAAAGCAGAAAGTGCAGTTAGGCATCTAACCCCCATTAATTTTCATAATAATCAAAGCAACACAAAATATTTCCTTGTGTGACAAATGCTGATGAAAAAAAATTCTTAGCTTGTTTTTATTTTTTAATGTTTCATTGTTGCCTTCTTTTAGGGGAAAAAAAATTCCACATAGATTATGAACTACTACTTTGTTTGAAAATAGTTTAGCAAATATTCTTTGACTGGATTACTGGCCTAATGGGTAGAGGGGAAGCAGTTGATGCGATATATCTTGATTTTAGTAGGGCTTTTGTCACAGCCCCACAGGACAGTCTTATAAGCAAAGTAGGGAAATAAGATCTATCTGAAACCGCTAAAAGTGCACGACTTGTTGAAAAACCATAGTCACAGAGTAGTTAACAATGATTTACTGTCAGACTGGGAGGATGTATGTAGAGGGGTCCACTACTATTCAATATTTTCATTAATGGCTTGGATAGTGGAGTGAAGAGTCTGCTATAAAATTTGCATATGACAGCAAGTAGGGAAGGGTTGCAAGAACTTTGGAGGGCAGGGTTAGAGTTCAAAATGACATTGACAAATTGGAGAACTGGTCTAAAACGAACAAGATGAAATTCAATAAAGACAAGTGCAAAGATAAGTACACTTAGGAAGGGAAAATCAAATGTACAAATACAAGTGAGGAATAACTGGCTAAGCAGTAGTACTGCAGAAGATCTGGGGGCTATAGTGGATCACACATTGAATATGTGCCAACAATGTGATACAGTTGCTAAAAAGGCTAATATCGTTATTGGGTACATTAACATGAATATCGTCTGTACGACATGGCGGGTAATTGTCCCTTTGTAGTCTGCACTAGTGAGGCATCAGCTGTAGTACTGTGTCCAGTTTTGGGTGTTACACTTTAAGAAAAGTGGACAAATTGGAGAGAGTCCAGAGGAGACCAACAAAAAATGATAAAAGGTTTTGAAAACCTGAGTGTGAGGAAAGGTTTAAAAATGGGTATGCTTAGCCTTGAGAAAAGGAGACTGAGGGAGAACCTAGTAACAGTCTTCAAATATGTCAAGGGCTGTTATAAAGAGGATGGGAATCAATTATTCTCCACGTCCTCTAAAGTTAGGAAAAGAAGTAATTGGCTTAATCTGCAGCGATGGACATTTAGGTTAGATATTAGGAAAAACATTCTAAGTATAAGGATTGTTAAATACTGGGATAGGTCACCAAGGCAGTTGTGGAATCCCTGTCACTGAAGGTTTTTAAGAACAGGTTAAACAAACACCTGATAGGATAGTCTTGGGCAGTGGTTCTCAATCAGGGGTACACATGCGCCTGGGGGTACCCAGAAGTATTCCAGGGGGTACATCGACTCATCTAGATATTTGCCTAGTTTTACAACAGCCTACATAAAAAGCACTGGGGAAGTCAGTTCAAACTAAAATTTCTTACAGACAATGACTTGTTTATACTGCTCTATATATTATATACTGAAATGTAAGTAAAATATTTATATTCCAGTTTATTTATTTTATAATTATATGGTAAAAATAAGAAAGTAAGATTTTTTTCAGTACTAGTGTGCTGTGATACTTTTGTATTTTTATGTCTGATTTTGTAACCAAGCAGTTTTTAAGTGAGGTGAAAGTTGGGGTTATGCAAGACAAATCAGGCTCCTGAGAGAAGTATAGTAGTCTGGAAAGGTTCAGAACCACTGATCTAGGCCTCTAGATATATTTGGTCTGGCCGCAGTGTGGGGAAATGGATGACCTCGAGGTCCCTTCCTGTCCTAGATTTCTAGGAAATGTAGTTAGAAATGAGTCCTAAATGGAAGCATTGGCCATTCATTTTTTCCATTGCTCTTAAGTTTTTTGTACCATCTGAACCAATTTTAGAAGCTCCCCAACCACACTTAGAAATTAGTACATAACAATTCTGTTTAACCTGTGAAGTTTGTGTATTGACTCAACCCTTTTTCTGATGAACCTAACTAAACATATTCATAGATTTTCAACTGACTATTTTAGGAAGGATCCAAGAGCATTTTTAGTTTTGTTATACAACATGTTATACTGCAATATTGTTATATTGGAAGACCAATTATGAAGCCTATACTTACACTATTGAATGCTGTATCACTTGTTGTTCTTCTTTACTATTGATGGCAGCCAGATCTCCTCCTATCTCTCTACAAAAATCTCGAGCTTCAAGCCATGATTTCTTTTTGTTTCCTTCTCTCACAAAAGGCTAATGATATATTTTACAATTAAACACTGTATATTATGCTATATGCATTAAAAAAGACATTTTAGCTATTTTCCTGTATGGGGATTTAAGACAATGTGAGAAATCAAAGAGCTAATCATATAAAAGTAAACATATTTAAATTGGATTACAGAATGCCATCTTCAGATAGTCTGCTGTTTTGCTGATAATTGACAGTTGAAACAAGTCCCATAAATAGTCTATACGCTAGCTTGTTATGTTTGTACCATAGCCTGGGAATCTCTGCAGTTTAGACTTTCTTTGTATCTATCTGCATGTATCCAGTTCATTATTAGTTTGGAAATTTAATACTTACTTTGAAGCATGAACTGATGTTATCGTTTGAACCCCAACCCATGGGGCATTTGGAGTAAGAATTTTTTTCTGGAACAGGAGGATGAAAGGTCATTGCTTCAGCTTGTTGTTTGCAGAGAAATTTTGCCTTTTCTTCACAGTCCTGAACATGCCATAATCCAGCTGCACTTCCAGTTCTCATTGCTACACACCCTGGCTTTCTTCCTTCATGAGATGTAAATGAAATTAAAATGCACACTTTTTTTCTTTTTGTTCCCCCTGTAATTTTCATATCTCATTTTATTATGTTTTATGAGAGTGAAACCTGTATTGGAGTTGGGTAATGGTTATCTGGCTGCTCAAATAAGGAGTTTTGCAAAGTGAATCATGTAAACTGAAAAGACGAGATTGGAGTTATCCAGCAACTTAACTCCTTTTCCAAAAATTTTAAATCTCAAATGCATGAGCAGTCATTGGTATCCAAAGGACACTCTGTCTAGGTCTTTTCTGTGACAATGCAAGTAGCCGGTAGTCTGTCATCTTGAAATGGTCAAGATCCTGCAAATAACTTCTGAAATTCTCACACACCCACATACTCACCTGACTTTCACATTCTTTATTTGGCAGTATGTGGTCTCAGAGCCTGAAAGCCATTTGGAACAATATTCCATGGATCACCTCCATAAAGCAACCAGTTTTTGTCAAACTTTGCTGTGGTTCTGTTTATCATATTTACTGTACAATTTAAAAGAAATCTTAATGCAAGGTGTCTAACCCAATGAGAAAGAGATAAGAGGAACAAAATGGATGAATAGATAGAAGCATGGAAAGCAGATACAGAAACCACCTGAGGACAGCAAAAGACATCCCTGCAAACTAGCCAACATCTTTCAGCCAGTTTTCTGTAGTACTCCTTTCCATCCTCCTTTCATTCTCTACACAAGGTGGCTTTTTCCCTTTTAACGATTGTGAAAGAAGAGCTACAAATACCTTTGACTGCAGTATATATTTAAGGAATTATGGGGAGGAGGTGAGCAGCCCTCAGTGGTGAAAGAACAGATTGAGGACTATTTATAAAAACTGGACATGCACAAGTCCATGGGTCTGGATCTAATGTATCTGAGGGTGCTAAGGGAGTTGATGGATGTGATTGCAGAGCCATTGACCATTATCTTTGAAAATGTGTGGTGATAGGGGCAGGTCCTGGACAATTGGAAAAAGGCAAATATAGTGCCCATCTTTAAAAAAGGGAAGAAGGAGAATCCGGGGAACTACAGACTGGTCAGCCTCACCTCAGTCCCTGGAAAAAGCATGGAGCAGGTCCTCAAGGAATCCATTTTGAAGCACTTAGGGGAGAAGAAAGTGATCAGGAACAGTCAGCATGGATTCACCAAGGGTAAGTCATGCCTGACTAACCTAATTGCCTTCTATGATGAGATAACTGGCTCTGTGGATGAGGGGAAAGCAGTGGATGTGTTATTCCTTGACTTTAGCAAAGTTTTTGATACAATCCCAGAGTATTCTTGCCAGCAAATTAAATAAGTATGGATTGGATGAATGGACTATAAGGTGGATAGAAAGCTGACTAGATTGCTGGGCTCAATGGGTAGTGATCAACGGCTCAATGTCTAGTTGGCAGCCACTATCAGGTGGAGTGCCCCAGGGGTTGGTCCTGGGGCCGATTTTGTTCAACATCTTCATTTAATGATCTGGATGATGGCATGGATTGCATCCTCAGCAAGTTTGTGGATGACACTAAGCTGGTGGGAGAGGTAGATACTCTGGAGGGTAAGGATAGGGTCCAGAGTGACCTAGACAAATTGGAGGATTGGGCCAAAAGAAATCTGATGAGGTTCAACAAGGACAAGTGCAAAGTCCTGTACTTAGGACAGAAGAACCCCATGCACTGCTACAGGCGGTGGACCGACTGGCTAAGCGGCAGTTCTGCAGAAAAGGACCTGGGGATTACAGTGGATGAGAAGCTGGGTATGAGTCAACAGTGTGCCCTCGTTGCCAAGAAGGCTAACGGCATATTGGGCTGCATTAGTAGGAACATTTCTAGCAGATCAAGGGAAGTGATTATTCCCCTCTATTCGGCACTGGTGAGGTCACATCTGGAGTATTGTGTCCAGTTTTGGGGGGCCCACTACAGAAAGGATGTGGACAAATTGGAGAGAGTTCAGTGGAGGGCAATGAAAATGATCAGGGGGCTGGGGCACATGACTTACGAGGAGAGGCTGAGGTAACTGGGCTTATTTAGTCTTCAGAAGAGAAAGGTGAGGGGGGATTTGATAGCAGCCTTCAACTACCTGAAGGGGGGTTCCAAAGAGGATGGAACTTGGCTGTTGTCAGTGGTGGCAGATGACAGAACGAGGAGCAATGGTCTCAAGTTGCAGTGGGGGAGGTCTAGGTTGGATATTAGGAAACACTATTTCACTGGGAGGGTGGTGAAGTATTGGAATGTGTTACCTAGGGAAGTGGTGGAATCTCTATCCTGAGAGGTTTTTAAGGCCCGACTTGACAAAGTCTTGGCTGGGATGATTTAGTTGGTGTTGGTCCTTCTTTGAGCAGGGGGTTGGACTAGATGACCTCCTGAGGTCTCTTCCAACCCTAATCTTCTATGATTCTATGAGTCTATAATTCAGTCTTGGTTAGTCTCTCAAAAACACAATATCATAGTGCATCATTAAGGAGAAATGTTTCAGTCCTGGCTAGTTGGACAAACAGAAAATAGTTTGGAATCACAACGCAGAAGGGAAACTCCTTTTAATTCCAAGAGAAGCTAAGGAGAGTGTAGCCGAGAAAGGAGAAGTCTATTAGATGTTCATGGTAGGTGAATGGGATACGGACTACATAGACCTGGAGCCTGATTCTTTGCAGTGGTGCAAAAATAAGTGAAAAGTGAATGGAAAATGCTACCAGATCAGAATGACAGCATTTTACACCCACTTGACCCTAATATAAATGGCTATGTATTGTGCAGGCCAAAGGAGGATCAGTCCCCTAGTACTTAGTGGTCTGTGATACTTGTCCATAAACAATAGCAAATTTCGGGATTCTGATCCTACGTTTTGGCTTTTTGTCTTGGTGGGTTAAAAAGCCAACTAAACTGATGTAGACAGCAGATCACTCATGCCATTTTTCAGAGTGGTACCAAAACTGGCAATAAAGCCATTTGTGACAGATTTGGAACTGCTCTGTAATACTTTATGAATAATATATATTGACCTTGTTTTTGGGATGTTTACTGTATTAATATATTGGGTTAACTCAGTAGAGAACTGTCTTGGAAAACAGGCAGGAAAGAAAAGAATGGCTCAAGCTAGCCACTTCTCAGCAAACATTCACGAGTTGTTAAGAGACAATGCCAGAACTATTAGCTTGGATGGTTTGGCCTCCTCTTCAGCCAACCTGCAAAATGGTCTGGACCACGAAGGGTCAAAGCCTGGCAACACAGACGAACAAAAGAACTATAGCTAAGTTGAAAGAGGGGCACACTCTCAAGGCAATAGTTGGTTGAGGGGAACCAGACTGAAACATAAGAAACTGTTGGGTGAGTTGGAAGAAGTTAGGCCTGCTTGGGTTACCATCAGGGTCTAAGACAAGACATTTATGATAAACATACATGAAGATTGTTTGTTGTTTTAAAATCCTTTTTACTCTAAAAAGGCTTTGCTCCTACAATGTTCAAATCAACACTTTTTTAAAAAGAAGGCTGTCTGATCGAAAGTAGAGTGAATACTTAATTGAAAAATCTGAAAAAAAATCACTTGCATTTGAACTTAAATGATCTTTTTTTCATTTTTTTTCTCCCTGAAAAGGATGGGGAAAAATGATTTTGAGTAGAAAGAAACATTTCCTTCAACCTGAAATGATTTTTTTCTGTTTTACCTTTTGTTATGGGTGTCTTTTCATCCACGCTTTAAAAAGAAAAACAGCAACCCTAATTTTCAAAATGAAACTCTGCTTCTGAATGAAAAGTCAAAATACTTTGTTTTGAAATGGCCAAATAGTTTGGATAACCCCCAAAATGCATTTTTGGCAAATTTACTATTTCCCCAGCTGTAAACTGATCTTTGTATACCACTGGTCACAATCTCCTCAATGGAAGAACTGCAGGTGCTCCAACTCAGCCAGACCTGCAAGGTAATAGCAGTTGATACACTGGGTCCTGTAGCACAGGATCAGTCAAAGAATGGGAGAATTGCAAAATTCTACCCTGGAATAGGTAAAGGCATGAGACCTAATACCTGAGCCGGAGCACTCAGAGAAACCGTAACGGGCACAGAGATGCAGCTACCCCTGTAACCATTGCACCATTCACTGAAGATGTTTGAGAGTTGCTAACCAGTCTATACATCACCCCTGCTAAAGAATGAAATTTCACTGGAATTTCAAAATTCAGCCTTTTAAACATGGATTCAAGCTGTGGGGCTCCTTTACATTGCACAGCAATACACACCGGTCTTAATTCTAATGTGCACCAACATGTTACACACTAACAGGCACACGTAGACCCTGCTGGCATGCACTAAAAGTTCCCTAATACACATTAATGAAGTAACATTGAAACAGTACTACATTGACTAGCACTAGGGAACTTTTAGTGCATGCCAGCAGGGTCTACACGAGCCACTTAGTGTGCCTCATGTTGCTGCATGTAACAGGGTATACTGGCTCTTTAAGACTAGAGGGGATCCAGAACACTCTGTTCCGGGGACCTGGAATAAACAAAGGCCCAGGAAATGACCTGGTAGTTGAAGAGAGGAAGCAGTCCCAGGGAATAAGGAGTTGGATGCAGGGAAAACCCCAGGATGCTGTTCTGTTAAGGGCCCGGTATCAGGAGCCATGGAATATAGGGTGGAGCAGGGCTCCCCTCTCTTTCAGCCAATTGGGAAGAGCTCTCTGGTGTAGGACCATAAATTGATTGCCTTCTTCCTTGGAACAGGGGAGATGCTGGAAAGACAAGAAGCCAGAGCCAGAAAGCTGAACTCCAGGGAGAGACAGCTATGAGAAGCAACCCTGTGAACAGCGGGCTGTGGCAGAAAAAGAGCTCTGTGTGGATGGTGGAAGAGCCAGAGATAAGTGTGGCCCATTGGATTGCAGGGATGGGACTTAATGGGCAGGACTGTTTGTGGGCATTAAACCATCCCGAAGTGGAGGGTGGTAGGACTTATAAGAAAGGCTGTGGGGAGTCTAAGTGGCCCTGTAGGGGGGAGAACAAGGGGAGGCCACTGCAATGGGCACTCTGACCAAGAGGGACTGCTCAGAAAGTGACAGCCCTGTTGCAATGTGCATGAGAATTCACACACCTGTGGGGTGTATTGCTGCACAAAGTAGACAAGCCCATGGAAAATACCTATGACAAAACATACCAGGCATTGCTAAATTCCAGTGAGTGAACAGAACTGCTTCACCGTTGGTCCACTTGAAAGTCCCATGTTTCTCTACATCTGAAAGACCGATCCAAAAATATTTTTCAGGCCTCAGCCCAATCAGACTAGTTAGATAGGCTTGCTCATATCTGTAAAAAGAGGAAGTGCAAACTGAGATTAAACCTGTCTTTCTCATAATTTGTAATATCCACAAATTACTGCGATTTCAAAAGCTTATCAAGTGCTGGAACAGGTATATTTCTTCTCTGCTGCGAGGCACCATCCCCTCTCTATAGCTACATTAATGGTGTTTCAGTTTTCAATGTCCTTTAGCTATTGTATATCCCTGTCAAGGTTCCTTCCCCACTCTGAACTCTAGGGTACAGATGTGGGGACCTGCATGAAAGACCCCCTAAGCTTATTCTTACCAGCTTAGGTTAAAAACTTCCTCAAGGTACAAACTTTGCCTTGTCCTTGAACCTTATGCTGCCACCACCAAGCGTGTTAAACAAAAAACAGGGAAAGAGCCCACTTGGAGACGTCTTCCCCCCAAAATATTCCCCCAAGCCCTACACCCCCTTTCCTGGGGAAGGCTTGATAAAAATCCTCACCAATTTGTACAGGTGAACACAGACCCAAAGCCTTGGATCTTAAGAACAATGAAAAAGCAATCAGATTCTTAAAAGAAGAATTTTAATTAAAGAAAAAGTAAAAGAATCACCTCTGTAAAAATCAGGATGGTAAATACCTTGCAGGGTAATCAGATTTAAAACATAGAGAATCCCTCTAGGCAAAACCTTAAGTTACAAAAAGACACAAAAACAGGAATATACATTCCCTCCAGCACAGCTTATTTTACATGCCATTAACAAAAGAAAATCTAACACGTTTCTAGCTAGATTGCTTACTAACTTTTTACAGGAGTTCTGAGCTGCATTCCTGTTCTGTTCCCGGCAAAAGCATCACACAGACAGACAGACCCTTTGTTTCTCCCCCCCCCCCCCACCAGCTTTGAAAGTATCTTGTCTCCTCATTGGTCATTTTGGTCAAGTGCCAGAGAGGTTATCTTAGCTTCTTAACCCTTTACAGGTGAGAAAGGGTTTTGCCTCTGGCCAGGAGGGATTTTATAGCACTGTATACAGAAAGGTGGTTACCCTGCCATTTATGACAATCCCTCTTTCGCTTTCTCCATTCTCCCAGACTCTTTCAAACTATCCCCTTTGAGCCCTCTCTTTCATCCAGGATCACTGTCTCTCACCTGTAGGTCCTTCGTTTCCTCCCAGCTCTCATTCTGATTTTTTTGTGTTTTTCTCCTTCTTCTTATTTTCCCCACTTTGTTCTTCATTATCATGCCATCGTCTCATGCTGACACCACGCTAAAAGGGGAAACCCTCCTAGGCTTCAATTTAATTTACCAACTTGCATTTGGATTTTTGTTTTGGATCTGAATAATCCTTGTATTGCTGCCCTTTTTATAAGGACCTAGCACCCCAAGCTATTGTGATACACTCGTAAAATTTAGCTTCAATAACATTTGTTTTTATGTAAAAATGCCTCTCTAAGCTACATAGTTTGTAGCATGAGTAACTGTGCTGTACTGAACACTAGCTCTTATAAAGCAGAGACAGCCATGGTATGGGGTGGTATCTGGTAAAGCAGAAATGCAATTTTCCAAAACGAAAATGTTTTTTTTTTTCTTCTCAAATGTAATTTTGTGGAGCTACAGATGCAAACGGTTTTACTTTTTACCGGCTTGGAGAACTGTCAAAAGTGAACATCTCAAAATATAATATTTAGTCTGAAAAAAAAACCCATGTATTTTCTGAGTAACTTCTCATGAAATAGAACATTTTTGGTTTTAATTGAAACCATTTATATTTATCTGTTTTAACACTAGAATTTTTTTTGAAAAGTTCTTAAGTATTTTAGCATGTTCTAAGATTATTCCATCAAAAAGCACAAATTTAAAAGTATTTTTCATACCTGTCTCTAACAGTTGTTAGATAACCTTTACTCCTTTCACAAGCTTTCTTTGCCTCTGAAAATTTACAAATGTATGTCCAATCAAGTAACAGTAAAAAACATGTCTTTCCCAGCCCTGTCAACATCAATCAGGAATGACCATAAATTAGTAACAGATTGTGATATAATATATGGACTATACTCTATCCTTGCAAAATGATATATTAATTTGGAATCCAATAATAAAGTTACAAAAGTAACTAAGCCTAAGTAAACATCCACAAACCTACAAATCAAAGTGATGATGCATTATCCTCTTTTGACAATTAACAGCTGATAAATAGGTGTTACTACAGTTAAAAAAGTTATAACCATACAGAATAGAGAATTTATTCAACAATAGAAACAAATAAATTAATGAATTAATCAATGTCCTTGATCAAAATAGAAGATGGGAGTGTTTGTTTTGTAGTGAAGTGCTGATATAGTTGATGTGGAAAGAACAGTAACTCAAAACAAATGGGAATATTTGGTTAGGGTTTCCTCTGTCTAGTTAACTAAGGCCTTGTCTACACTACACAGTTTTGTTGACAAATGTGGGGCAGTGTACACACAACAATGCTCCTGCTATGCCGACATAATAAAACCATCCTGACAAGCTGCACAGAGCTTTTTGCAACAAAGTTAGAGCAAGGCAGTTTCAGTGTAGATGCTGCGGTTGCTTGTGTTACCCTAAGTGGCCTCCAGAAGGTGTCCCATAATGCCCATCATGACTGCTCTGGTGAGCAGTTTCTACTCAGCTGCCTTGCAACCAAGTACACAGACACGCACCCTTCTGCCTTTAAAGCCCCAGGAATTTTTGAAATTCCGCTTCCTCACATTGCATCTTCCCAACTGACCATATTAGCTTTCTCTAGCAAATGTGCTCCTGCTTGGAGTGCTCAGGAGTTGCTGGATCTGTTGGGTCTGTGGAGAGACGGTGCTGTGCAATTGCAGCTCTGATCCAGCCATAGGAACTTTGACATCTACAAGCAGATTACTTGTGGTATGGATGAGAAGGGACACAAAAGGGACATGCAACAGTGCTGTGCTAAGATCAAGGAGCTGAGGCAGAAGTCAAGGGAGGCCAACTGTTGCTCTGGTGCGGCGCCAAAAACATGTCACTTCTAAAAGGAGCTAGACACCATCCTCAGTGGTGACCCCACCTCCACTGACAAGAGCCCTGTGGATACTTTGGGCAGACTGGAGGCAGCGGCCAGTGGAGTCAACCCCAAAGACAAAGTGGTGGACGAGGAGGTCAAGTTGGAGGGTGATGTGGGATGGGCGACAGGGTCATCTGGTTGCATGGCAAGCCAAAAATCTCTTTTTTACTCTGGAAGGGTCTAGCCAGTCCCACCAATCCAGCTGTGGCATGCCTGAAGTAGGAGAGGGGAGCTCTGGTAAGTACTCATTTTGCTTTGATAGTGCACGGTTACATGCAGTAGAGGTGTCCTTTATTTAGTTTGTTAATGCACACTGAGATCTCCTGGGAATCCTCCATAGAAATCTCGAGGAAACTTTCCTGCAGATACTCTGCAATCCTCTGTCAAAATTTCTTTGGCAGAGCTGCTTTGTTTCTTCCACTGTTGTAGGAAACTTTGCCTCACAAATTGTCAATTACTTCTGGAGGAACCCAAGCAGCATATGGACCCAGTCTGAAGCTGCATACATGCGGGAGATGCACCCTTACACCTTCAGTAACCCTCAGTCATGTGATTTCAGCTTTGATCTCACCCACCTATGGAAAATGGTCCCAGTATTCAGAATAGCGTCCGTAGACACTTGGACTGCTCCCCTTTGAAACCACCCACTTTGTCCCATCTTGCACCACCACCCCCCAGTCAGAACTCACCATGTTTAGTGCTCTGGCTGTGCTGCATGCTTCCCAGGGAAAGTGAGAAAGAGGCATATGTAACTTTAATGATTCAAGACAGACTTTGTGTATTGTTTCTTTTGCTTCTGCAGATATGCCCTTGATGGTAAGCTCCTACGTACCAGTGGAGCACCTCTGTCAGACAGGGAGGTGAAAGAGGAGGAGTAAGGAAGACATGTTTTGCAAAGTGCTGCATCATCAGATCAAGCCATTAGTGAGCATGAAGAGAAACAAATTAAAAACTAGAACTGGATAGCCAGGAGAGGAGACAGGGCCAGGAGTACATAATAGAGGGTCAGGAGCAGATATCCATGGAGGACCAAACAGAGATGCTGAGGGCCCTGATTGTGCTGCAGGTGGAACACATGTGTGCTCGACTCCCCCTGCAGTCCATACAGAACTGCCTTCCTTGCCCTCCCCAACCCCCCCCCCCCACACACACACATTCCTCTCACATTCCTGGTTCGTTGCAGTACCTCTTGCACTCTACCCCAGGGACATTTTCCATAATGACAGTTGGACTTATTCACAGCTATGAGATCCTCACTTCAGAGAGTGCTGCTCACTGTCATGTCCCTTGTAAGAAATGTTAATCTGTATATTGCTGTTTAATAAAAATCAAGTCTTACAAAGACAGTGATTATTTGTGACTGACACAGGGTTATTGCAGCAGAAATTCATACACAGTGGCTATCGGCACACTTGCAGATTACAATTAATGCTCAGGCAGGAATGCTTACAAGCGTCATCCAATGTGGCAAGTAAACAATGCCTGGCTCAATTGATTACAGGAAGACACATTATTGGGGCTCAGTGTCAAAATGCTGCTTCAAAGTCCCCTGATTCAAATAGCCCCCATTAAACCCCTCCAATAGCCCTGGTTTCTGGCTGCTCAAAATCAGCCACCAGTTAATCCACCTCAACACTCCACCCCTGGGGAAACTTTTCCCCCTTGGCTTCACAATTGTTATGTAGAGCACTGCAGACTGCTATGACCATACGAAACTGTAAAGGAGCGAGAGATGAGTGACAAAGACGTTCAAATGGAGGGAATGCAAGCCCTGTGAGCACAGGCTGAATTAACTGGGTATGTTTATAAGATTAAGAGGGGGGGACATGATAGTGGTCTTCAAATACTTGAAAGGCTGCCATAAAAAAGATGGAGAAAAGTTGTTCTCTTTTGCCACAGAGGTTGTCAAGTTTCCTTCCCCACTCTGAAGTCCAGGGTACAGATGTGGGGACCTGCATGAAAGACCCCCTAAGCTTATTCTTACCAGTTTAGGTTAAAAACTTCCCCAAGGTACAAGCTTTGCCTTGTCCTTGAACAGTATGCTGCCACCACCAAGCATTTTAAACAAAGAACAGGGAAAGAGCCCACTTGGAGACGTCTTCCCCCAAATATCCCCCTCCCAAGCCCTACACCCCCTTTCCTGGGGAAGGCTTGATAAAAGTCCTCACCAATTTGTACAGGTGAATACAGACCCAAAGCCTTGGATCTTAAGAACAATGAAAAAGCAATCAGGTTCTTAAAAGAAGAATTTTAATTAAAGAAAAGGTAAAAGAATCACCTCTGTAAAATCAGGATGGTAAATACCTTACAGGGTAATCAGATTTAAAACATAGAGAATCCCTCTAGGCAAAACCTTAAGTTACAAAAAGAGACAAAAACATACATACATACATACATACAAGAGACATACATTCCCTCCAGCACAGCTTATTTTACAAGCCATTAAACAAAAGAAAATCTAATGCATTTTCTAGCTAGATTACTTACTAACTTTACAGGAGTGGTAAGGCTTGCATTCCTGATCTGTTCCCAGCAAAAGCGTCACATAGACAGACCAAACCCTTTGTTCCCCCCCCTCAAGATTTGAAAGTATCCTGTCCCCTCATTGGTCATTTTGGGTCAGGTGCCAGCGAGGTTACCTTAGCTTCTTAACTCTTTACAGGTGAAAGGGTTTTGCCTCTGGCCAGGAGGGACTTTATAGCACTATATACAGAAAAGTGGTTATCCTTCCTTTACATTTATGACAGAGGTCAGGACAAGAGGCAATAGCACAGCTATTTAAACTATATTCAAACTATAGCACAGCAGATTTAGATTAGCTCTCAGGAAAAACTTCCTAACTGTAAGAACAGTACGACAACAGAACAGACGTCTCAGAGGTTGTGGAAGCTTTGTCACAGGAGGTTTTCAAAAATAGGCTGGAGAGCCATCTGTCTTGGATGGCTTAGACAGAACAAATCCTGCATTTTGGCAGGGGGTTAGACTAGATGACCTTTGTGGTCCCTTCTAATTCTATGATTCTATGATATATTAAGGAAAACAAAAGGAGATGAATGAGAGAAGAAAAAGAACAACAGGAAACACAGTAAATGGTTTCATTAATACAGTTCTAGTGCTTAGTCCTTTCTAAAATTCAGATTCCCACTGGTAGAACACAGCATCATTCTGCACCCACTGAGAAAGTGATGTCACACAATTCAGAAATCCCCACACTGTGAGACCCAATAGCTAATTACACAGTGTTGAAATCTATGTACACCAACATGAATCATGTATGCCCAAAGCTACAATACCAGTTTCTGTCTCATTCAGAGAGGGTACTGAGAGAAAATAGAGCATATGTGTGTGTGTGTGTGTGTGTGTGTGTGAAGGAATTCAAATCAAATTTAGTTTAAATGAAGGACCACATTTTTTTCAGATTGAAAATCATCAGCAAATATAAACGAGCAACTTGCTAGTCAAAAATACAAAAATACCAAGCTATTTCAAGGGTGATTTTGTCCGATCTAAATGTAATTTATTTTGTCCTTACCTTCAGGCAGCCAGTATCAATGTACTCCACTGTTCCAGGAGTGACTTGCAATGGATTCTTTTTGCAAATGTATCCAAATTTCTTATCACAAACATTGTCTGCCCAGTATCCATCCTGAAGGCAGTTTGGGAAAAAGATTATCAGTTAAGAGGAACTAAAATTCTTTACACGACTGCTTTTTTTTTTAATGTTCCTTTAAAAGTAAAAAGAAATATGCTTATTATTTTTCCCTGAAGCTAGTTCATGAATTGATTTATAAAGAAGCTATAACTGTTGAATTGAGTTGTCTTGAACCATGGGGTGCAGAGTTACAAGGATTGCTGGATATGCTAGAGAAGTAAATGCATTATCATATCTGAATACTGATCTAAATTTCTCTAAAATTAAAACCATAAACTCATTGAGCAACTAGAGATATCATCATATGGTATTATTCTAAAACAAGTTCTCCAGTTTTTGGACATCTAATTAAAAATAAAAAACAGAAAGAAAATATGATGTTAATGCATAGATATAATTGCATTATTTCACCTGTCCTTTCATAACAACACAATCTTCTTGTCTGCTGTTTGCATGGGTTGGTTCTCCACGGAGCCACTTTGTGTATGTCACAGGCATCTTATCACTCCATTCAAAATACATTTGAATCCCGAGGTCATTCAAACCAATCCACAGCTCATCAGTTGGCTCTAAGAACATAAATTCGGCTATGTTTTTATCTACATTGTAATAATCTTCAGGAGCAGGATTTTATGATGATGAGCTGAAATTGTTACATTGCATTACAAAGCCACTCCAGATAAATTGGTAATGTTGTCTACTTTAATGTCTATTTCATGTTCCCCCCTTCATTCAAGAAGAGATAGGAAATACCACCAGGAAAGCAAATCATTCTACTTAGCAGCAGTATCAGCTGCTCCTTTTGTGACCCCTGCAGTTACCCAATGTGCTGCAGTAACTGGGGCTGTGATTTCCTTCAAAAGATTTGTTGTAAATTAACAGCGATGATAAGTTAGTATCAGTCATCCGGCATAGTTTATATATATTTATGTAAAAAGAAAAGGAGTACTTGTGGCACCTTAGAGACTAACCAATTTATTTGAGCATAAGCTTTCGTGAGCTACAGCTCACTTCAGCATGCTTTATGTGTATATAAAAAGATCTTCTACACTTTCCACAGTATGCATCCGATGAAGTGAGCTGTAGCTCACGAAAGCTTATGCTCAGATAAATTGGTTAATCTCTAAGGTGCCACAAGTACTCCTTTTCTTTTTGCGAATACAGACTAACACAGCTGTTACTCTGAAACCTGTATATTTATGTGTGTGCTTACCTGTAAATATCCATATAAATTAAATATAAACCATTAAAAAGCTACAAAATTTCTAATATTTAAAATGATCCACATGTGCACATTACTGCCCAGTGGAAATACTCACTGTACCCAAGTTGAGACACTATAAAGCTGTGCTCTTTAATGTTGTGGATACTGGCCAGATCACCATCCTCCTTTGTACAGGAAGTCAATGCTTCTTTCCACATTTTGGGCTCACTGTGAATCATGTAACAGTGACCTGTGTATGGCAACCAGCCCTCTGGGCATTTACTAGATGCAGAGAACTCTAAAATAAATAAAAATATTTCAGAACAATTCAAGTTAGAGCCTGGAATAAATGTGGTTAAATTTGAAATTAATTGTGAAATTAATTAAAAATAAAAGAAGAGTTAAGGTACTGGAAGTATTTTTTTCTCATTCTACATTTAAATATCTAAGGCTATTAGATCTATCTGCTATGATACACAGAATTTGGTGTAGAAAATATAAACATATTCAACCAAGACAGAAAAAAATGGGATCAATGCCAAATGGACTTCAGAGTTTGAAAACATCAACATTGCAAAATGTGCAAATTTGGACACATTATGTTTTATAATTCCAGATGTAATATTTTCACATAATGCATTGCATCTAATTATGTTTTGCATATTATTGCAACAGTAGCAATTACCTCTCAGCATATGTTTACTTTCTACATCATAGGTTCTTGTCAGGGTTCCCTCCCCACTCTGAACTCTAGGATACAGATGTGGGGACTTGCATGAAAGACCTCCTAAGCTAATTTCTACCAGCTTAGGGTAAAACTTCCACAAGACACAAACTCTTTGCCCTTGGAGGGTACGCTGCCACCAACAAGTGATTTAACAAAGAATCAGCAAAAGGACCACTTGGAGTTCCTATCCCCCCAAAATATCCCCCCAAGCCCTTACCCCGCCTTTCCTGTGGAGGCTTGAGAATAATATCCTAACCAATTGGTTACAAGGTAATCATGGACCCAAACCCCTGGGTCTTAGGACAATAGAGAAATCAGTCACTCTTTTAAAAGAAACAGAACTTTATTAGAAAGAAAAAAGGTAAAAGAAGCACCTCTGTAAAATTGGAAGGGAAGCTAATCTCACAGGGCAATCAGATTTAAAACACAGAGGATTTCCCTCTGGGCAAAACTTTAAAGTTACAAAAATAAAACCAGGAATACACCTTCCTCTCAGCACAGAGAAAATCACAAGCCAAAGCAAAAGTAAACTAATGCATTTCCTTGTTAGTGCTTACTAATTCTAATGGAGTTGTATTGCCTGCTTTCTTGACTTCTCTCTGGCAAGCACACAGAAAGGACAGACAAAAGCCTTCCCCCCCCCATAGATTTGAATGTATCTTGTCCCCTTATTGGTCCTTTTGGTCAGGTGCCAGCCATGTCACCTGAGCTTCTTAACCCTTTACGGGTAAAAGGATATTGTGCCTCTGGCCAGGAAGGATTTTATAGTACTGTATACAGGAAGGTTGTTACCCTTCCCTTTGTATTTATGACAGTTCTCAATAAATAATTTGTCAGAGACAGGATAGCTGTCTTTCTTTTCTCAGAAAAGTGGTGCTGCAGTAAATCTTTCCCTTTGCCAGTTACAGGATCTAATACCTAGGGACAAATTCCATTTGACTTTATCAGGAGGTGATATGAGCCTATACTGCAGTCTTTACAGGGCTTCCAGTGATCATGCTGCTGCTTGCTAAGGCCCAGATCCAGTGACCACTCAAGTCAAGGGGAATCATTCTTGGAAGGCCAGAACACATTGTAGCAGGTGCTAAACATCCTGAACTCCTATTGGGTTTATGCGGGGAAGCACAATCCATTTTATTTCTTTGTGAAGTTAAATTATGTCAGGATGTCCATGGCTTAGATCAGGGGTGACCAACCTGTGGCTCCTGAGTCACATGCGGCTCCTTGTATAGGCACCAACTCCAGGGCTGGAGCTACAGGCGCCAACTTTCCAATGTGCCGGGGGGTGCTCACTGCTCAACTCCTGGCTCTTCCACAGGACCTGCCCCCACTCCACCCCTTGCCGCCCCCTCCCCTGAGCCTGCAGTGCCCTCGCTACTCCCCCCTTTCCCTCCCCCGGAGCCACCTGCATGCCACAAATCAGCTGATCGGGAGTTGCGGGGAGGGAGGGGAAGGTGCCGGTGGGAGGGAGGTGCTGGGAGCGGAGGTTGGGGGGAGCTGATGAGGGGCTGCTGACGTATTACTGTGTCTCTTTGGTAATGTACGTTGGTAAATTCTGGCTTCTGCTCAGGTTGGCCACCCCTGGCTTAGATGGTAACCTCTGTTTTTATAAATAAAAATAAAATAAAAATAAATCATTTAAATTTAGGTGTGCACTGAGTTCTAGAAAAGTTGCCAAAGTTTAGACAACCTACTTTAGATTGATTAAATAATGGTATACTTCCTAGAGTGTCTAAAACAGGGAAATGGGTAGAATGGTTTGTTCTGTGCAACCAGCAAAATAGAACATATGCGATTTTTAAAAAGAATTACTCTTGGATGAAGCAAGTTTGTCATTTCATATAAATAAAAATGCATTTCTGTGACAGATCTCTGCAGACCAAATCCATACAATTTAAATAAAAAGCTTTTACTATAATTTTTATTGACTGACCTACCTGAAGGAAGAGAGAAAGAATCCAAAGTGGAGTTTTTCCTTTTACAAATATAGCCAATTTTCTGATTACATTCACGGTTTTCCCATTTAGCACCTCCTCTAGGATTTAGTACTGAACACATTTTCTCAGGTTCCAGAGAAGGGTTTCCTTCAAGAAATGAATTCAAAACCAGTGAATTTCCTTGTAGGCAGTGCAAATCCTCATGTTTTTTTGTACCTTTTCCCATATAGATTATGGACTCAGCATTTCACTGGTATTATTATTTTTATACTGTAGCTAAAGAAATGTGTTAAAATAGCTCTTTACTGGTCAATGTTCCCTTAAACATGTATGATAAAATATGAATTCCATAACATCTGATGTAATATTCAACTGGGGTCAGTTCATACTGATATTACTGCTTAACAGTCAACTTAATGAGACAAATTCTGCCCTCATGTTCTCTCATGAAATCTGAGGACACAATCTGGCCCAATATTTTTGTGCACTGCATATTCTCCTATTGATTCTTGTGCATAATTCTGGCTCATGCTAGGAATTATATATGTATGTATTGAAAGAAGAATATACCCCAGTGTTTGAATAATCAGACACTAACAATACAGAGAAATTGTATGCATTTAGGGGAAACATTCATATTCCTTTTATAAATTCTATTTACTGTTTAGAAAGTAAAAGAAGATAAGTGGAAAATCATATTTTCTAAAATTATTGGAAATAAGAGAATTTTATTACTGACCTATATGACCCATTGTCAAGGGAATGCAGAAACAACCTGGGTGAAGGCTGTATGAGGCCAAGGCACAATGCCCCCTTGAATCAACGAGGTGGGGCATGAAGTTTGATGGGACCAGCAGGGAATAGTCAAACCCTGGAGTCCTGGGGAAGATATAGGCAGGCCAGACTACTCTGGAGCCTTCCTCCAATCATGGTGTCAGGAAAGGTAGGTAGCCATACACTCCAACTCTAAAGGAACTTTAAGACTTGGTGAGGCTTGGGAAAAGAAAATCAAATATATTTGCTCAGGAAGCAAATATAATGTTGAATAAAATTGGGGTTTGTGAGGCAGCTGAGATCATAACAAGAGTTTTGAATTTGAGCCACATCATTGTTACTATGACGACAGTAGAGATTACTTCAGGGCTAGAATGTAAATGCACGGGAACTCACATGGTCAAAGACTCTTTAGGATAAAAACGAGAAGAAAGTCTCAAAAATAAGGAGGAAAAACTCTGAGAGACTAAAACCCACTGCCACTGAGAGCTGACACATTGAGATGTTGTCAAATGGAAATGATGAAGTTTAAGGGGCACAAAGAGAATGTTAGATGTCTTAATTGGCTCAACATTACCTCTAAATACATTCCTTATGCAGCCCAGCTGTTACCCAGACAGAGGCTATATAGGATTTTATTGCATTTTACTTTTGATATAGGATTTTCTCTTACTTTTCTAATGAACTTGGTTTCCTTAAGATGATGATTTCTGTTTTTTTTTTTATTTTCAGATTACACATTAAAAGCATAACTCCACTGTCAGATCTTTAAAGTGGAGCTCAGCTCCAACTATGATCTATTCATATGGCTCTCATTACAAATGTTATATTTATATGTGGGAAAAGTACAAAATTGTAACTGATATCCATTCAACATTCTAGCTGCAGATTTTCATCCTTAAAACCATTCTAAAAATTACCCCTACCTAGAGCCCAGTTTAAATATCTGAAAGGACTGCCACCACTCCATTGCCATCCATAGTTGAAATTCAGACTGTTAAGCCCAATCCAGAGAGCCGATCTCATCCTATCAATCAAATCTAAAGAACCAAAAGAAATGAAAATACATCATCATACATTTGTTGTAAAATACTTTACAGCCACAATGTTTTGAAGAAGCTAATAGTTGTCTGCTTAGTGGTTTCCAAAAGTCAACATGCTTTTTGTGTTGACTCATAGTAAATATGCTAAATTGTTATTAAAATATACTATTTAAAATTGAGCATTAATTGCAATTTAGTTATTGGTCATCTATGAGATGAGGATGACAAAAATACAAGTACCTTATTATTTGATCTGAATTTGACGCCATTCACCATAACATTTAGTGTTTGCAATAAGCTTTGGCAAAGAAAGGCATTAAGTGCTGCAAATTATATTTTTATTGCTAAATTCACTCTAAGTTTTGATGCAAAATCATTCAAAGGCTTCATTCAAAAAGAGCCGATATTTATGTGCACAATATTTATGTGAGCTGCTGACAGGGTTAATCCAGTCAGGTGCTTTATATGAAAGGAAATTCCCGGAATGTTGTATGTATTGGAATTGCTATATGAGGAACAGCTGAATTTCCAGTACTGTAAGCTTATAAATGGCAATATCTAGTGTAATATGAACAAAATAGCTCTTCCTTCAGTGTTATCATATCAAGGACATTTCCTGAACTTCCTGAATTTTCTTTGAGGTTGATCCAACTCCCAACTAAATCAATGGGAATCCTTGAATTTACTGTAAAGGGAATTGAATCAGATACTTTCTAAGCCATTTGAATGGTAATTCCACATCTTGTTTCAAAAACATAACTTTCTGTGTTTAGGTTTTTTTCCTACACGTTAGCACATATTGCTAATATTCAATACGCTTATTAATTACAATACGTGATTAAACCACTAAAAAGTTAGTGATCCAATCCAACACAGAAAAATAACTCGTTTTCACTCAGAATTGCTTTGGTAATTCACCTCTCAGATACATTTGCTGATGTATCTCTGTGATACTTAATAATTCTGCATTCTGTTGCTGACAGCTTTTCCACACTTGGCGCCATGTAAGAGCTGATTGGAAGTTTATCTGGTAGTGGATGCCTGTAAAAGGGTCTGTAGTCCAAAATCTGTGAGTTTCATTATCTGCATGAGAGAAGTGGGATGCAATGTTGCCATTTATTATGACTAATGCATATAAAATGAATGATAAAATTTAACTGTGAGTGTACTTGTAAAGTCGCGCTGTTCCAACAGAGAAAACAGAATCCTCTCTTTAAAAGTGGGAGTCTGTTATTTTGCTCCATGGATTAAATCCTGACCCCACTGAAGTCAATGGGATGAGCCACTGATTTCAACAGGGCCAAGATTTCACCTGATATATTCAGTTTCATAGCTCAAATGTGACAATCTCCCAAAGAAAGAAATACAATGGTGCAAATCCTGCTCCTTCCTCCATGGCACTATACAGCCCTAGTCATAATAGATTTAACATGGTTCCACAACAAGGAGTAGAGAATAGATGAGAATTTGGGGTTCATGCCCACAGTATCTACACTCTCATACATGATAAAGCACAACTCTTGAGTGGCTCCCTGTGCATTCCCATGCTGCCATATTTGGGAGGTGGGGTCAGGCAGGCCAAGGAAGGATTAGAGTTGACCCAACAGCCATTGCACCCTCAGGAAGGAGTTACTGGTTTTTAGTTTTATGGCCAAATTCAGCACTATGATGTTCATTGGCTGGTTAAGGCAAATTCACAGCTGCTTTGCATCACAGGAGTGGCACAAAACAGTCAGAGCAAACTGGGGAATCTGGTCTTTGACTTTCTCTCTCATTCTGAAAAAGCAAGGAAATTAACAGCAAATGATGACATTGATGCAATATTAAGGTTGAGATTGTATTTGCATTATGTTCTACAAATTCATAGTTCATCTTCCTAGTGTGACCTTCTCTCTAACCTCAGTATCCATTTTATGTATCCATTTTAATAGGGTCACAGAGTCATAGAGTTTAAGGCCAGAAGGGACCACGAGATCATCTAGTCTAACCTCCTGTAAATCACAGGCTGCCGCCACCACCAACACCCAGTACCAGCACACTAAGCACAATAACTGAAATAAAATCAAAGTATTACAACCCACAGGAGACTAGACTGCTATGTGCTACAGGCAGAGACTACGATGGACCGAGATGCACCAGTGCTGGAGGCCTGTGCAATGGCAGGAAATGATTAAGTGAGCTACACCAGATAATCCTGGCAAGTGACCTGCACCCACATGCTGTGAAGAAAGGTGAAAAAATCCAAGGTCACTGCCAATCTGACCTTGGGAAAATTCCTTCCTGACCCTACATATGGCTCTCAACTGAGTATGTGGCTTTCCAGGACGATTGTAATGGCCTCATTCTACAACCCTTACTCATGTTGGCCCAGATTCTGTGTCCCATTCCATTCTCTTTGTGCCACGCAGGAGACTGCTGACATCTCCCAAGGGGATATACATCTAGCATAGCCAGCTCCTATGTCTAGGGTGCCCAGATAGCAAGTGTGAAAAATCAGGACAGAGGATGGGGAGAAATAGGCACCAATATAAGACAAAGCCCCAAATATCAGGACAGTCTCTATAAAATCAGGACATCTGGTCACCCAACCTGCAACTCCAACACAGCAGGCCTGCCAAAGATGGAGAGGTGATATACTACTGCTATCCATAGCTGGCAGTGAGGGAAATAGCCCCTGAGGCAACGGAGGCCTGGGCTACACTGGGGCAGGGGTTCGAACTAAGATACTCAACTTCCGCTATGCTATTCGCGTATCTGAAGTCGAAGTATCTTAGTTTGAGTTACCTTGCTGTCCTCATGGTGGCGAGTGAACCGCGGCGGCTCCCCCGTCAACTCTGCTTACTCCTCCTGCCGAGGTGGAGTATAGGTGTCGATTCGGGAATCGATTTATCGCGTCTAGACAAGACGCAATAAATCAATCCCCGATAGATCAATCACTACCTGCCGAGCCAGTGGGTAGTGAAGACATACCCTGATAGTGGCTGCCTGATACACTGGTGGTTTTATGCTGACTACAGTAGAATTTAGAGTTGCCTAGAGATGCTGCTCAAAACTCTGCAGTTGATAACAGTCCCCAATTAACCAGAGTTCTTTTTCTATAATTATAGATGCACACAGGTAATATTTTATATGACTACCTTGTATTGCACTAGATTTTACATTAGTGCCCTGTAAGAAATGTTATAGGGTGGAGGTAGAGGATGATGCAAAATAAATCAGTTCAAGTTTTGTCTTGTGAACATGACACTGTCAGTGACATTTCAACAGTGTTGTTCTGTTTCCTAAATATTGTGCTATTATATATTCTAAATCAACATTCAGAACTTACATTTTAATGGGCAAAATCCATACAATTGGTCTGTGTCAAAGTCTGCAGTTGTTCCACACCAGAGCAAGCCATCTGACCTGGCAGCATCTGTACACTCAGCATACCATTTACCACTCAGCTTGAAAGGGAATACGCAGGGTGCCCCATTGGCATTTCCTAGCCATGTAAACAAATCTGAGGATACAAAATGATAGAAGTCAGTATAGAAATAGTAATAAAAATAAGGAAGCTTGATTGCCCAACTCTCTAATCCTCTGTATCACATGTGGGAGGGCCGCTGCATGCATGGTCACTGATGGCCCACTGTTACTCTCAGAGCAGCATAAGACAGTCCAGGAAACACTGTGTGACTTATACATTTGTTCAGTAAAAAGAAAAGGAGTACTTGTGGCACCTTAGAGACTAACACATTTATTTGAGCATAAGCTTTCGTGAGCTACGGTTCACTTCAACGTATGCATCCTGGCAGCTGGAAACTGAACCTTCAGAACTCATGCTCATGAGATGGTGGAAGCACCTACTTATTTTCACTAAATTCATATTAAGATTAGTTTCTTTGAACTGAAAAAATTGTGTTCCTCTTATACCTTCATTTTTAATAATTGTACATTTTTAAGTAAATATCTTTTCAGTTCACCCTTAAAAGGACTTTTCATCTTCTAAAGTCACTTAAAGCATTTGGAGGAACTGTACACAGAATTGATTTTCTTTTCTGATATTAATGGGCCAACAACGTTGAAGTGTGAAGTAAGCAGAGATAAATTTGTGCCTCTCATCCAGTAACTACAAAGCAATTTACTAGCACGTATACTGCAGCTGAATAGACTAACAGAGTTACACTTAATAATTAAAAATAATCAAATTCCATTTTTGCTTTTCAGACAACACATTTTTCCTTCATGGTGCTGAACAAATCATATCATGGTTATGATTCGTGTGTAAAGTGAAGAGTGTATTTGCAGGATTGGGATGTATAAACCACCAGTCATGCTCTACCATAGTCTCATAGGAGAACTGAGTGTGGCTGATTATACGATCAGATGAATATAAATCAAATTACTCTGACACATAAATAAATTAGTTCAGAACAATGAAAAGATTAATTTTCAGACTTTACCTTCATAGCCCTGAGAGCACAAATCATCTGTGGTTCCATAGATCTTCCACTTACTCCTCACATCTGATTCCTTCTGCAGCATAAGATTTCCTTTTTCTCTGCTGCCAGAGTTAAAAAACAAATCTTCTCCTTGGATTGCAAGAAGGGTTTCATTTCTGCATTCCCAGTGTTGGAGTTCACTTGTCTTGTTACAGGGATACAGAGTGATTATCACCTGGTCTTTCTTTGAAGGCACTCCCAAGCATGGCCTCAATGCTACACTCATAAGCTGGTGATCAGAGACCCACCTGAATTTTTGTGACTCAGTATCCTGGTTGCAAGTGGCAGTTGTGATGGAGCTAGAACTGTGAGCCTGTACACAGCGCTTGAGGTCTTTATTATATATTAAAAATATTTCATTATCTGCAAAACAAAATGAGAATAATTAATGTGTTTGGGTGGAGAGAGGCTGAGGGGAAAACCATAAGCATATGTGGGGGTGTTGCTTTATTGAATCAAGAGTGGGCCTTTTACTCATGGCAAGTGATTGTGGGTTCAAGTCCACTTATAGTCACAGAGGCAGTATCTTCAGGAGCCTGAGTAGGAAAGGGAAAAAAAATATCAGGTGTGACTTGTGCATACACAACACGAAGAGCCAATCAAGCAAAGAAGAAATGTAACAATTTATATTATACCACATTTTAACAAAGCAATAATTATAATGGAACTTTCTTTTTTCCTTTAACTTTGTCCCGAAAAAAACACTTCTTCCAAGAAGCTTTTCTGGATGCACTAAATCATGCCTCAATAATAACTATGTGGGTGACACCAGACAATCACTGCGCTCTCGAATGAACTCACACAGGAAAATGATAAAAGACAAAAATACCCTATCACCTGTGGGTGAACACTTCTCACAAAACGATCACACTATATCTTACCTAGCAGGCCTCATCCTGAAAGGAAACCTGCACAACATTTTCAAAAAAAGTGTCTGGGAGCTTAAATTCATAACTCTGCTAGACAGTAAAAATCATGGGCTGAACAGACACACGGCATTTATTGCTTATTACAAAAATCTGTAACCCACTAACCTTCTCTTTTTGTCCCATGACTGCAGAGGTGTTAACAGGCCACTCTGCCTTGAATGGTCCCTTACAATATGTGCTAATTGCTTAGGCTAGCTAAACAATCTGTTCCACCTTGCATTTTGCTGTGACACTGGGAGCACCTTTCCCAGACCTGAAGAAGAGCTCTGTGTGGCTTGAAAGCTTGTCTCTCTCTCACCAGCAGCAGTGGGTCCAATTAAAGCTTGTCTCTCTAATATCCTGGAGCTGACATGGCTACAACTACACTGCATACAAAAATAATAGCTTGTTATCCAATTTCCTATGTCCTTTCATTAGTGCAGTTACAGCAAGAGTCTAATATAACTTATACAATCAGATGATAGGCAAATTCCAACTACAGCAACGAAACACACAATGTGGAAGTATGGTTAAGAAACATTACAATTCACATAAATAGGTAAGGCTAGAACTGGCATTTCCTCTATAGAAAGAGCTGTGTTCCATCTCCCTAAGCCTTCTAGCTCTGGAGCTTACACAAGTGTTGAAGGAGCTTGTGTGTGGCATTGTATACAAATTATTCAATGAGCTAATTTTTATATTTGTAAATAATTTGCATATAACCATAAATCTCATTTTATGGTCAGCACACCCTGCTCCAAGCTATGTCAAGGATAGGACACGGGGCAGGACATAGTGTTAGGTCATCTGGAGTAGATAGGAGATTCGGGTATCTGGGTGTTCTTTGGGTGTAAACAGAGTGCTGTTGGGTGACGGCTGGGTGTTCGGGTTTTGGAGTGGGAGGGTAGCTAAGTTGTTACTTGAGGGCTATGGTTGCTCGGTGGTGGGTAAGGGGAGTTCTTTCCGGATGGTTGAGTCTGGCTGGAGGAGCCTGGGGACAGTTCTGAGCTGCCTCACATGTTGCCACCACCTGCTCCCGCTGGCTGTTCCTTCCCTGCTCAGCTCCAACAAGGGGAATTCAGCAACAGAAGAGGCAGAGAGGCTGCCACAGAAGCCCCTTTGTGACAAGGCAGAACAATTACCCCCAAACCACAACCCAGCTGAGGAGGATCCATCCGAACTCTCAGAATGAGTGACAAGGCTGCCAAGAGCCTGAGCATCAGCTGAGGAAGCCTTTTTCTCATTTATTTGTTTTCATTGTGTATTCCTGTGTGGTCAGTACCAGGGGCCTCTTAGCTTCCACTGAGAAGAATGAAGTAAGACGGCAAATTGTTTTTAAATAGCTAAAACAAAACAAAAAACTAATGATGGGGCGGGAGTAAGGGGGTCAATTGCCTGAATCACCCGTATAGATGTGAGGTGTATCTTGTTATCTTAACTTTTCTAAATCAAATGAATATACTGAATACACCTTTATGGAATTTTTAAATAAAAATAACCTCTTTTAGATGTATAATGGACCCTGGCCCTTTCAGCCCTACCTCTGATCAGTGATTTTAAACAAGTCCATTGCCCACAAGTCCATGCTGCAGTTGTAGTGTGACAACAGAATTTCTTATAGAACAGAACTCTATAGACAACTATTGTTACCAAACATTCTATTAAGTATAGTTAAGACTGAAGAGGAATTATGCTACATGATCACTAAATATTTCAAATGTGTGTGTCCAAAATTAGGGTTCTAAATCCACATTTAGGCATCTAAATGGAATTAGTCTCATTTTCAGAGCTCCAGAACACACACAGCTCCCAGTGATTTCCACTCCTGAGGGCTAGATTGTGTTTTAACATCACAGCTCGGTGGTGAAGAATGTTGAAGAAACCACAGAGCAGGATCTGGAAAACTCCGAGTAATCAAGGTCTGTGAAGAAAGATGGTCTTTTGACTAAGGTACTGGACTAGGATCAGGAGATATGGGGTCAATTGCCCACCATTTTCCTGTGTGACATTGAACAAGTCATTTAATCTCTCTGTGCCTCAGTTTTCCAGCTTTACAATGGGAATAATAATAAATCATTTTCTTCTACTCTGTCTGTCATAAATATAAAGGGAAGGGTAAACCCCTTTGAAATCCCTCCTGGCCAGGGGAAAGCTCCTCTCACCTGTAAAGGGTTAAGAAGCTAAAGGTAACCTCGCTGGCACCTGACCAAAATGACCAATGAGGAGACAAGATACTTTCAAAAGCTGGGAGGAGGGAGAGAAACAAAGGGTCTGTGTGTCTGTCTATATGCTGTTCTCTGCCGGGGATAGACCAGGAATGGAGTCTTAGAACTTTTAGTAAGTAATCTAGCTAGGTATGTGTTAGATTATGATTTCTTTAAATGGCTGAGAAAAGAATTGTGCTGAATAGAATAACTATTTCTGTCTGTGTATCTTTTTTGTAACTTAAAGGTTTTGCCTAGAGGGGTTCTCTATGTTTTTGAATCTAATTACCCTGTAAGATATCTCCCATCCTGTTTTTACAGGGGGGATTTCTTTATTTCTATTTACTTCTATTTTTATTAAAAGTCTTCTTGTAAGAAACTGAATGCTTTTTCATTGTTCTCAGATCAAGGGTTTGGGTCTGTGGTCACCTATGCAAATTGGTGAGGCTTTTTATCCAACATTTCCCAGGAAAGGGGGGGGGGTGCAAGTGTTGGGAGGATTGTTCATTGTTCTTAAGATCCAAGGGTCTGGGTCTGTAGTCACCTAGGCAAATTGGTGAGGCTTTTTACCAAACCTTGTCCAGGAAGTGGGGTGCAAGGTTTTGGAAAGTATTTTGGGGGGAAAGACACGTCCAAACAGCTCTTCCCCAGTAACCAGTATTAGTTTGGTGGTGGTAGTGGCCAATCCAAGGACGACGGGTGGAATATTTTGTACCTTGGGGAAGTTTTGACCTAAGCTGGTAAAGATAAGCTTAGGAGGTTTTTCATGCAGGTCCCCACATCTGTACCCTAGAGTTCAGAGTGGGGGAGGAACCTTGGCACTGTCAGTTTTGTGTATTTAGATGGTAAGCTTCAAATTGACAGAAAGCATTTCTTACTATGTGTTTATAAAGTGCTTAGCATAGTGGCCCCAATGCTAGTTAGGGCCTTGAGGTGCTACTTAGTACTAATAATAAGGTATAATAAGAATAGTCTTTCTCCACTAGTCTGTGGAGAAAGAGGTGGTTAGGGACTATTTAGAAAAGCTGGACGTGCACAAGTCCATGGGGCCGGACGAGTTGCATCCGAGAGTGCTAAAGGAATTGGCGGCTGTGATTGCAGAGCCATTGGCCATTATCTTTGAAAACTTGTGGCGAACGGGGGAAGTCCCGGATGACTGGAAAAAGGCTAATGTAGTGCCCATCTTTAAAAAAGGGAAGAAGGAGGATCCTGGGAACTACAGGCCAGTCAGCCTCACCTCAGTTCCCGGAAAAATCATGGAGCAGGTCCTCAAAGAATCAATCCTGAAGCACTTACATGAGAGGAAAGTGATCAGGAACAGTCAGCATGGATTCACCAAGGGAAGGTCATGCCTGACTAATCTAATCGCCTTCTATGATGAGATTACTGGTTCTGTGGATGAAGGGAAAGCAGTGGATGTATTGTTTCTTGACTTTAGCAAAGCTTTTGACACGGTCTCCCACAGTATTCTTGTCAGCAAGTTAAAGAAGTATGGGCTGGATGAATGCACTATAAGGTGGGTAGAAAGTTGGCTAGATTGTCAGGCTCAACGGGTAGTGATCAATGGCTCCATGTCTAGTTGGCAGCCGGTGTCAAGTGGAGTGCCCCAGGGGTCGGTCCTGGGGCCAGTTTTGTTCAATATCTTCATAAATGATCTGGAGGATGGTGTGGATTGCACTCTCAGCAAATTTGCGGATGATACTAAACTGGGAGGAGAGGTAGATACGCTGGAGGGCAGGGATAGGATACAGAGGGACCTAGACAAATTGGAGGATTGGGCCAAAAGAAATCTGATGAGGTTCAATAAGGATAAGTGCAGGGTCCTGCACTTAGGACGGAAGAACCCAATGCATAGCTACAGACTAGGGACCGAATGGCTAGGCAGCAGTTCTGCGGAAAAGGACCTAGGGGTGACAGTGTACGAGAAGCTGGATATGAGTCAGCAGTGTGCCCTTGTTGCCAAGAAGGCCAATGGCATTTTGGGATGTATAAGTAGGGGCATAGCGAGCAGATCGAGGGATGTGATCGTTCCCCTCAATTCGACATTGGTGAGGCCTCATCTGGAGTACTGTGTCCAGTTTTGGGCCCCACACTACAAGAAGGATGTGGATAAATTGGAGAGAGTCCAGCGAAGGGCAACAAAAATGATTAGGGGTCTGGAACACATGACTTATGAGGAGAGGCTGAGGGAACTGGGATTGTTTAGTATGCCGAAGAGAAGAATGAGGGGGGATTTGATAGCTGCTTTCAACTACCTGAGAGGTGGTTCCAGAGAGGATGGTTCTAGACTATTCTCAGTGGTAGAAGAGGACAGGACAAGGAGTAATGGTCTCAAGTTGCAGTGGGGGAGCTTTAGGTTGGATATTAGGAAAAACTTTTTCACTAAGAGGGTGGTGAAACATTGGAATGCGTTACCTAAGGAGGTGGTAGAATCTCCTTCTGTCAAGGTTCCTCCCCCACTCTGAACTCTAGGGTACAGATGTGGGGACCTGCATGAAAAACCTCCTAAGCTTATCTTTACCAGCTTAGGTCAAAACTTCCCCAAGGTACAAAATATTACACCCGTTATCCTTGGAATGGCCACTACCACCACCAAACTAATACTGGTTACTGGGGAAGAGCTGTTTGGACGCGTCCTTCCCCCCAAAATACCTCCCAAAACCTTGCACCCCACTTCCTGGACAAGGTTTGGTAAAAAGCCTCACCAATTTGCCTAGGTGACTACAGACCCAGACCCAGACCCTTGGATCTTAAGGGCAATGAACAATCCTCCCAACACTTGCACCCCCCTTTCCTGGGAAATGTTGGATAAAAAGCCTCACCAATTTGCATAGGTGACCACAGACCCAAACCCTTGGATCTGAGAACAATGAAAAAGCATTCAGTTTTTACAAGAAGACTTTTAATAAAAAATAGAAGTAAATAGAAATAAAGAAATCCCCCCTGTAAAATCAGGATGGGAGATATCTTACAGGGTAATTAGATTCAAAAACATAGAGAACCCCTCTAGGCAAAACCTTAAGTTACAAAAAAGATGCACAGACAGAAATAGTTATTCTATTCAGCACAATTCTTTCCTCAGCCATTTAAAGAAATCATAATCTAACACATACCTAGCTAGATTACTTACTAAAAGTTCTAAGACTCCATTCCTGTTCTGTCCCTGGCAAAGACCAGCATACCGACAGACACAGACCCTTTGTTTCTCTCCCTCCTCCCAGCTTTTGAAAGTATCTTGTCTCCTCATTGGTCATTTTGGTCAGGTGCCAGCGAGGTTACCTTTAGCTTCTTAACCCTTTACAGGTGAGAGGAGCTTTCCCCTGGCCAGGAGGGATTTCAAAGGGGTTTACCCTTCCCTTTATATTTATGACACCTTCCTTAGAAGTTTTTAAGGTCAGGCTTGACAAAGCCCTGGCTGGGATGATTTAATTGGGGATTGGTCCTGCTTTTGAGCCAGGGGTTGGACTAGATGACCTCTTGAGGTCCCTTCCAACCCTGATATTCTATGATTCTATGATTAGTTCCTCTTGGGATACCAGTGAAATTCACACTTCAGCTGCAGCTTTGCAACCCTTTTAAATCGACTCTGGTGGGTGATGGTGAAAGCCAGGCTCTATCCTCATTTAAGCCACGCTTTTGGGTGGCTATGGCATCTGGCAGTGCTAATAAGGAGCAGTAGCTCTACTTAGAAGTTATATTGTGTCCAATCCCTGCGCAGGGGTCCACTGAAGGATAGGGGAAGGCTGCTTGCACCCTTTCTCCATCCCCAGTCCATCAATGCAGGGCCAACCATGATCTGGCCCGAAAGTTCTTATTCAGAGTTAAATATGCACATACAACCTTAACTCTGCCCTGTGTCAATGCCCACAACCAGTTTCTGCCTATATCTTTGATACGTTCTTACACGCAAGCTTATATATTTCTAACAACAGCCACATAGCCCCACTTTAACGTTCAATTATTTATTTGCAAGTCATATCTTTTCTTTTACAAGCTCATCTAAAGTGGAAGAAGGTACACATCCAATACATTTTATTCTTTTATATAGATATGTGTTGCTGATTAAATCAGATCCTACAGGAAACTTCAAGATCATACCTGAGTGTGTCTGCCTCTGCTGTTACTTCTGCTCCCCTGTTAGGCCTGGACCCTGCTGCTTCCGTAAATATTTACCTTCTTCTGAGACGGATCCAACACATCTGGATAAGCATCTCTAGCCCATTTCTTTAAACCACTCAAATTAGGATTAATAATAAATTCAAAATAAACAGACTGGACCAGAGTGTCAAAGGAAAAGCACAAGAAGGGGAAGCACTTTCATATCCTCTCTTATCGCGGAGACAAAACAAGGACTTACCCAGTAGTTGCAAAGCACTATGAATAATAGTGAGAAAAACCAGCAACATGGAGAGAGTCATCACAAATGTTTAACTCCTTTCCACCAAGAGATGCGTTGTAATTAGTTGCTGTCAATAAAATCCTTCTCAGACAAGCTAGGTGGCAGGTCCTCCTCAGTTTCAAAAGGCTGATAGATCAGGGGAAAGCTCTGGGCTCTAAATAAGGAAATATCCTGTCACATGTGGCTTTTTAAAATAACTCAAATTCACAGTGTAAACTTTGCTCCTAAGAACAAAGTTTCCTTCCAGAGAAATGCAGGCAATAAAGTAATGTCAGATCAATACTGTTTTTCTGGACATATCTTAGTTTTACAGATGAATCAGTTGTTGGACTGTCAGGTCAATCAACTCTCTGGTGAAGATATCGGGGAGCAAACAGAATAAAAGAGCAAAGCTGTTCCCTTTCCTTAAAAAATGAACATTAATTCTCAAAAACATACTTAGAAAGCCAGTGGTGGAGCAGAGAATAGAAAACAGGTCTTCTGACTCCTAGGCCTTGTCATTACTTTAAAAATATATATATTTTACCTCAAGGTAATTAACATGCATCAGATATATTAAAATGAAGACAAGGCACTTTAGTTGTATCATGAAGTAAGCTAAGCCAGGTCAGCACGATACATCTGCCTGGGGTTGACCTTGCATAGTTTATCTCACGGCAAAACAAAAATGCCTATTCTTCCCTGTGTTTTTATCTCAGGATAGCTCATGTACGTTAGTTTCCTTGAGGTAAAAAATACACCTTTTTTAGCAGAGAAGGCAAGTCATCAGGGCTGCGCCGTCATGTACCCTATCCCCTAGACCATGCTGCAATTGAATAATTAGGAATTTAGAATCTTGTAGACCAAAATCCTGAATGTCAAAATGTTTGGAAATAACTAAAGTTCTAACACTAACATTACAGCTGGCCTTCATCTTAGTTTGTTCTCCATTTGCCAGAGAAAGCCTCCTTTTGAAAAAGAGACTAAGGCTCCTAGGTACTTCTGAAAGTTTCACCCCACGTGCTGTCTTGATTCACCACAAACTCCACAAAGCTGACCTTCCACCACCAGACCTGCTACCTGGTTTACATTGTGCAAGCCAAGAGTAAACTTACACAGTATGTTTAACATTTCTTCCAGCATGAAATGAGGAAGGCAGGGGTGGGGGAGATGAAGAGGGGAAATAGCATGCATTATTTTATATTTTTTGTGAATTAGTTCTCACAATTAGAGATTGCACTGTTTGAAAAATATGTAAAAGACAAAAGGCATTCAGCTAGCTAGAGAGTGAAGGCATCACATCTACCAATGAGGACACACTTTGGTGAAGGGAAAGTTGTACTGGATCCTGGCAATCAGTGGTGACACACCTAATCAGGACATAATGGATCTGTCTACATGCTAGAAGAGTTGTGACTCAACAATTAATCTACATAGTTATAATTCCTCATGTACAAGGTAACTTGAGAAGCGGTAACTTGAATTAAAGGTGGATAGGTATCTGTAGGTATTTGTGTGCTCATGAATTAAAATCCAAAATCAGATTTACCAATGCAGCAATAATGAAATGGAGAGGTCCAAGTGCAAGAATTAGACAATAGAATTGGTTAGAGAAACTTTGAACCATATTCCATCAACATTTAAATGCTTTGAGAAATCAGGTCAACTTAGCTGGAATTCTGTTTCAGAAGAATATTGCATTATAACATTTTCAGAATGAAACATTTCAATTATTTCAAACTAACGTCATTCAAAATGTTTTCTGTTTTGTATGATACATTATTAATATATCTTATCATACAAAATAATAAACAAAAGTATGAATCAAAATGAAATGTTTCAATTGACCTGACTACTTTGTGGAGAATTTCACAATGTGGTGTTGGGGGGAGAAAGGGGTGGTTCCAGTTTAGAAAAAAGCCAGTTTTTGAAATCTCAAAATTCTTTGCAAAATGGACCTTCCATCCTCCACACAGCTTTATTAGACAAGCTGTCTGATATAACAGCTCAACATAAACTCAAGAGGGAAGGAAAATCCTTAAGGAGCCTGGCAAAATGGGAGGCATTGGGTAAGCTGCTGAATTCTAAAGAAATGCTGATAAACAAAATAGCTACGGAGGTTAAGATTTTGCCTGTTTCTTGTCTGACTACCAACAAGTTCACTCCAGGCCAGCTTCAGACTGCTTCACTACGCCCCTTTTTACAACAGCAGGGCAGCTAAGCAGGAAGTTGCCTCCACACTGTCACAAACTAAGAGGACTATCATATGGCTGAAGAGAGAGAACAGCAATAGACTCACTGATTTCAGCCACAAACAGAGCTGATTTCTTAAAGGGTCCCCTTTCAAATTAAATTATCAGAAAATGCATTCTTTGCTCAAAGAATAAGTGGTGTAACATACACTGGGGGTATGAGGGGGGGATACACTGTGTTGTTCATACTCAACAAATAAGTTGAATTCCCACATTAAGGGCAAATGAGCTTTAACCATGAAGACAACCTCGTTAAAATATTTTGAATTTCAAATTATTTTGAGGGGTAGACAATTTATTTTTCTAAAAATTTTAAAAATGTTCATGAAATTTTCAACCAATTCCATTATGAAGTCAGTTCTTGCAAGATGCGCTGCAAGGGAAAGCATAATTTCACTTGAGATCAAAAAGCATTTTGTAGACCTCTGGGTCTGAAATGAAGCTACGTCCACCTCAGAACTAGCTTACAAGTACATGACTATGACAAAAGGAATGGGTTTGAGGCCAGAAACCAAGGAGTAATGAGGGTCCCTCCTACTCTAAGTCTTACAGAGATGTCTCATGTTATGAACTTTACGATGTGAACTTCCAATATTTGTTTTCTATTGTCTATTGGAAGCAATTTTATCATTATTGATAAAATGAGCGACAGAGGATGGATCACTTGATGATGACCTGTTCTGTTCATTCCCTCTGGGGCACCTGGCACTGGCCACTGTCGGAAGACAGGATACTGGGCTAGCTGGACCTTTGGTCTGACCCAGTAGGGCCGTTCTTATTGGTTTTGATAGGAAACAGATGGCACAGTATTTCTAGTTCCTGTTTCTACTAGTCTTGCTAACAGGTCTCTGTATTCTAAACTTACATAAGAACTTAAAAGTGCTGCTTCCTTTTTCTCTATTTCTGGTGTAAGTTACTGTTTCTTCATTGTGGGACATTAAACTACTTGTGTGTTTGTGAGCACCTTTGTCTTTGTTTTGTTCATGTATCTGGATCAAAACTTCTCTAGGCAAACCTCCTTTAAACAAGAGGAAGGGGATTCAAACCCTGGTGACGTGAGGATCTGGCCTTTGACTTTGCCTGCCATAGAAAATCCAGATTAAAAATCATGTTCTTTTTCACCTCAAAAACATAACGACCAATTTTTGAAATGCAGAAACCTGTCTTTACCTATTTAGCATGAGGGTTACCTTAGGTACCTACCACCATGTCACCCAGGTGCCACCACAAAAGAAAATAAAACACACCCTTTCACCCGGTCCTTAAAGAGACAGAAACTGACTCTGCCCTAAGCCCCCTCCCCAGCCACCAAACAATGAAGGACCCTAACTAAAATGTCATTATTTGGAAAAAGCCAAATAAAGGTGTATCGTGTACCATGTTTTAAAAGTAGCTAGACATTGGCTCAGAGGGTTTGCATAGAAAAGGAGTTCTAGAGCAGGGGCTCTGCTTTGAGGAGGGTTCGGTTTCACAGGTTTTTCTCCTCAGAACACTTGATATCCCGCTCTCTCTTGTTCCTTGGACACAGGTCTTTCTGCAATCTGGCACAGATGTGCTAAGATTTACAGAAAGGTAAGAGAGTCCAGTATGGCTGTCAGGTGGAATGCTACCAAGAAATGTTGGTATGTCATACTGGTCCAGAGCATCTCAATTCAAGCATTGTTACAGTTTCCAAAGAAAGTCATGGAATGAATGAAATGAATATGAATGAATGAATGAATGAAATGAACATTATGAATGTGCATAATGAAATGCACAACCCAAGTCAAACTGAAATAAAAATGGGCACAGACAGCTTTATTTTGCATCTGCCCTACTGTTTATTTCTCTTTTTAGACAGGCATATGTTGTAGATACTTTATTGTTCCCCCACAGTTTCAGCCAATCCATTTCACAAGTTAATGCTTCATTTGATCAGCATCTCTGCATGCTAAGCTCATCATTGCTTATCTAAGTAACAGATCATTTTGTTTACATATTTAATGTTGTTAATTTGAAGCTGATACAAAAACATTCATAGTCATAGAATCTTATAAAAATGTAAGCCTGTAGCAAAATAAACAGCCCTATTTATTTTACAAAACTGAAACTGAACGTATGAATGAGGGAAAACCATTTACATTTGACTTTCACCTATTCATATATTGTGAGAAAAATATTTTAATCCACACATGACAAACATTTGATTAGCTTACAGAAATCGTATTACAAAGTCACAAGCTAAGATTATAATACTGAACTAATAAAGTGGGTAAAACAATTTGTGTGAAAGTAAGATTATTGTGATCTATTTTATATATCTAATTTATATATATAAATTAATATAAAATTATATATATCAAAGTTATCTTGACTGAAATAACACTACAGTCTTTTAAAGGTTGAACTGATGTATAGTCTAAACAGCTGGATCTCTCGAGTGACATTTATAGGATACCTGCTTTGCTGAGAGAATTCTCACTATTCAGCTGTCTTGACACTCTTTATGGGTAATGGTGATGCAAGACTCTAAAAACCAAAGATGCCTGCGTGTTAATTCACACAGCTATGTGTTTCATTTTAATTTTCTTCAGTTGTCTATTTGCCCTACTTGTTAGTTAGTCACACTGTATATGTTCAAAAGTCTTCCTCCTGTGAAATTGTTCGAGGACTTTTTCAAAATTACAAAAGGGATAATTTCCTCAGCTAGTAGGTATACAAAATATGTGGAGCTCAAAACATTCCAGTTACATAATTTTTTCCTCAAAATCAGACATGCGATTCAGTTATTTTATCACACTAGATGACAGTGTGTTCATTTTGCTCTTTCTTGTCCACAGAATCCTTTGGGTCACTCACTTCAGTTACAGTATCTCTGTGTTCTATTAGCACATTATTGAAGCCGGCATCTGTTTGTAGTTTATTTTGTCTTTTTTTCCTGAATAAGAAATAGGTTGTGAGGCCCACTCCAACTAGAATAAGGACCAGAATAATTAGAATCCAAATTGTGCTGTGGGCAGGTGCTTCTGAAAATAAATGCAAAATAATTACTAGAGAGACAATTGTTATTATAGATATTAGGCAGTAGACTAGAGAAAAAACATTGGCTTGAGTCTCTTCTCACTCACACTGATGTAAATCAGGAATCAATTCTTTCTGAAGTACCTCAACCATCCTATACCCCCTGTGCATTGTTTGGGCAGCAAAAAAGGGCCAGAAAGCTAGTTCAACCAGTCTATGATTTCCCCAGCCTAGAATTTCCTCAGCCTACCATATTTTGTCTAAGTCAATCCCGTCCTGGCTCTGAGCATGGAGAAAATGGCTGAGACAAAGAGGAAACAGTCAGTGTGCCAATGCACTTCAGCTATCCTGAGACGCCACAACAGCCCCATGGGGTCATAGGTAGCTCTCAGTCATGCTAGGGATGAACTTAAAGTCACCTTCTTCTCCCACCCCCTTGGGCCCACCTACAGTCCTATGTTGAGTGTAGCTCTGAGAGCGCGGAGCATTCGGTCTAATCAATTTACACCTGTGAGGCCTCCACATAGGGGCATATTGGGGAGGAGAGAGGGCAGGCTGAGGGGCAGAGCACATGGCACTTTCCAGGATCCCCAGGCTGTGCCACAGTCCTTATAGGTGCCTATAACCTAAGGGAAATCTGGGGGTCATTTAGCCCCTGGCTGGCCAGGATCAGGGGAGCAGAAAGGCAGTATTTTATGTTTGAATATATTTTCAGTTTGCAGAGGTATTTTTTTGACTGTAAAGAAGTGACACCATGGAAAGAAGAATATGGAAAAAGAATAACCCTTACCCCACGTGCTGCCCCGCCCCCCCCCCCCAACGTTATTCAAAACTCACTTCCACTTAAGGAGGGAGAGAGTCCTGCCTTTAAGCATGAACAAGATATATGAATATTTTAGGACACTGAAATGCATTTTATGGTAATTATGTCAGAAAACACAATAAATAACAGTTATGAACTTATGTGGATTTATCTTTGAAGTTATTTGTGAGAAAAGAGTCCTACCTTTGTTAGTTATTAGATTCTCACTTGGTTGAGCTTCAATCACATGCAAAAACAAAAACAACCCCACATTTAGTCAAACTCTGCAAACATCTGCATTTTACCCTTAAAATTGTATATGCAGTAAAGCACACACTGTACAATTATTGCTTTCATCATACCGCTTTATACATTTATTGTAGATGCATTTGCTAAATGAAACTGAAAAAGATGAAAAATCTGATACCCACTTTAACTTGACATTCATTGTAGCAGAACCCAAACACTTTAGTGATAAAAGTGTTTTACTGTACTTGCTTCTTGATTACTAATCAAATACACCCAAGCACAGTGAGACCCTAGCATGTGAGTAGTCTCATTGATTTCAGTGGCATTACTCACATGCTCACAGTTAAACATTGTTTCTATGAACACAGGTATTTGCAATTGTCATTCTGCCAAAAAGTTTTGGGAATTACTTAAAACATGTGAAGCACCAGTCATGTTTTATAGCTGATTTAACGCTAATCCACAAAGAATGGCCAGAGTCTCCCACCCCTGCTGTTCTAACCACTTTCCCTGTTGTACCTCTCAGGCAGTGCAAAGATACCAGATCTGGCCACAGCTTCCTAGCTGAGAATTCTCCCTGTGGGAGGGGTCTGCTGATGCAAAGACTCCAGAGCTGGAGATATATATTAGGCTCCTATACCAACTGCCCACTCAGCCCTGGCATAGCTGGTTACCTGATGGCCCCAAATCTCTTGCACTGAAGAGATCTCAGTACAGGAGAGAATCTGGCCTAGCATGTTCGAATCATGAAAAATGCCCTGATTTTCTGTACTGTACAAAGCCTATTCAAGACATAGTAGATTTTAGTTTAACATGCTCCAGTATTTGCAGCTCATAAATTTTGCATCTACAGGGTTCAGTTCTCAAACACTTGATTTATACCAGCTCAGTTGCTTTATGCTATTTCTCTGTGCTGTACACAGAGGGTGCTGTCTGCCAGGCTGTTAAATTAACACCACTTACCAATACTTAGATGGCAACTGGATGATTATGAACTCAAGTGCAGATTTCAAATATGGGCAGTGGGATTTCACTGCTATTAAAGGGCAGACTACATCTTTCAGACACAGCCCTGAGCAGGAGGCAATACAGACCTGCACATCTCCAACAGGAGCACCCTGAAACATCATCCTGGAGAGAGGCATAATGCCTTCCAGTGCATATAGGAGAGCAGAGGGAATGTGCCTACTATACCACCATGTGATGTGATCACAGCCATGCTCCCTTTCTGTCTCAGTTGTGGCTGGGCCCTGTTTCGGGGAACAAAAGGGTGGGAAGGCTCCTTGCACGTTCACCCAACATTGTGCTTCCACATAGGGGCTGGTGACAATCAGTCCCACAAGTACTAACCAGGTGTCAGCACTGACTTAGTACTTTCCAATATATTTGGCAACAAAACATAAGCCTTTATTGGTCTATAATGTTATGAACTCGTGATATAAGCAGGGAGTTGGACTAGATGACCTCCTAAGGTCCTTTCCAACCCAAAGATATTCTATGATTCTATGATTCTATATTGTAGGAGAGTTGTCTCAAATCAGGCACTCACTCATCTGGAAGGCCCTAATGCTACCGCTTGCATGAAAAGCTGATGTCTGGGGCAATTGCACCCTCTTAGGAGAAGAGACTAATAATAGGTTCTCACAAAATTTAGAACTTATACCAATCTGTGTGGGTTGCAAAATTGGACAGGAAATCTTGCTTTTGGATCATATTTCTAGTACTTGCTGTTTGAGTTGAGTCAGAAATACCACAAGAGTAGCATAGCTCATGATATTTTGATATATCTGCTTCCTGACAAAGGCAGATGGTGCTGAGTTGCACAGAAATAAGATAAATGCTAACCAAAACATTTTTTCTAGTTTTTAAAAGGTTTCTGTTTGAGTTCTGGATGAAGATCCAGTTTAGCGATTGCTTAACCGGAATTGGCCTTCCTCCCTGCCACTGGAACACAGTACATCATGTATCTTCACGTGGCAAGAGGAAGAAAAGAAAATCATTTAAACGCAGTTCTTGTTCTCCGAAGGTAAAAAATATTAAAGAAGGTTGGAAAAGGAAAGAAAAAAACCACATAAATGTTTAAAGAATTTTCAAATTAAGTAACAACCTGAGTTATTACTTGAACATTCTTTGGTCTATGCTCACAGAGTGAAACTATGTGGGAAAGTCTGAAACTGTATGAAGTACCTCATGGAGGGTACCCAAATCTTGATATTACTTATGTATCTATGCAGCAGTCACTGATACTAGGTAATAAATAAGATATCGGAACATCTACAGCAGTAGGTGGAAGGAAAGCCTGTAAGAAAAGCCAGTGAAGTTACATGCAGTTAGTTTTGGATAAGCCATATGAGGCATACATTAAATTTGCACAAGAATTGGGGAGGAATACTCAACTGGCCCATTAAACTTTGTAAAACTTAGAATATTTTTTTAAGACTCATACACATTTTGTTACTTGCTCTTTCTTAAGTTTTGCTTTCCCTCCCATTTATCACCTCAGCATGTTAGAGCAAATAGTACTCTTGCACTCTTAAGTATCATAAAATCATAGAATATCAGGGTTGGAAGGGACCTCAGGAGGTCATCTAGTCCAACCCCCTGCTCAAAGCAGGACCAATCCCCAACTAAATCATCCCAGCCAGGGCTTTGTCAAGCCTGACCTTAAAAATATCTAAGGAAGGAGATTCCACCACCTTCCTAGGTAACGCATTCCAGTGTTTCACCACCCTCCTAGTGAAAAAGTTTTTCCTAATATCCAACCTAAACCTCCCCCACTGCAACTTGAGACCATTACTCCTTGTTCTGTCATCAGCTACCACTGAGAACAGTCTAGAGCCATCCTCTTTGGAACCCCCTTTCAGGTAGTTGAAAGCAGCTATCAAATCCCCCCTCATTCTTCTCTTCCACAGACTAAACAATCCCAGTTCCCTCAGCCTCTCCTCATAAGTCATGTGTTCCAGTCCCTTAATCATTTTTGTTGCCCTCTGCTGGACTTTCCGATTTTTCCACATCCTTCTTGTAGTGGGGGGCCCACAACTGGACACAGTACTCCAGATGAGGCCTCACCAATGTTGACTAGAGGGGAACGATCACGTCCCTCGATCTGCTGGCAATGCCCCTACGAATACATCCCAAAATGCCATTGGTCTTCTTGGCAACAAGGGCACACTGTTGACTCATATCCAGCTTCTTGTCCACTGTAACCCCTAGGTCCTTTTCTGCAGAACTGCTGCTGAGCCATTCGGTCCCTAGTCTGTAGCGGTGCATGGGATTCTTCTGTCCTAAGTGCAGGACTCTGCGTTTGTCCTTGTTGAACCTCATGAGATTTCTTTTGGCCCAATCCTCTAATTTGTCTAGGGCCCTCTGTATCCTATCCCTACCCTCCAGCGTATTTATCTCTCCTCCCAGTTTAGTGTCAAGTATGGACAGAGTCACATAGAATGAGTTGAGGTTTTTGATATTTGAATGTGAAATGCAGAAAAACTGGCTCTAGATTATATTTGCACATGATATTTGTGAATAGGGCCTTTAATCTATGGTATTTACCTTATGTGAATATTCAGACATTTTTGGCTTTGTGTTGTAAACACAAACAGCAAAGAGAAATGTGGACACACTGTATTTCACACAGCACAAACAGAATGTATTTTGTAGTATATGTACGGTGGCATTACTACTAAAATAAAACCATCAGCATCAAGTCATATGATTTAACATATCACTTACTCTTTGGTTTCTTACAAATGGACCCCTTTTGGGAAGAGCAGGGAATGGTATTCCAGTACCCAGAGGACGTAGACATTTCCACACAGTACTCAAACTGATTACTTGAAGGCTGTCCTTTATTCCAGTTGACAAAATCTACCGCAGTTTTGTCTAGCCATAACCACAACCCTAATGACAAAATGCATTAAAAGAGTAGAGATAACTCACTACAGACAGGTTTCAGAGGAACAGCCGTGTTAGTCTGTATTCGCAAAAAGAAAAGGAGTACTTGTGGCACCTTAGAGACTAACCAATTTATTTGAGCATGAGCTTTCGTGAGCTACAGCTCACTTCATCAGATGTATACCATGGAAACTGCAGCAGACTTTATATACACACAGAGAATATGAAACAATACCTCCTCCCACCCCACTGTCCTGCTGGTAATAGCTTATCTAAAGTGATCAACAGGTGGGCCATTTCCAGCACAAATCCAGGTTTTCTCACCCTCCACCCCCCCACACAAATTCACTCTCCTGCTGGTGCTAGCCCATCCAAAGTGACAACTCTTTACATAATCAAGTCGGGCTATTTCCTGCATAGATCCAGGTTTTCTCACATCCCCCCCACCCCCATACACACACAAACTCACTCTCCTGCTGGTAATAGCTCATCTAAACTGACCACTCTCCAAGTTTAAATCCAAGTTAAACCAGAACATCTGGGGGGCGGGGGGTAGGAAAAAACAAGAGGAAACAGGCTACCTTGCATAATGACTTAGCCACTCCCAGTCTCTATTTAAGCCTAAATTAATAGTATCCAATTTGCAAATGAATTCCAATTCAGCAGTTTCTCGCTGGAGTCTGGATTTGAAGTTTTTTTGTTTTAAGATAGCGACCTTCATGTCTGTGATTGCGTGACCAGAGAGATTGAAGTGTTCTCCGACTGGTTTATGAATGTTATAATTCTTGACATCTGATTTGTGTCCATTTATTCTTTTACGTAGAGACTGTCCAGTTTGACCAATGTACATGGCAGAGGGGCATTGCTGGCACATGATGGCATATATCACATTGGTGGATGTGCAGGTGAACGAGCCTCTGATAGTGTGGCTGATGTTATTAGGCCCTGTGATGGTGTCCCCTGAATAGATATGTGGGCACAATTGGCAACGGGCTTTGTTGCAAGGATAAGTTCCTGGGTTAGTGGTTCTGTTGTGTGGTATGTGGTTGTTGGTGAGTATTTGCTTCAGGTTGCGGGGCTGTCTGTAGGCAAGGACTGGCCTGTCTCCCAAGACTTGTGAGAGTGTTGGGTCATCCTTTAGGATAGGTTGTAGATCCTTAATAATGCGTTGGAGGGGTTTTAGTTGGGGGCTGAAGGTGACCGCTAGTGGCGTTCTGTTATTTTCTTTGTTAGGCCTGTCCTGTAGTAGGTAACTTCTGGGAACTCTTCTGGCTCTATCAATCTGTTTCTTTACTTCTGCAGGTGGGTATTGTAGTTGTAAGAAAGCTTGACAGAGATCTTGTAGGTGTTTGTCTCTGTCTGAGGGGTTGGAGCAAATGCGGTTGTATCGCAGAGCTTGGCTGTAGACGATGGATCGTGTGGTGTGGTCAGGGTGAAAGCTGGAGGCATGTAGGTAGGAATAGCGGTCAGTCGGTTTCCGGTATAGGGTGGTGTTTATGTGACCATTGTTTATTAGCACTGTAGTGTCCAGGAAGTGGATCTCTTGTGTGGACTGGACCAGGCTGAGGTTGGTGGTGGGATGGAAATTGTTGAAATCATGGTGGAATTCCTCAAGGGCTTCTTTTCCATGGGTCCAGATGATGAAGATGTCATCAATATAGCGCAAGTAGAGTAGGGGCTTTAGGGGACGAGAGCTGAGGAAGCGTTGTTCTAAATCAGCCATAAAAATGTTGGCATACTGTGGGGCCATGCGGGTACCCATAGCAGTGCCGCTGATCTGAAGGTATACATTGTCCCCAAATGTGAAATAGTTATGGGTAAGGACAAAGTCACAAAGTTCAGCCACCAGGTTAGCCGTGACATTATTGGGGATAGTGTTCTTGACGGCTTGTAGTCCATCTTTGTGTGGAATGTTGGTGTAGAGGGCTTCTACATCCATAGTAGCCAGGATGGTGTTATCAGGAAGATCACCGATGGATTGAAGTTTCCTCAGGAAGTCAGTGGTGTCTCGAAGGTAGCTGGGAGTGCTGGTAGCGTAGGGCCTGAGGAGGGAGTCGACATAGCCAGACAATCCTGCTGTCAGGGTGCCAATGCCTGAGGTGATGGGGCGCCCAGGATTTCCAGGTTTATGGATCTTGGGTAGTAGATAGAATATCCCAGGTCGGGGTTCCAGGGGTGTGTCTGTGCGGATTTGATCTTGTGCTTTTTCAGGAAGTTTCTTGAGCAAATGCTGTAGTTGCTTTTGGTAACTCTCAGTGGGATCATAGGGTAATGGCTTGTAGAAACTCGTGTTGGAGAGTTGCCGAGCAGCCTCTTGTTCATATTCCGACCTATTCATGATGACAACAGCACCTCCTTTGTCAGCCTTTTTGATTATGATGTCAGAGTTGTTTCTGAGGCTGTGGATGGCATTGCGTTCCGCATGGCTGAGGTTATGGGGCAAGTGATGCTGCTTTTCCACAATTTCAGCCCGTGCACGTCGGCGGAAGCACTCTATGTAGAAGTCCAGTCTGCTGTTTCGACCTTCAGGAGGAGTCCATCTAGAATCCCTCTTTCTGTAGTGTTGGCAGGGAGACCTCTGTGGATTAGTATGTTGTTCAGAGGTATTTTGGAAATATTCCTTGAGACGGAGACGTCGAAAATAGGATTCTAGGTCACCACAGAACTGTATCATGTTCGTGGGGGTGGAGGGGCAGAAGGAGAGGCCCCGAGATAGAACAGCTGCTTCTGCTGGGATGAGAGTATAGTTGGATAGGTTAACAATATTGCTAGGTGGGGTGAGGGAACCATTGCTGTGGCCCCTTGTAGCACTAGCGGTCACCTTCAGCCCCCAACTAAAACCCCTCCAACGCATTATTAAGGATCTACAACCTATCCTAAAGGATGACCCAACACTCTCACAAGTCTTGGGAGACAGGCCAGTCCTTGCCTACAGACAGCCCCGCAACCTGAAGCAAATACTCACCAACAACCACATACCACACAACAGAACCACTAACCCAGGAACTTATCCTTGCAACAAAGCCCGTTGCCAATTGTGCCCACATATCTATTCAGGGGACACCATCACAGGGCCTAATAACATCAGCCACACTATCAGAGGCTCGTTCACCTGCACATCCACCAATGTGATATATGCCATCATGTGCCAGCAATGCCCCTCTGCCATGTACATTGGTCAAACTGGACAGTCTCTACGTAAAAGAATAAATGGACACAAATCAGATGTCAAGAATTATAACATTCATAAACCAGTCGGAGAACACTTCAATCTCTCTGGTCACGCAATCACAGACATGAAGGTCGCTATCTTAAAACAAAAAAACTTCAAATCCAGACTCCAGCGAGAAACTGCTGAATTGGAATTCATTTGCAAATTGGATACTATTAATTTAGGCTTAAATAGAGACTGGGAGTGGCTAAGTCATTATGCAAGGTAGCCTGTTTCCTCTTGTTTTTTCCTACCCCCCCACCCCCCAGATGTTCTGGTTTAACTTGGATTTAAACTTGGAGAGTGGTCAGTTTAGATGAGCTATTACCAGCAGGAGAGTGAGTTTGTGTGTGTATGGGGGTGGGGGGGGATGTGAGAAAACCTGGATCTATGCAGGAAATAGCCCGACTTGATTATGTAAAGAGTTGTCACTTTGGATGGGCTATCACCAGCAGGAGAGTGAATTTGTGTGGGGGGGTGGAGGGTGAGAAAACCTGGATTTGTGCTGGAAATGGCCCACCTGTTGATCACTTTAGATAAGCTATTACCAGCAGGACAGTGGGGTGGGAGGAGGTATTGTTTCATATTCTCTGTGTGTATATAAAGTCTGCTGCAGTTTCCACGGTATACATCTGATGAAGTGAGCTGTAGCTCACGAAAGCTCATGCTCAAATAAATTGGTTAGTCTCTAAGGTGCCACAAGTACTCCTTTTCTTTTCACTACAGACAATCTTGGGTAATATGTGTCAGTCTGAATTTATATTTAATTTTCTTAGTTTCTAAAAAGAAAATTAAAACAAAAATCGTCCTGGTACTTATTTCATGACATACAAATAGATTTTTACTTCCCTTTATTCTTTTCCAAAGGAAATACTGCCTTTATCTTTGCAAATTATGATTCTTAGATATAGAGAATGACCTTTTCTAGTTTTCCATGATATATGCCCATATTTCTCAAGTGTATGGGACAAAAGTTTCAAACTTGGGTATTAGGCACCTAAATCCACAAAGTTAGGCAACTTTTATTTAAGTACCTAAAGTCATATGTAGGCAACTCCCACTGAAAAGAAAGCCAATTTTGCTGAAGTGCTTAAATATAGAGACTTACACTTTGAGTACCCTGGTTTGAAAATTTTCATCATAGTTTCTAAAAGTTCGTAAGGATACTGGAAGTATTGGGGGGAGGGAGGGAGAAAACTTTCTGATGACATTAGACTGAGGCTAATTTTGCTCCCTTCCATTCCAATGTTCTCTTTCTTTGTTCTCCAAAAATCCTGTTTTCCTGGTAACCGTAAGTCTAATTCTTTCCTTACAGCTTATGACCAGCACTGATTAATTAGTCAGCAGCTGCGGAAAGAAGACATCCTCTAGCCAGGATCGCATTGCTTTCTGAACTTAGGCACAGGTCAGGACAGCAAGTAAAACGACTCTTTGGGCCTCTTTCCAAATTTGGCCCTGGCTCTGGTCCTTGCACACCGGTCAAGTGAGGTGTAAAGGGGCTGCAAGAGGATGGGGAGAATTTCCCTGGCACCGGAGCAGTGTAGGGCGATGCAAGATGTGATATGTTGCCCCCTTGCAGGACAGCAGTAGGGGGCATGGTGGAGGTAGTGATGGGAGAATAAGGAGATATGCAAAGGGATGGCATGCCAGAGCACTTGGGGCTATGTGCATTCTGGACTGCAGTACAGTCCATAGGCATCTGTGAGAGACCTCTATGGACAGCTCTAATTTTGGCCCCCATAACAGCCAAGAATATGGGCAGCGCAAAGGCACCTTTGTCCCCTCTTCCTATGAACTGCACCTACTGTGTTGTGCATCTCAGGAGGTGTATGAGAATCTATCCCATTAAGCTGTTCAGACACTTATTACAAAAAGTAGATAATAAGCATAAGGCCATTGAATTCCTTCGGTCTGCATGGAGCCTTTGCTGGAGAGGGGACAAGCAGAGGCAGCAGCTGTAGTGCAGGGCAGCCCCAATGGAGCCCGAGGGCTGGCAGGGGACCCAAGGCAGTCAGCATTGCAGCAGGGGCAAGGGGGCCCACAAGTACAGGGGCTGCTAATTCCCAGGGTGGTGTATTTAATAACCCAAGGCATAACCCAGGGCAGCCTCATGGACTGAGGGAGGGAAATGACCAAAGGGAAGCGTCCACGCATGCAGGTGGGCAGACTGTGTGCTTTAGAGGGTGGGGAGGCAGCCAAGAAAATGGCTGGTGCCTCCTTGTGGCAGATGTTCAGTGCAGGTACTCCATAGGGAGGGCAGCCAGTGACCAGATAAATGGCCTGGTAAAGGACTTAAAAGGAGGTACTGGATAAAGGAACAGAACAGGGCAGGGGGTTGGGGACTCCTATGATTGGTATGGCAGGGAGCCAACCCCCTCCCCCTGCCATTCTCATAGCCCTCGTTAACCATATTACGAAGGTGGTGAATGGTAAGGTCCAAGCCATGGGTCGGCTGGGGGACCTGGATGGAAAGAAAGGGGGGTGGTGGAAGCCCTGGAGAATTGATTTGAATAAGCATGGATTTGCCTGCACTGTACACTTTATCTGCCAGGTAGTCTTAGACATCTATGTAATAAAGTTGCGGCCTGATTGAAACCCATAACAAGTCTCCTGGTCTTCTTGAGGTATACCCAGACAATCTATCCTGTTAAACTCTTCAGACACTTATTACAAAATGTAGATAATAAGCATAAGGCCATTGAATTACTTAGGTCTCCATGCAGGCATAAGGGTCCACCCATTTGGATCTTATTACATGCTTGGGCCCTAAAACTGAAACCAAACCGAAGAATCAGAAATCTCTGTCTTTTACAATATTTCATGGGACATACTTTTGCTAGATGAAATCAACACCTCCAAGTAAGATTTGCAGATTAAGATACCACAAGTCTAATTCATTTTTTGTAACTGCTTAGTAATCTTTCCAGATGAATTTTTATTTTCTATTCATTACAGCCTAAGTTATGACATATTTTAATCAGCTTTCAGTCTATTTAATGCAGAATATGTACGATTAAATATCAAAACTAAAATAATTACCATCAACATTTCTATATATTCCTGTCCAAAACCCACTTGTCCCTCCTTTATGTGGCTCTATAGTGTCTGCTAGAAATTTGGATTCAGCTAAATCTTCTATTGAAACCAAAGTAGCACCTGCAAAACATTAGGAAACAAATAAGTTGTGTCCTGCCATAGAAACCAGTCTCAGGTTATGGCTTTTGATACAGTACAAGGTTCTGTAATAAACGCCCCTGCAATTAATAAGGTGTAGGCGAGTGTATGATTAAAGAATACAGAGGGTTGGAAGACTGTAGGGGAGGGAACAGTGTGGATCCTAAGTGATGTAATCGAAAATAAAGATACGTGGATTTCACTGCAAGCATAATTTGAAAACTTTAGGTTACATCACACAAACAGAGTATTATTTTGAGGCTATTGGAGAAGCATATTTTTATAGACAATATATACCGATGGTTGTCATTCTTGTTTGGCAAGTGAGCCAAAAGTGTGTTATGGAACTCACTATAGTCCATAGTATTTTGCAGCAAATGGTTACAGGATTTGGTTTGTGGGGAATTTTGTGGGCTGGAGATCCAAAAGCGTTGGGGTGAAAAGGGCCTTGATAGGGGGCTAGGGATGAAGGGGCTCATTCCCCCGGGCTGGGATAACGTCTCCCTCCTTACCCTGATCTGTGCAGCCTGCAGCTCTGGATGTTGGGAAGCTCTGCAGATGGTCCCACCACCCCGTGAAGCATCACTTTTCCTTTCCCTACCCTGGAATGGAGTGGTGTGGAGGTTGAAGAGCTGCTCTTGGATTGGTTGGTGGTTGAGATAGGAAGGAGCACGGCACAGGCAACACCATTAGGAAGAAGGAAGGAGAAAGCTGCTTCTTCCTATCCCTCCCCAGATTACTGGTGGGTCCTACTGATGTGTGATTTTGCAGCTTTCAGGCAATGAGTGCAACCCACTTTTGATTGATATAACCACAGTTTGGGAATTTTTTTGCGTGTGCTCCTGTTTCTAAATTTATAAGGACACTGGCCACCAGGAAATTTAGACTAGAAATTAGACGAAGGTTTCTAACCATGAGAGGAGTGACGTTTTGGAACAGCCTTCCAAGGAAAGCAGTGAGGGCAAAAGATCTATCTGGCTTTAAGATTAAACTTGATAAGTTTATGGAGGAGATGGTATGATGGGATAACATGGTTTTGGTAATTAAATATTCATGGTAAATAGGCCCAATGGCCTATGATGGGATATTAGATGGGGTGGGATCCGAGATACCCAGGAAAGAATTTTCTGTAGTATCTGGCTGATGAATCTTGCCCACTGATTAATTGCGATGAGTTTACATGTGCTTCACATTGCTAGAGTATGCAAAACAGCTAAAGAATTTTCTGTAGTATCTGGCTGGTGAATCTTGCCCATATGCTCAGGGTTTAGCTGATCGCCATATTTGGGGTCGGGAAGGAATTTTCCTCCAGGGCAGATTGCAAGAGGCCCTGGAGGTTTTTCGCCTTCCTCTGTAGCATGGGGCACGGGTCACTTGCTGGAGGATTCTCTGCTCCTTGAAGTCTTTAAACCACGATTTGAGGACTTCAATAGCTCAGACATAGGTGAGAGGTTTTTCGCAGGAGTGGGTGGATGAGATTCTGTGGCCTGCGTTGTGCAGGAGGTCAGACTAGATGATCATAATAGTCCCTTCTGACCTAAATATCTATGAATCTATAAAATGGTTTTGGCCAAAAACTGAGGTTTGCATTTATGATTTTAAAATAAAATGATGAAATGTGATGATAGAAACCCAAACCTAAGAGCATTGTAGCAGTACATACATGCATTAGAACCAAAGAGCAGAGATGACTATAAATGACAAGGGAAACTGAACAGCTTAGTTTCATTGTCTAAGGTGAGTGAAATGCAAAAAGCAAGCAAACAGCAATAATGGTGGAAAGTAAATTAAATGTTAAAATTCTTTGTCTTTACACACAAAGGTTTTACCATATTAGTAATACAATTAAGAATTTTTAAATGTGAATTTTATGTGAACAGTAAAGTCTGACCTTTTAATAAAAGAATATACTCACCTAATCGAATGCATTCGGTAAAGGATTCAGCCCGGCTGGTACTATGGGCATTAAAGAAGTAGCAATGGCCACAAAAAGGAATCCAAGATATGTGGTTTGTTGATTTAGGACATTTCCCAGGGAGTTGTGGAGGATCAGTAGGAGCTATAACTGTTAAGAAACAGTTAAGAAACTAAAGTCAAAGGGAATTTTGCTATTGACTACAATGACTTCAAAAATAGCATTTTTAAAAGTTATTTAAAAAGCTGCTAAGCATGTTGTTGTAAGTAGCTACTACTAGCTCAAAAATGATACCAAGCAGCAGAAGCTCCCAATCACAGCTCAACAGCACAATCTAATCTATATAAATTAGAATCTGCATCATCAGTAGAGCTGAGCAAAACTCAGAATTTCAATCCCATGGGAAATTGAGGGGGTTTGCAATTTTGTTTTCTTCTGATTTTTAAATAAATAATAATTGAATATCAACAAATTCATAAGAAAAAAGCCCAAACACAAGACTTTGATAAGGTTGAAATAAATCAGTTAATCTTATTGAAACAAATATTTTTTAATTTTTTTTAAAACAAAATTTCAGCAAAATTGACACATTTCTGTAGGCGCTATAGATTTCATTGAATCAGCTTTTCTAACAGGAAAGCTGCCAGCCATAAATTTTCAACCAGTTCCAACCATTACATTGTGTGGAACAATCTTAAACTTGTGAAATATTAGTGTTGCAGCCTCTTGTCACACAGTATACTCTGCAATTAATCATGTCAGGCCACAAATCAGTAATCCTGTCAGTCTGTACATGCCCCTCCCATTGACATTAGTGGGAGTTGCATATGCAGATCAAGCTCAGTGCATGACCTTGAAAAAGAAAAGAAAAGAACCCTACACTCAAGAAATTTAGACTATTAAAGATCCCACATAAGTAACAGAGCATATCATGCAGTCTACAAAAATACATATCAGTCTAAAATCCTTGTATGTGTAGCCCATTCTTAAAGTACCCCTAATCCCCAAGAGTGGTAGAATCCCTTATTCCTCCCTCTTCAGGGGCCTAGTGATCCATTTTAGGATCAATGGGCTCTGTATTCTTGTGCTCGGGGCTGCCATCTAATGGTCAGGTATGTAAACAAATAAACTACTCCTATGACCTCTAGGACGCCCTTCCCACAGCCTCTGGTGCAGAGGCATGGGGAGGAGGCCTGGCTGGAGTACAGCATACTCTGGCTATGCTCACAAAGGTTAGAGCAGCCTAGAGGATGTAATTTCAGAACTGCTAAAATCTATGTGATTGGTATATATGATTCTATCATTTGGCTCACAAAGGGATGATAAGTACAGCTTTGCAAACCTTGCAAAAATGAAAACATAAATCATATTTTCAGGTAAATCTAAAATTCCAATGAAACTTTGGGGATGCAAACTCACATGAGCTGAAACACACACCAAAAAGCTTGTTCTGCCAACTTTAGAGCCAAAAATGTGGAGATGTCCACACTTTTAAACCTCCTGCTGCTATAGCTGATGGTGATTCTCCTGTAGCTCAAGTGATCTGATTTTCTGAAGCAGAAGAGATTGGGTTCTATTATAGATGATGCCTATATATGCAGTCTATAGAGTCACTACAGTGTGATATTTCTGCTTGTCCCACCAGGGATTTTTTTGCATCCTATAGCACATTAGCCAACTAGAAGTCATTGTTCCCATAGCTAATAGGATTAACCAGATGGAACTATCCAGGCTACCCTCCAACTGTTGCAGTGTAATGGCATTATTGGGCAGAAAATAGAAGTTTGTGCTACTGTATACACGTTGCCTATTTTGAAGGAACAGAATGTTTCCTCCAATAATTTGACTTCACTGATCAGAGCCGCTCCCATAAACTCCTGTTCATTCATTCAACTGGATAAAGAGACTCCATTTTATAGACTTTAAAAATACTGACACTTATCCCAATAATGCACAAGTTCAGTTTGGCTTTAAGGGATGACTTTGAAATTTTATATAACTCATTAGCTGTCTCCTGAGTTCCAAAAAGCAACAGCAATCTGTGTCAATGAGTACTTGTTTGAAAAAAATGCAATATTAATGCAAAATACGGTTATGTACTTGACAGACACAGGTTCTCTCTCTGTTAATATATGTTAAATAGTATATATCGTTGTAAAACCAAATCCAACCTCTAGTGCAGGCTCTCAAATTCCAGGGCACCAAACTAAAACTATTACATTCAATTGCTTACCATCAGACTGTTTACAGACAGAGAAATAATTTTCACCACAAGATGCTGTCTTCCAGGTTCCATCAAGGTCTAGATAGACACAGGCTATTTTCTGGTTTGGTTCCCTTCTAGCCCAATTAGAATACTTGATTCTCCTGTTATCGGTCCATTTGTAATAGCCATCAGTCTAAAGGCAAAACAAACGGAATTAACAAATGGCAGCTCATAGACACAAACACGATACTCTCTGTTTACACTCTAGCTCCTGTTTCAGATCAGAGGATTCATACACATCTCCTGAGGATATATGCAGCCCTATTTTTGCAGGAAACACACATATGCCATTGTTAGTATGACACCATTCAAATGAGTACTGAGCAGGTTTGAGGGTGATGTAGAACAGTGTGCGTTATGCATTTGTAACCCTTCTGCCAGGCGGAGTCAGCAGCAACAAGGGCTGTATTCAGTATCTAGGAGTTTTTCTTAATAATACAAAGTAGAGCCGGATTGAGCCCCACCCAGCAAGCTGGGAAAACTAAAAACCACCCGGCACCTCTCAGAGAAAATACTTCCGCACTCGCAAGCACTGAGTCTGTGTAGAACAAAATAAAGTTTTTATTAAAAAGGAAAAGGGGACCCAGCATTAATTTGGGAAAACACCACAATCACTATTTAAAAGTATGAGACCATAAGCTTCCACCTGTAATACTCCCAACTGTCTTACTGAAAAAACTGCAGCAGACAGAAACTCAAATAGAAGAAAAAAGTTCCACAAGCACCACATACCCCTCTGCCCATCCACACTAAATGCGTCTGTCTTTGCACCCACCACAGCCATAACTGCTGGGATAAACAACCATCAAGCAAAGAGTGAGGCTTTTGCTATATCTATTAAATTGCAGCTTCCTCAGAAACAGAAAAGAACTTTCTACAGTCTTTGCCATCTGAACCACATTTCCTAGACTTCCCCTCCAACTGCTGATCAGCTTTCCTCACCCCATTTCTATTGCTCCCCTTTTCTACTCACTACTTCTTTCTCCTACTATGGCTTCCTCGCTACTCTAGCTTCTTCTCAGGATAGCTTTGAAGGACAGGGACATAGAAGAGTTAGGGATTCCTACATAACCTGATACTCAGTTTGAGACCATCAAGAGTGTACCTATTAAAGCCCTATAAAATGGATAAGGTCAAAATTTAAAGGAAAGTTCAAGCTTTATTTGGAGTGGCAGCGTACTATTCAAACCTCTCCCCTGTTTCATGTTCTTACCACATTGCTGTTGAGACCAATCCATGCAGGCTCTCCAAACTGCAACACATATAACCACAGGAGTAAAGCACTATAGTGATCCAAAATGCTGGCAAGTTCTAAAGATTTTTCCTTGCAGTTGTTTCGTGCCTCTTCCCAATTCATTTTTGGAGCGGACAATTGAATAGCTACTGTTACCATAATGAATAATGTCTGAGGTTGGAATTGCTGGGGAATGAAATAAATCAGTGTCTGTTGTTTTGGGGGGAAAAAAAAACAATGAAAATTTTTGCAGGCCCGGATAGTTGTACCATTGCCCCACAAATAAATGCAGTATTACAAAACTTAAGTGGGACAGGACAAGCAATAAGTGAAAATCATTCCTCATTTACAACCCAAAGAAATATAAAAAATATGTTTTGATGAATCGTATTTGCGGTTCAAATCTAGAGCTATGGATCCATACCTACTTTAGGTCACAAGTGAATATGAGCTGGGTGCTTGTGACAGGATGGATTTCCCTCCAACCAGCTGTGAAATTCACCCTATACAGACACCACTTAAATCCTCAAAATATGAGTACACAGGGGTGGGGCAAATTGCTTCCTAAATGGAGAAGCAAAACAAACAAATAAATACAGGTTTCAGAGTAGCCGCCGTGTTAGCAGCCGTGTTAGTTAGTCACAAGTACTCCTTTTCTTTAAACAAATAAATATTTATTCTTCCCTTTCCAGAGTTTAATCCTATCGAAAAACTTTGGGGTACAAACAGAAAACCAAACCAGAGTTCTCCCTCTGATGGTATATATATAGAAATAAGGCACAAAGACCTTGGCTGGGTTGTGCTCATTGCAGGGCCTGAAAAGGTAGGGCAAAAATGGCTTAATGCTGCTGCCTTTGTGCTTACCCAGTTTTAGTAGCAACTGGGGAATGCTTTATGCCAGCCAGAGATTCCCTTATGTAAAGCTGCCATGGGAGTAAAGGTTGTGATAATGTACAGATGGACATCTCTGGTCATGAGAGGCTCAAAACTAGAAAAACCAGCTGCAGGCATGAGGCACAGAAGTAGAGTTTTGCAGAGAAGTTTACTGAGGCCTTGTCTATACTATTGGGGTAAGTCAACCTAAGTTATACTACTCCAGCTATGTTAATAACGTAACTGGAGTCGATGTAGCTTAGGTCAACTTATCCCGGTGTCTTCACTGCGGTACATCGACGGGAGACACTCTCCCATCGACTTACTTACTCTTCTCGGGGAGCTGAAGTACCGGAGTGGACCAGAGAGCACTCTGCCATCGATTTAGCAGGTCTTCATTAGACCCCCTAAATTGACACCCGCTGGATCGATTTCAGCAAAGTTGCTCTCCCAAGTAATGACAACAAGCCCATCGACTCATAGATTTTAAGGCCAAACATTATACCTTCCCATGCAATGCCAGTTAAATTACAGCAAATTTCTTTTTGTAATTGCAGCAAAGAAACCCAACAATGCCATGAACAATGGTATGGTATTTCAATATTATGAAAACAGTAATTACTTATTAGCTTTTATTATAGTTCAGCGCGTTGACATAAACCCTACCTATTTTCCCAGGACAAGAAGTTCAAATGTGATTTTAAGTTCTTCAGTTTTAGGGTGTTCAACGTGAGACCTCTTCAATGGTGCTGACCACCAGCCCTCTGAAAATCACATCCTTTTGAGGGGTCTCAAGATGGGCACCCAAAAATTCAGGCACCCAAAATTATTAGTCACTTCTGAAAATTTTGGCCACAACTTACAGATGGGAAAATTGAAATAATAACCTTTTCCCTTTTCACTCAAATCCGGAGTGAAATCTACTCTTCTTGGGTAAAACCTGACTATTCAGACTCTGTGCAAATGAGTTGGAGGTGAAATCCAACCTCACGTCAGAGCAATAACATACGGTATCCGTGACAACTATTCCATCTAGAATTCCTGGGCTGTGACAGAAGATGCAGCTTCTTGGCACCAGATGCTTGAGGTATTGGCAGCTACAGTATCTGTGTAAACGAGGAACTCTAGAACTCAGAGGGGTTATTAAATGTGCTTTAAATTAGATGGCTGATAAAATTAAACTCACTGCTGTCCATCTGGCAAATATAGCTATTGTTCTGCTGACAATCATTGTTTCCCCAGTTCCCTTCCTCTCCTACCGATCTCTTCATCATTGCAATACAGTCAGTCTAGGGACAAAGGATACATGAATTAATAAAACTGAAAAAAATGCTGGCAAAATAATAGAGGTCACTTATTTATAATCAGACCTAATAATTTTTTTTCTGCTTTAATTTTGATTCTGTGGCATAGTGTATATAAAATGACGTTTTTTAAGAAAAGGAAACAAATATTTAAAACTCTGGGAGGAGGTGGGTTAAATATAAGTATTTTCTTAAAAAGCAAAAATGCACTTCAGGGCTTGCATTTGATGGGTACAAGAGCTTTTGTCAAGTGCTGGCAATCCCTTACAATGCACCCAGACTACTACAGTATTATCATACAACCTGTAGTGTAAGAGACAATAATGCAAAGTTAAAAAAAAAACATACTAGGCCACACTGAGTATTTGCAATGAATATAACTCTATTAAAGCACCATGCTACTATAGTTCTGGATTTCTGCAAAAAAAAAGATTTGCAATCAGAACTGCTAGTACATGGAGACAGTGTAAAAAACCTAAACCCTCCTTTTGCAGTACTGCCTTCTGCGGCAGTCGATGTTTTCTTTGAATGAAAGGATGCTAAATAAGAGACATGTTGAACTGGTTGCATAAAGCTTGACTCTGCTCCCCAGGTTATGGTGGTTTAGTCATATTTGTTCTTTTACCTCCTGTGTAATAAATGTCCAGTCAACACGTATGTAACGATCTCTAAATGGGAAATTCATGGCCCACTTTGCATAGTCAAATAAACTCCCATCTGTCCAAAGATAACAGTCCTCCTCGTTAATGTCATTCAGTCCAATCCAGGTTTCAGCCATGACATCCTTTAAATGGAAGGTGAGGAAGGCTGCAGAAAACCCAGAGGTATATGTTTTACAAAAAGGGATTCCTTTTCTCCAATCTCTGAAGACACCAGCATGCCCAAAACTTGAACAATGGTAAAAAAAAAAAATAATAAAAATAAAATTACTGCTCAACTATTGAATTAAAAAACTTGCAAATGCTACATTTTATAACTTTAGATTATTGCCTGATGGTGAGATTGAAAGGAATGTCTGTTACAAAAACAGTAACTTAAAAGAGATAGGAGGATTCAATTAAGAAAAGTACAAGTAAAGGTTTTCAGTATAAAAAGTCCAACCACAGCCCCCTGGAAGAAGATACAGTAATAACAGTACAGCCACAACACAGGTAATTTGTACCCCCCTCCCCCACCTAGGAACTGCTGTTCAGTACCATATGCATAGTGTTCAGAGTAGCAGCCATGTTAGTCTGTATTCGCAAAAAGAAAAGGAGGTCTTGTGGTACCTTAGAGACTAACCAATTTATTTGAGCATAAGCTTTCGTGAGCTACAGCTCACTTCATCGGATCATCTGTAGCTCACGAAAGCTTATGCTCAAATAAATTGGTTAGTCTCTACGGTGCCACAAGTCCTCCTTTTCTTTTTATGCATAGTGTGTTACAGAAGACATGCACGTACTATGGTGATGCATGCTAGTATAGAATTTTAAGTTAGGTAGGTGTGATACATTGTTCTCAAAGTAGTTTTCATTAATTCTTATATTAACTATTAGTGGCAAAGGCAGCACAATTTACTGGAGCAGCCTCAAAATTACAGCTTTCACCTACATTTATGATTGTTAGAAATGGGTTGATGTCTCATCTAGTACCAAAGGGACCAGATATTATACCTTGCACTTGTTCGTTATGTAAAGAAGCCAGGTTTCCTCCTAACTTTATGCAAGTGTTTCGTGCAGCATGCCAAGTCAGTCTCTCTGCTTCGCTGGAGCCGAATATTTTATAACACTGTCGGGGGGAAATGAGACATTTTACTGTAAAGTGCCAAAGAAAGCATAAACCATGAGATTTGACCCAGTCCTAGTGCACATGCATACTGAGCACGAAGAGTGGGGGAATGTTTGTAATGCCAGATAAAAAGGGGTGGAGCTGGCAGGGTGTGCAGTACTTCCACCCCAACAGGCCATCCAAGATGGGCATTGGAGAACAACTTATGATTTAGAAGGTCTATTGATAAAGGACATTGATTTCAGGGGTGACCTAGGAGGAGTGAATTCTTTATGAGCGTTCAAGCCTGAACTATGTCTGGTCCAAGTTCATCAGTGAGGTTAGGCAATAATTGTAGGATAAGGTGAAATATAATAATCAATGTCCAAAGGGGAGAAGGAACTGAACAATACTATGTAGACTGGGTTAAATCCAGGCCTGTTTTGGCAGCACCCTGGTGGTTGCTGTTTATCAATTGGGAGAGAGTTGTAATCTAATGGACAGAGCACTGGTCTGGGATTTAGGAAACCTATGTTCTGTTCCTGGCTCTGCTACTAGCCTGCTAGCTGACCTTGGGCAAATAATTTCACCTCTCTGGGCCTTAGTTTCCCGACCTGTAAGAATGGGGATAATAGTATTAACTTCCCTTGCAAAGTGCTTTGAGAGCTACTGAACAAAACTGCTATATAAGAGTTAGGTTTTATTATGATGATGTTGTAAAAAACTGTTTTCTTTTATATGTACTTAGCCTTTAAAGATCTAGGAATGTGCTGTCTGCTGGAGGCAGCTGCTATTTTGGTTATGTCTACACTTATAGAGATGTGTAGAAAGCAGACTCTGCATGGCCCCTAGCATGGGTATAAAGAGCAGTGTAGACGGTGGTGCACTACTTAGGTGAGTAAAGATGCATCAGAACCTTATGGTACATACCCTAAACAGCTCTCTACTTACCCAAGCAGTGCCTCCCCGTGCCTACCCTGCTTTATTTAAGCAGCGTAGTGTCCCTCTGCCTTCCTGTAACAGAGCTTTTCCCAGCCACAGAGAAAGACTCCAACAGCAGGGAAAGGCTCCACCAGGAGTGAGGTAGTGGGGAAAAGCTCCGGCAGCTCCCTGCTGCCAGAGCCTTTCCCCCCACCTCCCTCTTGCCAGAACCTTTCCCAGCTGCCTCCCCACTGCCAGGTCCTTTCGCTGCCACATGGAGCTACACATCGCAGCATAGACATAGCTTGCTTTTCACTGGGGTATGCAGCTACATGTACCCTACGTGCCACCGCTGAAAGTGTAGACAAAGTCTTTGAGTTCAGTTCAAATGGAGCCTGTAACAAAGGAGACACACACTATGCTTTCTTATGGAACACATTATCATCTTCATTAATTTGGCTAAAATTCAGAAAAAGAAAATCACTTAGACTGAAAAATTATGAATGCTATTTATCTCTTGAAAATATTATTGTCTAAGGACTGTTTGGAGTGGCAAAAGAATAGAAGAATGGTGTAAGAGAAATAAGCAGAGGATTTTACATTTGAGTATTTCAAGTAGGTTTGCTTTAGGATAAGAAAGTGGTCTGCTGTGGAGCAAACTTTGTGTACAGTACCTTTGGCATTTCTGCTTTCCCAGATCTCTCTCAAGTCTGGGTCTCTCATTAGCTTATTAGAATCTTTAGGCCAAAAATTTCAGATAGTGTAAACCAGCTTATCTGCTTTGAAGTGAAAGGAGCAGTATCAATTTACTTCTGCTGAGCTCTGACCCATTGGGTAATCAATATTTTGTAAAGTTTAATGAACAACTAAATCTTCCCATTCAGTTGGCTTAAGGGATAGTTTGGGCAGTGACCCAGTGAGACACAAAATGAGAAGTAGGTTTTTCATTCAGTGCATATATATTTAGCAGGAAGATCTGACTATCTTCCAGTAATGCTGATACAAAAAGTTATTTCCCTGATTTGTTTGAGTGCTCATTGACTGAAGAGGTATATTTTTCTTAATGAAACTTGCTACTTCCCTTTTTTCCTGCCCTAGTATAAGGGGAGTAGTTCCTTATTTTCATGTTCTTGTGGTCATGTGTATTTCCATTTACCACAGCAAGGGAACAAAGTAGTATTTTCACAAAAAGGTTTAATATTTGTTTTCCTTGTCAGCTATTAGTTTGCTGATATTTAAGATGACAATATTAAGGTATCCTGTTATTTATTTAAAGTGGACCTAATGCATTTTTTCCAGTTCACCCTCATTCACAAAACTGTTTAGACTTTCTACTCAATAGAACAGCTGGAATTTTCATTCACGAAACTTGTCTAAAACAAACCCAGATAGCAGAAAAAAGAAGAACAACTTTGGTTTAGGACTACTAACAGATACAAAAATCACTCCTCTGTTAAAGGCACTTAAAGCGCCCAACGTAATTTGTTAGAAATTTAAATATAAGTATGATATCACCAAAACGGCCCAGCCATCCAGTTAGAATGCAGCTTTCTGTATAGAACGATATAAGATAAAATAATAATTCATTTGTTTCATATTTAATTTCCCTGAAAAATACTGTAGATGTTTGTTACTGTACCTTATTATTAAACAAAAGCCAGGTTTCAGGACATCCTCCCAGAGAAGGTGCTGTTGGAGCAAATTCTGAGTGAGTAGAACGGTTGTGCCTTTCACAGATAAAGGCATTTTTAATACCACAGTTTATGTCATTCCAAAAGCCTGGAAATAAATTAAATAGAGAAAATCACTTTCGGAGATTGACATTTGTAGTATCACCCTCAGAACGGTGAGCCTCCAACATTGTCAGTTAAACAGAATTGAGATTTCTTTGGAGGTGAACCGAGCAACAGCTCCACCCCACCCCCATCACAACTCATTCCTTAACATTTATCGAAAAATATTGTCACATTACTCACCAAAATCTTTGTTCATGACCACGCAGTTTTCATCATTATTTGCAAAATTGGGTTCGTTTGGGGCCCAGGCTACATAGTTCACTGGGGTTCCATCCATCCAGCTACAAGAAACAGTATGACGGTAGCTACTGGATATCTAGCCTTATAATTGTTTTAGCATTACAGGAATCATTTGGCAAAAAAATTTGAGAGAAATACCATTCGCAATAGTGGGAGTTACATGGTGAAAGCCCTAAGCATCAAGTAGCGGACATAGTCTTTATTCATTATTAATTATTATTTATTGTTTGTATCATCGTATCACCTATAGGTCACAACCTTTTGCTCCATTTTACTAGTACAGCCACATATATAGTAAAAGTCAGGCTCTTCCCTAAAAGCTGAGAAAGCCTGAAACTTCAAGCTCTCACCAGCGTGCCAGTCACCCCTTTGTTCCCTCAATATGTTAGTGCTGGCGTGGGAGCATGTCACTGCACATTTGGTCTTCATTTGCTTTCTTTCTACTTGGCATGCTGGTGTGGAAGAATGAACTTACTTCTAGCAGCTCATTTGACCTCCCCTCCTCTTAATTCTCCAGTGAGAGCGAGGGAGCTGGCATTGACAATGCCTCTCCTCCCCTCCCATCTGCTCCAGAAAACCCTTTCCAAGCATGTTTCTAAAACAGTAGTCCTCAAACTGTGGCCCACTGGTGATCCTCAGAGAGCTGTCTGGTCCCATGCTGCAGACTGTCCTTGTTTCCTGCTGAACTGATGGAAGAGGATGATGAAATGAAGACTACATGTAGACAATATGATTGTCCTTTTTGGAACAAAGGAAACCACACTTCTCACACTAAATATGTCCATAGCAAGGGGCACAAACCCCAAGAATGAGAATCTGCAGAGTGTGGCATCTTTTGGAGGAACAACTTAACATAATACAAACAAACTGATGAACTTTAACACATGGACTTGACTTGCTCACATTTCCCCCCAAAATTCAGGAATTGAAAAAGAAAAAATTTTGTTTATCTAACACTGGAAAACCATTTTCACACAGACTTTGCTGCTGAAACTAAGTCTAGAGTAAATTTTTGCAACAGAGTTAGCAATCCTGGAAATGGAATACCTAAGACACTCAAATATAGCAGTACTAAAGAGCAGTCATTCATTACACATTACACACTTTAAAGTTGCGTCTTTACTTACCTAAATTTTTGATCAAAGCTGACAGTTAGGCCAATGAAATATGAATTCATTCTGTTTTTAGTGTAAATCTAAAACTTTAAGAGATTACACTAATTTAAAACAATTTATCTTTTATACTGAGCAGAAAACTAAAAGGGGCTCAGCCATCTTTGCGGTGCTGTTTTCCCCTTCTTTGGATCCAGGATCCATGCTCTGGATAGGAAGCAAAGCCAGGAAGAGTGAGAGTGGGAGGAATGTATAGACCAGGACAGGAATGCATATCATCTCTCTGCTCCTCAGCTCTGCAGAGCTCAGACAGACAAGACAATACAGCCTGGGGCAGTATCTCCCTCTCTACCTCCTCAGCATTTACATACTTTCTCGCTACCCATCAAAAGTAAATAAAATCCTAAAATAAGATTGTGGGCCTGTGCTTTTCTCTGGATCGTTGCCTTTATTTTCTTAACTGCTTTGCTGCATCTCATGCCTGAAGCACTCATGTCAACATCAAATGGTGATTCATTAGGCCATTAAGATCCTGTCCTGCATGCCTGACTCAGTCCAAACTCCCATTATATTTGGAACTTTTGAACCTAACAAGTGGAACAGCAGCAGAGTTCGGAAATTATTAGTTTGCACTGCAATTTGGCTGTTAAGAAGCTAATTTAGATACAAATGTAAATGTAATGCATTAACCATGCTGGACTATTGTACAATTAACTCCTGCTGAGATGTGGTGCAGGTCTGAAGAGACTCACTGCATTCTCTCCAAAGTTTCAGAAGCAGAGCGTGAGGTGCCTCTGGTCACTATATTGAACATATTTTTGAATCAATATCTCTGGTTCTTATATATCTCCACAGAAATTTCCTTTCACTTTCACTGTCAATGACAGCAAGATCTGCAAACTTCTTCTTGCAAATATCCCAAGCTTTCGCCATATGGACATTTTCTGTGCTAAAGTAATATTGCTTGTCTTCATAGATAACCCATCCATCATCAGTGACTTTATAATCTGAAAGATACATAAAAAAGCGGCATATTCGGTATTTGTATCTGTATTGTACATGTTCTCATCATACAGTTATATTTTTTTTCTGGCAACAGGGAAAATACTTACCAAACTTGGTACTTGGTTCAGGTTTTAATGGTATGCCTGTAAAACGAAATATCAGCATAAGCTATGTCTCAAACGCTCATTCAAGTAAATCTATTTTGTGCAGTAGCTAATGACAATGACTTGCAGAAAAAAAAAGGGAATCAAGCATTATCTGATGCACTGTACAGTTTTTTGACATGAACTTCACAAGACTAACATAAAATATATTTATCATTTAGAATAATATCATCGAATAGTTACATCTGAAGAAAACACATGTGGCCCTAAACAGTACTGGGTTGCAATAAGTATGCACTCTGGATGCTACTTTCAGATGTGCTCTAAAATATATTGCCGTAGGCGAAATCCATGGTTCAGAGCCTCAGTGTTCCTACCTAGACAGAAATTAATTATTTTATTAACATTCTACGATACGGTAGCGGTCAGAGCAAGCCATTACAGGCCAGGGTCAGCAGTGATGCCGCCATGTACACCAGTGCAAACCAGACACAAGGATTCAAAGTTTGACACCAATTTTTCATAAATATTACAAGCAATTCTCCGTGTCCTCACTGACTCATGCTATCTTGGTTTGGTTCATGTTAGAAAAGTGGGTTTTTAAGAGATAAAGAGGGTAGGCACTTTGCAGATGAATTCAGGGAAGTCAAACCAAGCAGAGAGGACAGTGTGGAAGATGTCATGGAGATGATTGTTTGAGAAAGTAACAAGGAGGCAGATAAGGTGGGAACATTGGCAGAGTGGGAAGGAGGTGATGCAAACCCTGACACAGGAGGATAGGTTGTAAGCAGTGCTTAATTTGTAATGAAAGAGGTACTGGGGCTCAAGCAATTTTTTTACATTCATAACTTATGCAGTAGGCCCAGAGGTGCTGGGACTATGAACTGCCAAGCCTAGAGGTGCCGGGGCTCAGTGCAGGCTAGCACTGGTTATAAGTGCTAGATTTACATAAAGCCCCAAAGCCTGGCTCTAACAGAAATTCTCACAGTTAGAACAGTTCTAATGTCCTTGTTAGAAAGTGGACAACAAGGAAGAAACCATCCTGTCCCTTGCCCCAGGTCTGGCCCCTTGAAAATACTTCTTTCTTCAGTATGCCTTGTGGGGGTTTTGCTCAAAGGCCATTATTTTCGCTGTTACCTTTCTTCCTTCCTTCTCTGATTTTGTTTGAGGGGAAGATTTTATGAAATAGTATGAATGAGGAACAGACGTTCTTTAGGTTATTGCTTCAATTTGGGTTCTAACAGTCAAATAACCTCAAGTTTGCCCTGTAGTGATGGCATACAATCAAAACAGGATTATGTATTGTTTATGGTCCCTGATAAAGATAAAAGTGATTTATAATTATTTTAGGTTTTTTTCATATTTTTCCCCACATGGTGACATTACTGGGCAGAGTTAAGGTTGTTTCGGTGCCTTAATTGTGCATTTTCCAACCTTATCATATTTGGATTTCTTTTAAGTGTCACCTGAACTCTGAATTTCCTAGATTTGTAATGCTTGGTTTGAACACAATTACAATATCCCTGAAATCTAGTTTCTCTAAATTACTCTAAAGTTCTCCTATCCTTAGCTCCATCTTAACCTAGTTGGTTTTGTCTTATTTTTAAAAATCACTCAGAATCTCACACATAGTAACAGTAACCAAGGAAGTCAAAGAGGGTGTTTCCATTGAGCTGAAGATATGCACTAGCAACCTAAAGTGATTTTTTCTTTGTTTTAACTCTCAAGGGTGATTTGCCAGTGCAAAACAGCCAGAGCCACTGATTAATTGCGATGAGTTTACACGTGCTTCACATTGCTAGAGTATGCAAAACAGCTAAAGAATTTTCTGTAGTATCTGGCTGGTGAATCTTGCCCATATGCTCAGGGTTTAGCTGATCGCCATATTTGGGGTCGGGAAGGAATTTTCCTCCAGGGCAGATTGCAAGAGGCCCTGGAGGTTTTTCGCCTTCCTCTGTAGCATGGGGCACGGGTCACTTGCTGGAGGATTCTCTGCTCCTTGAAGTCTTTAAACCACGATTTGAGGACTTCAATAGCTCAGACATAGGTGAGAGGTTTTTCACAGGAGTGGGTGGATGAGATTCTGTGGCCTGCGTTGTGCAGGAGGTCAGACTAGATGATCATAATGGTCCCTTCTGACCTTAGTATCTATGAATCTATAAAACATACTGGTGGATCTGGCTCTCAATTTACAACCGACATTGGTTTAGAACGTTGTGTTACTGTGTGAAAAGAGGGTGCTGAGCCTCAGAGTCCCAACATCTCTGCTGTTTATGGGCTCCCCCTATATTTATGTTTCAGCAGTTCTCCGGGCAGTGCTGCAATATAAATAATAATGGTGATTGTACAAAATATAATATCAATACGCTTCTTTATAAACTTTTACAATCCCTTCCTTAGGGAACAGTATGTTAAGACACTGCATGAGCAATATTGTATCTTACAAAAGACAGTCCCTTGGTCAAACCAAGGCCAAACAAAAGAGTTAAAATTACAAAATCCAGGAATTGATAACAGAACTGCTATCCTCTCTCTGCAGTGATCCAAAAGTGATAGAATAATAGTACTTGTTCATAACAACGTTTACTTCTTTTCATTTTATTTCTGAGAGGTCATCCAAGATGAAGATGAACTGCTCAGGGCTTCCGCCCACAGTTTCTCAAATCCTCCTGACAAGCCTTGTTGAGAACTGATGAACACATACCATCCAAAACATAGCATTCAGAATGCTAAAAAGGGGCTGCAAAGGATATGCTTGCTCAGTTGGTGCACAGAAGCCAATATTCTGATGACATCGTTGTCATGAGCAATTTACTAGAAAGATAACTTTGATTAACCAGATGACAAATGGTTTTTAAAGTGACAGTCCAATACATCTCCTGGTGTTCTAGAATAGTCTTTTTGTCAGGATGGACCTCAAGGGTTCAGAAGTTTCATCGCCTGTTGGGCAGCTGCTGCCGTCCCTCACCTCACCCTCAGCCAGTTTCTTGTGTGCTCCCAGCTTTCCTTTTATTTTAGGGACATTAGTAGTAGGTGCTTTCAAACTAGCCTGTACCATGGCTGACATAGCCCCTCTCTTCTCTTTCAGACAGGTTCTGGTGCCCATGCCCTCTGCTTATGTACTCAAATACTCAACTGAGGGGAGGGGGCAGAAATTCTACCCACAACCGGGGGGAGGAGAAATTAGGCAGAGGGTCAAAATAAGCTAAATATTTATTTCATTTAGTATTTGTTTCAATATCGGTCATTTATTCCTATAACCCTTATTTCTCTGAATACCTGCATTTCTAGGGAAACAGCACCTCGTGGTACCACTCACTTTTGGGTTTTGCTAGAGTGTGGGTGACACTGGGGCAACTTGTGAGCCACGTGACAAAGTGGGCTTTGGGGTCAGTCATGTTGCCACAATGACCTTTTGCGGATTTTCTACTGCTGAGAGCCCTGCCCCTTGGACAATGTTGGTGTAAGCTAAATCAACCTCGATTTTTTCCTCCTTATCAGAGCAAGTGATTTTTACACCAACTGGTCACTTTTATTATATTCTTAGACAATATAAAACAGAGAGCTACTTTTGCTTAAGGAAATCGAAGCTCTATACCTCCTGCCTTCCAACTCTCCTTTGGACAAAATGGATCCAGATAAAGGGAGGAGATAAGAAAAAGAGATACTTCTCTTAAAGATCAGAGGGGTAGCCATGTTAGTCTGGATTTGTAAAAGCAGCAGAGTCCGGAGGCACCTTATAGACTAACAGACGTATTGGAGCATAAGCTTTTGTGAGTGAATACCCACTTCGTCAGACACGCATCCGATGAAGTCGGTATTCACTCACGAAAGCTTATGCTCCAATACATCTGTTAGTCTATAAGGTGCCACAGAACTCTTTGCTCCTCTTAAAGAGATAGGCATCCTTGCACTGCAAACCTTTTCAATATATGGGATAGGGAGGTAAGGCCACAGGTAAAATACAAGGGACTTTTTTTGACCTTCTGTACCCCTGTATTTAGTTAAGAGATCAGAATTCATGTCCTTGCTCTTTATCTACTGTGTTCCCTTCCTATGCTTTCACACAAAGAGTGATTCTTAGTGTCACACCTATTTTTAATTTTAGTTAGTCCAACAAACTGACTGTACTTTGTTTATATTTCTCTAATTAAATAGAGCAGTAGTCCTACCTTTTTTTATTTCACAAATCCAATTAAGTAAGCGTTCACAATACAAGTTATTCCACTGCATTGTTGGACTTCCCTCAAACATTCCACAATGTTCAATTCCTTTGTCATTACTGGGTTCTTCTTCATTCCAGTTTTCATAAATCACCTATGATGGAAACACAGTTCTATTACGAGTTACTTCTATATGAAGGAGAATAATTGTGAACTGCACTGTTAAAAAGCCTCAGGGGTTGTTCCTCCTAAGTGTTTAATTTCTGAGGCCAGTAGGATCAAGAAGTGTTGTGGAACCAATAAGCTCAGCCCTTGTACAGAGGGAGATGAACACCTTATATTATACGCACACTGATATAGCTGAAAAGGGGAACCCTGATGGGCTGAAGAAATTATATCTACTCTTCTTCATCAAGTAGTTGGTAGCTATAGGGAAGATAAAGTGAGACAGGCTAAAAGTCAAGTAGAGTTGGACCTTGCAAAGGGAATTAAAACCAATAGGAAAAGGTTCTATAGCCATATAAATAAGAAGGAAACAAAGAAAGAAGTGGGACCGCTAAACACTGAGGATGGAGTGGAGGTTAAGGATAAACTAGGCATGGCCCAATATCTAAACAAATACTTTGCCTCAGTCTTTAATAAGGCTAAAGAGGATCTAAGGGATAATAGTAGCATGACAAATCGGAATGAGGATATGGAGGTAGATATTACCATATCTGAGGTAGAAGCATCTTAATGCAACTAAATCGAGGGACCCAGATAATCTTCATCCAAGAATATTAAAGGAATTGGCACATGAAATTTCAAGCCCTTTAGCAAGAATTTTGAATGAATCTGTAAACTCAGGGGTTGTACCGTATGACTGGAGAATTGCTAACATAGTTCCTATTTTTAAGAAAGGAAAAAAACGTGATCTGGGTAACTACAGGTCTGTTAGTTTGACATCTGTAGTATGCAAGGTCTTGGAAAAATTTTTGAAAGAGAAAGTAGTTAAGGACATTGAGGTCAATGGTAAATGGAACAAAATACAACATGGTTTTACAAAAAGTAGATTGTGCCAAACCAACCTGATCTCCTTCTTTGAGAAAGTAACAGATTTTTTAGACAAAGGAAACACAGTGGATCTAATTTACCTAGATTTCAGTAAGGCGTTTGATACGGTGCCACATTAGTGAATTATTAGTTAAATTGGAAAAGATGGGGATCAATATGAAAATTGAAAGGTGGATAAAGAATTGGTTAAAGGGGAGACTACAGCGGGTCACTCTGAAAGGTGAACTGTCAGGCTGGAGGGAGGTTACCAGTGGAGTTACTCAGGGATCGGTTTTGGGACCAATCTTATTTAACCTTTTTATTACTGACCTCGGCACAAAAAGTGGGAGTGTGCTAATAAAGTTTGAGGATGATACAAAGCTGGGAGGTATTGCCAATTTAGAGAAGGACTGGGATATCATACAGGAGGATCTGGATGACCTTGTAAACTGGAGTAATAGTAATAGGATGGAATTTAATAGTGAGAAGTGTAAGGTCATGCATTTAGGGATTAATAACAAGAATTTTAGTTATAAGCTGGGGACACATCAATTAAAAGTAATGGAGGAGGAGAAGGACGTTGGAGTATTGTTGACCCCAGGATGACTATGAGCCACCAATGTGATATGGCCGTGAAAAAAGCTAATGCGGTCTTGGGATGCATCAGGCGAAGCATTTCCAGTAAAGATAAGGAGGTGTTAGTTATACAAGGCACTGGTGAGACCTCATCTGGAATACTGTATGCAGTTCTGGTCTCCCATGTTTAAGAAGGATGAATTCAAACTGGAACAGGTACAGAGAAGGGCGATTAGGATGATCCAAGGAATAGAAAACCTGTCTTATGAAAGGAGACTCAAAGAGCTTGGCTTGTTTAGCCTAACCAAAAGAAGGCTGAGGGGAGACATGATTGCTCTCGATAAATATATCAGAGGGATAAATACCGGAGAGGGAGAGGAATTATTTAAGCTCAGTACCAATGTGGACACAAGAACAAATGGATATAAACTGGGCATCAGAAAGTTTAGACTTTAAATTAGACAAAGGTTTCTAACCATCAGAGGAGTGAAGTTCTGGAATAGCCTTCCAAGGGAAGCAATGGGGGCAAAAGACCTATCTGGCTTCAAGATTAAACTCGATAAGTTTATGGAGGAGATGGTATGATGGGATAACATGATTTTGGCAATTAATTGATCTTTAACTATTCACGTTAAATAGGCCCAATGGCCTGTGATGGGATGTTGGATGAGGTGGGATCTGAGTTACTACAGAGAATTCTTTCCTGGGTGTCTGGCTGGTAAGTCTTGCCCACATGCTTAGGGTTCAGCTGATCGCCATATTTGGGGTCAGGAAGGAATTTTCCTCCAGGGCAGATTGCAAGAGGCCCTGGGGGTTTTTCACATTCCTCTGTAGCATGGGGCACGGGTCACTTGCTGGAGGATTCTCTGCTCCTTGAAGTTTTTAAATCATGATTTGAGGACTTCAATAGCTCAGACACAGGTGAGAGGTTTATTGCAGGAGTGGGTGGGTGAGATTCTGTGGCCTGCACTGTGCAGGAGGTCAGACTAGATGATCATAATGGTTCCTTCTGACCTTATCTATGAGTCTATGAGCTATGACTCTGGGCTGCAAAGATGGGGTTGTAAAATGGTGTAAAATCGGAGGAAGTGTAGTACATCCCTATAGAAGCACTCTACTTTACCTATGTCAAAGTCAGTTTATCATCTCCAGGCTGAGGTCAGGGCCTATTCTCAGTTCCATGAGGTGGCAAACTAGTTTTGATAGTCCAGCCTCAGACATGAATAGGCCCTCTTGGAAGCAGATTGCTCTGAGGGGTAATGCTGACCTAGTGAGAAATTATAACTGTCTTTGACCCACATGTATCAGGCTACTAACCATCAAGGCTCCCTTCCTCCACATCTTCCTTCCAGATTGATATCCATGCCCATAAAATATGAAGCAGCAGGGAAGGCCACTAGAGCAGAGGTGGGCAAACTACGGCCCCTGGGACCCTCTTGCCCGGCCCCTGAGCTCCTGGCCCGGGAGGCTAGCCCCATCCCGTCCCCCACTGTCCCCCTGCCCCAGAGCCTCCACTCACTGTGCCCTCAGTGCAATGCTCCGAGCAGCGGGGCTGTGAGCTCCTGGAGCAGCACAGCTGCAGAGCCTGGCCTGACACCGCCAGCCACCAGTGCTCCAGGCAGCGCAGTAAGGGGGCAGGGAGCAAGGAGGGGTTAGATAGAGGGCAGGGGAGTTTGGGGGGTGGTCAGGGGGCAGGGGTGTGGATAGGGGTCAGGGTGGTCGGAGGGCAGGGAACAGGGGGGTTGAATGGGGGCAGGGGTTCCGGGGGGGCAGTCAGGAAGGAGAGGAAGGGTTGGATGGGACAGCAGGGGGCAGTCAGGGGCAGGGGTTCTGGGGGCAGTCAGGGGACAGGGAGCAGGAGGGGTGGATGGGGTAGGGGTCCCAAGGGGAGGGGCAGTCAGGAATGAGAGGAGTGGTTAGATGGGGCAGCAGGGGGCAGTCAGGGGTGGAGGTTCTGGTGGTGGTCAGGGGACAGGGAGAAGGGGTGGTTGCATGGGGCAGGGGTCCCGGGTGGGCAGTCAGGAATGAGAAGAGGGGTTGGATGGGGTGGTGGGGGGCAGTCAGGGGCGGGGGTCTGGGGTGGTCAGGGGACAGAGAGTGGGAGGGGGCAGGGGTCCTGGGGGGCCGTCAGGGAACAAGGGGGGTTGGATGGGGCAGGATTCCCGGGGGGCCATTGGGGTGGTTGGATAGGGGGCGGGGACACAGCCTCCCTTAACCGGCCCTCCATACAATTTCAGAAACCCAATGTGGCCCTCAGGCCAAAAAGTTTGCCCGTCCCTGCACTGTAGCATGCGTGATGGAAGACATTTTCCAGTTTGAATGTATCGTGGGATTCAGATTGCATATGCTCCTGTTTTCATAGAATCATAGAATATCAGGGTTGGAAGGGACCTCAGGAGGTCATCTAGTCCAACCCCCTGCTCAAAGCAGGACCAATCCCCAACTAAATCATCCCAGCCAGGGCTTTGTCAAGCCTGACATTAAAAACTTCTAGGGAAGGAGATTCCACCACCTCCCTAGGTAACGCATTCCAGTGTTTCACCACCCTCATACTGAAAAAGTTTTTCCTAATATCCAACCTAAATCTCCCCCACTGCAACTTGAGACCATTACTCCTCGTTCTGTCATCTGCGACCATTGAGAACAGTCTAGAGCCATCCTCTTTGGAACCCCCTTTCAGGTAGTTGAAAGCAGCTATCAAATCCCCCCTCATTCTTCTCTTCTGAAGACTAAACATCCCCAGTTCCCTCAGCCTCTCGTCATAAGTCATGTGTTCCAGTCCCCTCATCATTTTTGTTGCCCTCCGCTGGACTCTTTCCAATTTTTCCACATCCTTCTTGTAGTGTGGGGCCCAAAACTGGGCACAGTACTCCAGATGAGGCCTCACCAGTGTCGAATAGAGGGGAACGATCACGTCCCTCGATCTGCTCGCTATGCCCCTACTTATACATCCCAAAATGCCATTGGCCTTCTTGGCAACAACGGCACACTGTTGACTCATACCCAGCTTCTTGTCCACTGTAACCCCTAGGTCCTTTTCTGCAGAACTGCTGCCGAGCCATTCGGTCCCTAGTCTGTAGCGGTGCATTGGATTCTTCCGTCCTAAGTGCAGGACTCTGCACTTATCTTTGTTGAACCTCATCAGATTTCTTTTGGCCCAATCCTCTAATTTGTCTAGGTCCCTCTGTATCCTATCCCTACCCTCCAGCGTATCTACCTCTCCTCCCAGTTTAGTGTCACCCACAAACTTGCTGAGGGTGCAATCCACACCATCCTTATTTATGAAGATATTGAATAAAACCTGCCACAGGACCGACCCCTGGGGCACTCCACTTGATACCGGTTGCCAACTAGACATGGAGCCATTGATCACTACCCGTTGAGCCCGACAATCTAGCCAGCTTTCTATTCACCTTATAGTCCATTCATCCAGCCCAAACTTCTTTAACTTGCTGGCAAGAATACTGTGGGAGACCGTGTCAAAAGCTTTGCTAAAGTCAAGGAACAACACGTCCACTGCTTTCCCTTCATCCACAGAGCCAGTTATCTCGTCATAGAAGGCAATTAGATTAGTCAGGCATGACTTGCCCTTGGTGAATCCATGCTGACTGTTCCTGATCACTTTCCTCTCCTCTAAGTGCTTCAGAATTGATTCCTTGAGGACCTGCTCCATGATTTTTCCAGGGACTGAGGTGAGGCTGACTGGCCTGTAGTTCCCAGGATCCTCCTTCTTCCCTTTTTTAAAGATGGGCACTACATTAGCCTTTTTCCAGTCATCTGGGACCTCTCCCGATCGCCATGATTTTCAAAGATAATGGCCAAAGGCTCTGCAATCACATCCGCCAATTCCTTTAGCACTCTCGGATGCAACGCATCCAGCCCGATGGACTTATGCTTGTCCAGCTTTTCTAAATAGTCCCGAACCACTTCTTTCTCCACAGAGGGCTGGTCACCTTCTCCCTATGCTGTGCTGCCCAGTGCAGTAGTCTGGGAGCTGACCTTATTCGTGAAGACAGAGGCAAAAAAAGCATTGAGTACATTAGCTTTTTCCACATCCTCTGTCACTAGGTTGCCTCCCTCATTCAGTAAGGGCCCACACTTTCCTTGACTTTCTTCTTGTTGCTAACATACCTGAAGAAACCCTTCTTGTTACTCTTAACATCTCTCGCTAGCTGCAACTCGAGGTGTGATTTGGCCTTCCTGATTTCACTCCTGCAAGCCCGAGCAATATTTTTATACTCATCCCTGGTCATTTGTCCAATCTTCCACTTCTTGTAAGCTTCTTTTTTGTATTTAAGAGCAGCAAGGATTTCACTGTTAAGCCAACCTGGTCGCCTGCCATATTTATTATTCTTTCTATACATCGGGATGGTTTGTCCCTGTAACCTCAATAAGGATTCTTTAAAATACAGCCAGCTCTCCTGGACTCCTTTCCCCCTCATGTTATTCTCCTAGGGGATCTTGCCCATCAGTTCCCTGAGGGAGTCAAAGTCTGCTTTTCTGAAATCTAGGGTCTGTATTCTGCTGCTCTCCTTTCTTCCTTGTGTTAGGATCCTGAACTCGACCATTTCATGGTCACTGCCTCCCAGGTTCCCATCCACTTTTGCTTCCCCTACTAATTCTTCCCAGTTTGTGAGCAGCAGGTCAAGAAGAGCTCTGCCCCTAGTTGGTTCCTCCAGTACTTGCACCAGGAAATTGTCCCCTACATTTTCCAAAAACTTCCTGGATTGCCTTTTATGGTTGTGTGGCTGGGGCGGAAGATATGAAGTGATTCTTTTCCTCCATCATAGCCTCAGTGAAGACTAAGCCATTGCACTTGTTTAATGCAGTGGCAGAGAAAGTGCTTCTTTGGACCTGGGTATGAAAGTTTAGGAGGGAATGGGAAGGGAGTAAGAAAAGACTCAGAAAAGATTGCAAAAAAGATATTATAAAAGCCAGAAAGGCAATGATTGTTTAACAACCAATATACTCACTGGAGAGCCATCAATCCAGGTATATCCTTCATCAGAATTCAAGTAAATCAAACCCATCCAGAAATGCTGAAAGATAAATCCTTTGTCCCTAAAATATATTATATGATATAGATATGTGATTGTATATAATAGGACAATTATATATGCCCTTTGTACAAAAGACATTTTAGAACTTATAGCAGTTCAAAAAATTTGAAGTCTCTGTAAAATTATCTCATAAAAAGGAACCTGCAAAGGAAGAAAATGTGTTTATATTAATTTGCCTTTCTTCTTGATGTATGATGATGTATTCCTCTCAGAAAAGTGTTTTCTCCTTGTTTTCTATCATAGACATATTGGCCCAGATTCTACTCTGTTTGTGCTACTCCAATAGGAGAAAAACAGCCCCATCTCTCCATAAAACCAGCTCTTACCCTAAACATGTCACAGTTTCCATGTGAGGGGTTTGGTCAAGGCATGCTGGTCTCTGACAATTCCGAGCTGATAGACAATTCCTTGTGAACCATTACCAGCTGGTAGAGTTTAGAACAGCCACTAGCAGCCACCCAGAACTGGCCCCATAATCAGCTCCTGATGGTGCTTCCTGTCCACCACAACAAGTAGATCTTGACTGCAGCAGATCATCAAGTCCACTAGGAATATAAATATTTGTCATCCTTATGTTTGACAGAGAACAACTTGAAGGACCAGAGAAGTGGGAGGGAGCTATCTCAGCCCTCTATCAAAATGGTGAGGGGTGCTGTCTTTTCTCAGAGATCTTTTCTCTCAACTGTATGTCAGGAGTTTGGGTTAAGAGATTTCAACAAAAATTAAAACAAAAATAAAGAATTGTAAAACAATTTAACTAACTAAAAATCTTTTTCTCAATGCTTAGGCTTCACTTTCATGATACTCATTATTTCTAGTGCAGTAGCACATACAATCCCAGACTCAGATCAAGGCCTCCTTGTGCTCGGTATTGTATAAACACATCACAGGAAAGAGTTCCTGACCTAAAGAGCTTATAGCCACATTAAGCCATAGATTCTTCCAGGAAAAAAGGATAGACAAGATCTGAATTGCTAATCTATCTATTGGTAGACAGATGACCAAGCAAAACAAAAATGAAAAAAGCACATTAAAAAACAAATACATCCTACATATATATTATATATAAAACTAAAGTGGACAAAGTGGGAAAAAGTCTCTTTGCCACTTGTAAATCACTCTTAAATCTATTGGAAAAATAAGTTTATAGTACACCATTGCCTGGCAATTTAAACAAGAAAAAACCAACAAAACCACCATCTTTTATATGCCAATGAGAGCCTTTGATATGGATTCATGGGGAAACACCAGATATCGAGACTTTGTATAATTTGTATAGAGTTACTTTTCAGAGTACAGCCACACTTATGTGGCCTGGTTTTGAAAGAAATTTCACTGCAACCTCAACTTTTGTGGACACATTTGGGCACCTGCACATGCTAGCAGTTAGAGGTCTAACTACCTGATTTGTGAGAGCAATCATGCAGTTAGATGCCCAATTTTAGCATTTACATCCTTAAAATAAAACAAAACAAAAACCAAAAACATCCCAACAACCGCCACCACCAACTTTTCATAGTCAGGACATAAATCTCTTCCAATTGTTTGTACAATTGATATATCATCATGAATGAACTCTGTACAACTTTTAGAAGTCTCCAACCCATACACAAACATTTGCACATCAAGTTCCTGAATTCTGAGACTCTGGTTACACCCAAATTCCTGTGGTTTATTTTAAATATAGTAATTAAAAATAAGTGGGGTATGACGATAAAGATATAATGAACAGTTTTTTACTTAAAATTAACCCTTTTGAGAATGAATTCAAGAGAGCTTTTTGTTATTCTTCTTATACATGCCATTAATGTGAAAGAATAAATATTTTGTAAATACTCACAGAACCATCTGCCATATTACATGCTTTACTTCTTTTCTGTTGATAGTGATCAAGTGTCCTCCTATTTCTCTACAAAAATCTTCTGCTTCAAACCATGATTTCTTTTGGTTTCCTTCTCTCACAAAAATCTAATGAGAACATATTTCACAATAAGCTACTATATAATAATACCCTCCCTAAGTAATAAAATCAAACAACACCCTGGGCAGCTACTTTCTCAGTAGTGGGATTTCATACAATCCAGCTAACCAAATCAAAAGGATATCCAGAAGAAAATAACACCTGGAATATGGATTACAGAATGCCTAATTCTTAGCATCCATTGTTTCACTTTATTTGAGTAAAAGCACAGAGGAGGACTGGGAAGACCCATAGCTATCACAATACACAGAGAGGGAAAAAGCTAGTATGTATAACTTAATAGGAGCTCTGACCACTGAAAAAGGTGAAGAAAAATAGATGGTTATATCTAAAACTCCAAGGGGGGTGAAAATCAGGAATGGAGCAAAATCCAAAGGAATGGGAGCAAGAGTGAGATGTGGATGTAGGGTTCAGTCCTGCAAGGTGCTGAGCACTCTGGCCCTGACTCAAGCACATGCTTAATTTGTTTGCTGAATCAGGGCCAGAGTGCTCAGCACCTTGCAGGACTGAGTCCATAATTAAGGTTGTGTAAGTCTAGGGGAAGAGGTCTCAGCAGCAGGAAAGTATCCGATCTGATAAATGGTCATCCAAATAAATAAATAATAATTTGAGTGTGACACAATGTAACATAATTACATAGTCCCTGAAGAGTAAGAGCTTAACCTCAGCTATGTTTATTCTTTGTGCTTGCCCAGGTATACCAGGAGAAGAGTATAAATGACTGCTTGGGAGACAGAGATGGAAGAATGCCTCTGGGAAGCTCTGGCTAGGAAGTCACTGATTCACTTTTCCTTCTGTAAATTATTTTGCTTTCTTGTATATATTATCTTAATATAGTCTTTGTGGGGAATTTTCTCATTTATCTTTTAAGTAAATAGGGAAAGCACTTTTTGAATGTAGTTGTTCTATTTGCCTAGGTGCCACCAGATGCTAAATGTGAAACTGGGTTTGTTTGCCATCACATTGAATACATTATGTGCTTTGTGCAAAAATCTTGGAACGGTGCCAGGTTCCTATGTCTATTCATGGAAAATGTTATCTTAACACTGTTGCCAACCCTCATGATTTTATCATGAGTCTCACAGAATTTGATTAGCTGAGAATCTCAGCTTTCATTTAAAAAGAGAAAAGTGTGTTTCAAGCCCTCATGCTTGAGGGGAAAAGCTTGAAAACAATATAAAAAAGAACCCAATATATTTTTTTTTAAATCTCATGATTTTAACCCAATATCATGATTACTTGGAACCCTGACTCATAATTTTCCAATAACTAGGGTTGACAATAGTGTTCCAAAATGGAATCTCTAAAAAGCATGCATTCCACTGCACAGTGCAGGTTAGGGAACAACTGAGAGTAGATTTTAACTCTTAGTGCATGAGATGGACAGTGTGTAGTGAATGAGGCAGGAAAGTTTAATACTTACTTTGAAGCATGAGCTAATATAATTGCTTGAATCCCAGCCTTCAGGGCACATGGAATCGGAGGACGTGTCACACCCTCAGCCCACTGTTTCCAGAGAAATGTTGCTGTCTTCTCACAACTAAGAACATCCCATAATCCAGCTGCAATTCCAGTTTCCATGGCAACACAGCCTGACTTTCCTCCTTCGTGAAAGAAATGTTAAAAACCTAATTGAAAATTACATATTTCTCTGAACTTGGGGCTCTGCTCTCAAAGAAATTAAACTTCTCTTTCCATTCCTATTTTATAAACCAAAGGATGGAAATTCTAACGCAGATGCAAAGTCACTTGGGTCCAGATTTTTAAGGGTATATAGGCATTGCTGTGCTCAGCATTAAAATGCATAACTCACTTAGAAGGTGAAGTCTTATTGTCAAAACAGATTTAGGCACTTAGGAGCCTAAATTCCATTAACTGTGCCTAAATCTCTTTTGAAAGTAAGATTTAGGCTTCTAATCAGTTAGGTGTTGCAACACTGAGTGCAACAATGCCTACATACTTTTAAGAATCAGGGTCTTGGTTCCATGTGCCATAGGAATACCCAGAACAGTAGCACAGGTACGTTAACAAATCCCATGAGCCCATCTCTGCCAAATGATGAGAAAACTCACAAAAGGTGAACACTGATAGTCCTTTTTTCCCACCCTAGTGTGACCATTTTTAGTCTAATAATCTGTATATCTGCCATTACTTCGTGTCTCACCTAAGCACCCTATAGGTCTAATTGTTTGGCCACTTATGTCCAGCACTAATTTTCCCCAGTGTGATGAACTATGTCAACCACTAATGCTGTGATAAAGTTCTGAAAACGTTGAAGCCCCTTCAGCCCCTGCTTAGCATGGTCTCTAGACCTTCAAAGCCCCAGCTTGCACAACTACACAAGATGGGGATTAGCAGCCCACTAATCTTTATGTGGCTAGTGTGCTTCTTACTCCTCCCTTACTCCCCTGCAGGAATACAAAAGAGGGCCCATGGTTGAATCCTGTCTAATCTACCAGGGGACAGAGAGTGGAAATTCATGGGCATTTCAATATTCAGTCTTAACACATCCTAAAACCACAGACAGTATACATCACACAGCACTGCAGCGCATACCAGGCATTGCTGAATTCCAATGAGTGAACAGAACTGCTTCACCATCGGTCCACTTGAAAGTCCCTTGTTCCTCTACATCTGAAAGCCCTATCCAGAAATATTTTTCAGGCCTTAGCCCAGTCAGACTAATCAGATAGACTTGTTCATTTCTGTTAAGGAAAATAATGTTTCAAAATAATGTTATACTAAGATTTAATCATGGCTTTTCTTTTTAATGAAATAATTCAGAATGGAAAACTGGATAAAAGAGTTAAAAGTTGATAAAATGGTTAGTTTAAATCTATGAATTTATACTTTGAACAAATTCAGCTGCTGACACCAGAAAGGAAGCATGATAATTATGGCCTATTAATAATTTGGAATGATTCCTTCTCCTCCTGCACAATATAAGGCATTATGCATTTGTCTGAGAGTTAGAAGGGAGAAGGCAGAGGCAGATACTAGTATGGTCTTCGTCAAGCTGCTGTCTATTAGCTCCTTATATGTTGCAGTTTGTTTTGTTGTTTAAATTTTGGGGCTACCACTGCCTTATGCTAAGAGAGACCCCATAAATCTGTATCCTCTGATTTTCAATAAAGGAATATGTAGGGGTGGACTATGTCCAGAGGTCCTCTCCTGGAGGCCTCGAAGCCCTGCCTCACTTTGCCTCAGAAAAGAGAAGAGGAGAAGTCCTCCAGGTGGCCTAGAGTGGCTACAGGGGAAGCAGCCAATCAGAGGGGCTGATGGAGTGGCCAATCAGGGGCCAGGAAAGCCATATAAAAAGAAGCAACAGAGACAGAGCAGTCAGTTGCTGCCTGAAGCTGGAAGAGAGAGAACCAGGTTTGTGGCCAACTGGAAGAGTAGCAGGACCACGGACAGCTCAGTTAGGACAGGGCTGAGCCCACGGAGAGCTACTGATGGCTGAGGGGACCAAGCAGATACTGAGCCCAAAACATAGCAAGACCAAGCAAGGGTACCATGATGGGTCCTGTTGGTCTAGTTAAAAACTAAGCTGTGCATGTGCGTGCGTGCTGCTGAGAAGGACATATCAATGGAAGGTACCATGTTGAGCCCTGTTAAACTGGTACAGAGGGCAGTGTCTCCAGGGAGGAAGCTGTGGTGGAAAGTAAATACTCTATACCCCGGAAGGGGTTTGTTTGTGCTTTTCCACCTATAGACTGTGTGTGACTTGGCCAGGAGGCCGAGTCACTGAAGACTCGCCAAAGAAACCATTGGCCGGGGGGGTTACTTGTGAGAGGTAGGTGTCACCCCATTCCAAGAACTAAGAAACAGCAGGCTCACACCCAACCACCAGGGGGCACTCACAAGAGGCAGGTGCTGACCCTATTACAAGGAACTATTACTAAAAAAGATTTTTCCCCTGAAATTTTTGCTCAAATGTTTCACCTCAAGGAGATTTAAACTAATAGTTTAAAGAAAGATTTATAACTATTACAATCTGTCAGTTATGAATTAAAATGATAAACCATTAAAAGTCATTAGAATCCATCAATTATTAATGTCAAACATTAGAATTATCAAGTATGACACAATGTACAACACGCAATGTGTTCCACATTTTGGTCATTTGTCACACATTCTGACGGCTCATGTCTCACACTGGCAGTTTTGAAGACTGAAAGATGTGTGCACTACGGTTCCCTCACAAGCCAAATCTGGATCAAGAAGCATAGTTTACATATGCTTGGATTAAGCAATGAGAAGTGATAAAGGAAAGAGAACCTGGAAACAAGTAGGAAAATGTTATTTGAAAATCTTGGATAAGAGTACAGGAAGGATTTCTGAAATGATAGAGCACCCAGAAAAGTATGGAGATGCACAGAAGCAGATGCATGCATGAAAGCAATATGAAAGAATGATCAGGTAAAATGGTAGAACCAAATTTAAACCACTGTATTCATCTCAATAAACCAAATCAAAATATAAACTAGAAAGTTAAAATCTAATCCCAGAAGTGTCTCTTCTTTGCAACTGAGGTCATAATGGATCTGTAGGATATAGTTAATATCAGAAACAGAACATCAAAAGTCAGAATGAGACCTGGAAGGAAAAAAGAAGCAAATCAATAAATAAATTAGTAATAATAAAGCCTTCCTATAACCAGGAAACGGAGAAGAGCATAAGACTCCATTTAGCCCATGAGGGGCCATCTCTGCAAATCTAATTTTATCTGGGAAGCACTCGGATACTACCACAACAGAGCCTATAGAAAACCCAAAGGTACATAGGCATTTGTTTTTTCTGTGTAGATCCTTTGTATTTGGCTCCACACTAGAAAAGTTCTAGAGTATTTTAAAATTTAGAACCTTCAAAGCTTTTTCCATCATGAGCAGAAATTTAACAGTAGAACAAAAAATATTTTTCATACCTGTCTTCCACAGTAGCTAGGTAACCATTGCTCCTTTCACATGTCTTATTTGCTTCCGAGAATGTTACAAATGTGTGTCCAACCAAATAGCAGTGAAAACCATGCCTTTTCCAGCCCTGTGACAAACATCAGGCAAATACATGAGTTCTTGACAGATTAACATATTGATTCTGTTCTGCCCTTTAACATATAAATACATATTAATATGAAATCGATTGATGAAGCTCAGTTGAGAAAAAAGAAGAGACTGTGATCATCAGACATAGGCAGGGCTGTTATTTAACAAAAGGAAGCTCCCTGAGATCAGTATTGTTGTTACCCAGGGGATGATGCTGGGAGGTCTGCCAGGGGCAGCTCACACCTGACCCATCTTTTCCTCCTCCCCTCTTATGTTGGTATGATTTTCCTGGAGTGGAAGGTTATCTGATCAGGGTGGCCTTACACTGATTTGCAGGCTTGGTTACGCATGCACCAGAAGAACAAAGATGCTGACTTTGCTCGGCTTAGAGGGAAATTATGTCTACGTAGCTCAACAACAGTGGGCTCTAAAACCTTGAAATACAAAAACAATTTAAATTATTCACATATAACCAGAGCTACCACTATCTGACTACACTGACTCTTCAGAATTCAAAGAAGGACCCCTTGTGATCCAGCTTAGGCTTGTTCCTCCTGAGTCTACTACAGAGGTTTTAAACAAGTGGATTTCTGTGCAGGTGAGACTTGCTAAATTTGCTGACTAGGAACCATATCACCCGCTGCGGTGGGGGTGGGATTTCAGAGTCCAGACAGGCAGCCCACAAGTAAGGAATCTGAACCAGATAGCTGGGACGGGAGATTCTTTTCTGCTTTGAATTGATTTCCTTTTCTTTTTAGTTGCTGATGCTAAAGCCTATGAAGAGACAGAAGATCTGAGACTTGAGACAGAGAGGCCTGTGGTGGGTGCTATGTTTGTTATTTCATTGGGTGAAGAGCCTAAAGTAAACATGGGATGTTGTGAAGACTTTTTGTTAATAAAAACGGTCTATGTATATCTATTACTGAGTGGGAAATCAGACTCTATTACAAAGAAGAGGGAGGAAATGGAAGAATTCAATATAAATTAAAAATTAATTCAGAGTAGATTTACATCTGAAAATGAATGACGATAAAAACTGTACATACATGAGCAACTTGCTAAGGGAAAAAATCACTGGGGTCCTTCAAAAGTAGTTACTAAATAGAGGGAAGAGGTCACCATGAAAGACAAAGGACTTTAAAGAGCATGAAATCCAATAGGCTAAATGACCTTTATAGATCCCCATATAATCAATTTCACACTTACTCTCTGGCAGCCTGGATCGATGATCTCCACTTCCCTAGGAGCTTGTGGTAAAGGTGTTCTTTTGCAGATATAACCAAGTTTCCTTTCACAAAGGTTAGCTGCCCAATATCCATCCTGAACATGAGGAGGGAGAGAAAAGAATGTCCAGGACGAGGGATGCATAATCTTTAGAAAACTGCTAATTTCCTCTCTCCTTGCTCATGCTCATTTTTAATCTGTTGCATGAATTGGTTGATAAATACAGATTGCATCAAAAAATGATGTGCCAGATTCATCACAGCGTTACTCCAGTTCTACACTACTGTAACTCCAGTGAAAGGAGCAGAATTGGAGTAATGCAGGCTTGAATGTGTCCCCATGAGTATGACTATGTCACACTTACGAGTAGGAGACTCATTGTCAGCTAGTGAATTTTGTGAGCGAGAAAGTGAAAAACACACTAAAAATAAATCATAATGTCCCACAAAATGTTAGTTAATTAATGTTGATGTTAGATGTTTTTCTATAATTATTTATTATATTATTTTGTAATGAACTAGATTACCTTTCCTGTGGTATGTTTTGTAAAAGAGACCTAAGAGCTATCTGCCATTAGATCTTTGAGGAGGAACGATCAACTTAAAATGATTTTTATTTTTATTTATGGTGGTTTTGGGTGTTTTGTTACCTTCCATTTATTTATTTTTAACAAATCTAGCTACATTTCCATACTGCCCTGCATAAATGAGAAATCTGTGAGGACCAAGAAGTAGATGAAGCCGTAGCTTCCCACTCCCCTCTCCCCCAGGAGAGCTAGTCAGGATCAAGCAAGGAGAGTAACCAGCACCCTGAGCAAGAGGGAAAGAGGAGAGGATTTGGGGCTGAGTTACAGTTCCTTCCCAGTGTGCATCTACATGGTGCCTTTTACACAGGCTGAATCTAGATGCTCAGTTTAGCCCTAAATGGCATGCACAATGTCGTGCAGTGAGTTAGTGTCAGAACCAGGATTAAAATGGAGATGCCCTGGTCCACGCTTAATCCATTGGACCACGGTGCCCACTATGTAAACTACTTAATTTCTCTGTTCTTCAGTAGGTCTGTTCTTTCCTATTTAATGGTGGGAGGGGATTAATATTTACCATCGATGGAAACAAAAAATATCCTAGGCCGAGATGGTAGTGACACCTAAATTAAGGTTGCCTAATACTTCTCATTATGAGACCCTGCTTTCATCTGCTTATAATTTGCCAAACTTTAACCTTCTGAGATTAAATTTTCCCTGCTGGATGTTTGCCTCACGCTGAACTTTTCTTTTGAAAGTTTCAACAAAAGCAGTTCAGCCACTTCTCAGAACAGGGTTAGAGAAAATGATGTTGTTTTGCCCATGTTAAAAAAATTCGTATAATCATTTATTCCAACAGCTTCATGCTTTGGAGCAGCAGTATTGCCAGCCTGAGGTGCTCAGTGATCTTGAATGAGGCACTTAAAATTATGAGAGTGGATTAAAAATCATGAGAATTTTTAAAAATAATAAGTATTGGGCTCTTTTTATTGGCCTCTTGGTTTCCATTATGATTCAATGTCTTTGTGTTATCAAGCTTTTCTCTGAAACCAGGAGAGCTAGAATTATAGTTTGCCGGGGGAGGGGGATGTTTAAACCAAAGCTGAGATTTTAGTATAACTTTTTAATCTCAGAAACTGGGGCTTTAAGAAAAACACCAAATATAGCAAGACTTGTGATAAAATCACAAGAGTTGGCAACACGGGGGCAGGGACTTGTAATTTGGCAGGGGGGTGCCCTGGTGTCAGGGATGTGCCTTTTGCCATCCCATGAAAGTCCACCAAATTTGGCCAAGTTACAAGCCTCAGAAAACTATTAGGACACACATTCTGAGTACAGACTTGTTAGAATTTGGCAGTTATTTTCTCCAAAGTTCCCATTTGAACTGGGCATGCTCCAGCCAGGGGCTGCAGGGACGGAGCGGAATGGAGAGGGTGAGTAATGGTGTGGGGCAGAGACAAGCTGTGTGGGAGGGATAGATAGGTTGTGGGGCACACAGGAGCAGAGACAGGCTGCAAGGTGGTGGTAGATAGAGGCAGAGACAGGCTATGAGGGGGTACATGCTAGGGCAGGGACTCTCTCAACAAAATTTTTGGTGGCCTCAGAGTGAGGCCACTTTATAATTTTTCCTAAAATACTTAATTCACTTTAGGAAAAACAAATAAATATGCACATATACATGCCCAAATCATTGTAATTTATCTATGTAGGATTTTTTTCTTTTTTGCAGACTCAGTAATAAAAATAATATGCAGTTGTCTCTACTCTTTACTGGACCTAAACAGGATAGAAACAGAAATAAGGTGCTTTGAACGTTCTTGTCTTTTTTCTTGTTGTTTCTTTTACTTTTTGGGGTTTTTTTTAAGACTTGTTAGCTATAAGTAAGTCTGCTGTGAAAAGAGATATTTGTATGTTTGTTAATATCACTTTTCACAGAAGACTTACTCAGCCCTGGCAAGCTCAGAGACAAATTAAGCCCTGGATGGGTACAGAGGCAGTGGGGGCATGGGCGATGGGGCATTGGGGGAGCTAGCAGGGACCAGAGGTGAAGAGGAGGTCGAGCTTGAGCCAGACCACTGCACAGCCAGGGAATGGAGCCCAAAGCCCCACACCCAGGGGACAGACTCTGGGGACAGAGCCCGAAGCTCCATGGCTGGAGCCTGCCACTTGCCATCCCAGGGCAGAAGCCCAACCCTACCGCCCCTAGGAAGGAAGGGACTGACTGACTGACTGCTCCTGCAGCTTGTGTCTCCCCAGAGGCGGGTGGGGCGCAACCACTGCTGGTGGCCACTGGGAGGGGCCACTGCCTTGTCGTCATCCCCCAATCACTGCCCAGGATGCTGTGGCTGCAAGAAAAGCCCCTGGTGGCTGCATAAGGCCATGGTGGCTGTATTTGAGAAACACTGTGCTAGGGGCAGGGGCAAAAGGCTGGGGAAGGAGGTATAGGAAATGAGGGTTTGTAACTACTAGAGAACACTCCTTTCCAGAACCCTCCAGGAATCCAGAGTTTCAACATTCCTCTGCTGTCAGCAAATGGCTGTTCACAGTCAGAGACATACCCCTCCTCTGGCTTGTTCACACAGAGGACAACAACATGCTGCTACTACCAGTTACTTGGTAAGCTCAACTGATCGAGAACCGTGCTCTAGAACTAGAGGTTCCAATCCTGCTTGTAACCCATTTGTGGGGAAAGGGAGGGTCACTAATATTCCACATCATAAAATGTATGTCTTTTCAGTTTTTGGCTTTTTAAAACCTAGGACATTATATGCAAAAAGCAAAACAAAACAAAACAAACAAACAAAAAACCATGTTAAAAGATGTTTAAGGTTGTAAAATCAGTCAGTAGTCCACAGCCGTAAGGAGGTATATACATATCTCAGGTTTACAGAGTGGAAACTCGGAAGTTGAGTCACTTCCCTGTAGTACGGTCTGGTGGATTAGAAAACTGAGTATGCAGTAGCCACTTATAATAATAACAAATAAAGCACCATGAACCTCTGAAACCAAAGGCACCACTTCTTGCTATGAACATAACAAAACAAATTTGGAATTTCTGGGCCGAGTTCTTTAGGAGATATGAAATGCTAAAACACATTATGAAAATATTACTCCTTCCCTTTTGATCTCACACATCTTCTAAATGCCCTGTCTGATTGGCTCCAGACTTATATGAAAACTTACTTTAGGCTAAGATCTGGCATATGAAATTTCAGGTGGCTTCATGTGTCTTTGGTAAGGTTATGGAGAAGAGAGGCATGTGAATGTTTCAGAATCAGGCTTATAATGAATGGCAGTTTGAGCCTGAACTATGTAATGATTGGCATCACTATAAGACATAAATTCTTAACAGTGAAAATAAATTAACCCTTGGGACAATTTACCCAGGGTCGTGGTGGATTCTCCATCACTCACATTTTTAAATCAAGATTTGATATTTTTCTGAAAGAGCTGCTCTAGAATTATTTAGGGGAAGTTCTATGGCTTGTGTAATACAGGAGGTCAGACTAGATGATCACAGCTGTCCCTTCTGGCCTTCAAATCTATAGAGCTATGAAAAATAATTGGATTATTTTACCTGTCCCTTCATAACAACACAATCTTCTTGTCTGTTTGCATAGTCGGGTTGACTACATAGCCATTTAATATATGTCACAGGAGTCCCATCACTCCATTCAAAATACATTTGAATCTTACGGGCATTCAGTCCAATCCACAGCTCTTCTGTTGGCTCTAACATAAAAGCAGTTGGCATGTTAATGGTGTTTTTACCAGTAACAGTGTACATTTCCAGGTCTGGAATGAGATTTCAGTCATGAATGTTGGGATACAGCACTTAGAGAGTTACATCTTTCGGCTTTAGCGAAAATTCAGGTTGCTCCTTCACATCCCTCTCTGCTGTGAGAGGTAACCTGGCCTATATTTTAACATGGCTAAGTCTTAGACTCATTCCAAAAATCTTGCCTTTAACAAAGGGACATACGCTCTTTGCAAATGGTAGAGGATGGATACAAACAATTTTTGACAAACTGTCTTGATAACTTAAAGCAACAAAGTAAAGACAGGAATATGCTGGTGTGTGCCTGGCTGTCTTCTGTCAACAGTGGCCTTAAAGATGCTGGGATTGAGCAACAGCATCCCTCTTAACAACAGAGGGCTGCCATTGACTGGAAAACTGGAGAGCCAGACCAGCTATCCCTGTGCTGTCCCACAATTCAGCACTGGTTGTGGTGGTTGGCCTGGCACATATTTAATGAAGTTGTATGTACCCTGTTCACCTTTTCTACGTCTCTTCGTCAACAAAATACATTTTCCTCATTATGGTTCACAAGAAAAAAAATATATTTACAAAATGTTGGCAGCCCAAAAACTCTTTGGAGATACCGCTGCATGACTTTCTCCTGCAGATCCATGAAACAAACAGGAGGAGGAACTTGGTGGCTTCTTAGAGAGAGAGGAAGCTGAAATAACTTATGCTGACACCAACCACAATAGCCCATATTTTGTTTGTACAAAGTGGCAGAGGTTGTTTTTTCCTAACTGCTCTTCACCAGGACCCCAATGCAGCAATGCTTTTAAGCACATGCTCAACTTTAAGCATGAGTAGTTCCATCAGTTTTAATGAGACTCCTCCTGTGCTTAAAGTTAAATGCATGCTTAAATGTTGGATTGAGCCCTAGTTGAGAAGACCTTGGTCACTGCAGAACTTGTCAGGCTCCAATGCATGGGACTGGGGTTGGAGACACAAGATTCACACCTCTTATGTACTAAGAAAGCAGGTTGGCACACACAAGCTGGGGTTCAGGGGCTATGGAATGTTTCCTTTCCTACTGTACAACTTTTTTTAATACTTAGATTTTTACTTCATAAGTAAGCAAAAAATATTTTTCTGTGTTTATGTAAGAAACACCCATCAAGTCTGATCTATTCTTTGGCTATAAATGTTAGCAGTACTGTTCAAAACAAAAAGCAGCTAACTGTTCATTATAAATATTGCAGACAAAACAATTGCCTGTAGAAATACTTACTGTAATCAAGCTGAGAAATAATAAAGCTGTTCTCTGCAATATTATGCATACTCGCCAAATTTCCATCTTGTGTCTTACATGAAGTCAAAGCTTCTTTCCATACTTTGGGCTCTCTGTGAATCATGTAACAGTGACCTGAGTATGGCAACCACCCATCTGGGCATTTAATAGACCCAAAGTGATCTAAAATGAAAATAAAAATGTTTTAGAGCAATGTAAAAGAGAACAAAGTAAATTAGACTGGCAGTATTTTCAGTTATTGTGCATAAAATACAGGACATCTAGCTGAATACAGGTGGAATTTGAGGTCAGAAATTCAAGAACATTCTAGTAAGAACTGAAATAAGACTAATATTAAATATGTTAAACGTGAATATAAATAAAATATGGTTCTTTATCATTTAAACATCTAAATATCATAAAATACCAAGACTTGGACAGAGCTAACAATTTGTGTCATATATTGCAACTCCCTAGAAATTTCAGGTAATGACACTCACGTTCTAAATCTCTCATAACTCCTTATCAGTAACTGACCATCAGAAATCATTTTGTAAATATTGCAACTAATTGCCTCTTCTTTAAATTGTCACCTTTTTAAATTGGGCCACTTAGGTGACTAAATACAGGTTTCAGACCCTAAGCTTAGGTCCCCTTTCAAAAAAATCTTGACTTCTTTTTTTTATTATTGTCAGTTAAAATATTCTTAAATAAAATCTCTCTCTAGTTTAATAAGTTTGTTACTGAGCATTAAAAGCAGCTTTCAAAGCATCCCTGGGAAACAGCCTATTGAAGATCACTTCTAGGTATAGCATGTGACAGCTATTAACTTGTCAATTGTATGCTTTAGGTCAAAGGCAGCCTGCAGTCTAAATGTAGTACAAGGAAATGTAAAACGTAGCCCATGGCTGCTCTTTAATACAGAGACGTGGATAAAGAAAACTAGTGCTCCTGCTGTCCTGCTCAGATGGACATGAAGCATTGCATGCTGTAGTCATCACAGACTGACTCTTTGCATTAAAGGTTAGGGTGGCTGTAGTGTTTGCCTTTTGTGCAATTAGGGACATGAAATTACAATGATGGTTTATGCAAATTAGGTCCTTGGCTCCTGTCAAATTGCCTGTAGAAATTGGCTTTTAGTTGTGTAAAATTTAGCCACCCTGCCTTAGATGAATGAAATAATGGACTTCTTCCCAGAGTGGTTAATATAGGATAAAGATGGAATAATGCCCTTTTGTACCAAGCAATATAGAAAATTGTGTGTGTCCACCTGCTTGTGCACAAAGGCACGCACATACATACATGGGCGTTTTTAAAGTATTGTTCTTGGCTAAAAAATAACTTCTACTGTAATTTCTTGGCAATCAAAATGCATCTCCTTTTTCTCCATTGCACATCTTTGCAGGCTGAAGTTTCAACAAAAAAAAAATCACCTTTTATTAAATTGACACACTTACCTGAAGGCATATTGAGAGACTCTAAAGTGAAGTTTCCCCTTTTACAAATATAGCCACGTTTCTGATTACATGCCTGGTTTTCCCATTTAGAAGCTTTTCTGGGATTCAGCATGGCACAGAGTTTACCAGGGGCTGGAAAGGGGCTTCCTTTGACAAACAGACAAAACAGAATCTCCATGTAATCACTGCAAAAAATCATGTCACCAATAGAAGGCACAATTTTTTGGTGATCTCTCTTGCCTTTATGATTGTTAAACTGACTAGACGTAGAGCGCTATCAGCTGCACAGATTAATCAAACTGAAAAAAGTTAATAGATTCCAAGGCCAGAAGGGAACATTTGGATCATTTAGCCTGACCTCCTGTATAACACAGGCCACAGAACTTTCCCCCAAAATAATTTCTAGAGCAGAGCTTGTAGAAAAACAGCCAATCCTGATTTTAAAAGTTTCTTTGATGGAGAATCTACCATCACACTTGGTAAGTTGTTCTAATGGTTAATTATTCTCACCATTAAACATTTACTCCTTATTTCCAATCTGAATCTGTCTGGCTTCAACTTCCAGCCATGGCATTGTGTTATACCTTTCTCTGCTAGCTGAAGAGCTCATTATTAAATATTTGTTCCCCATGTAGATACATATAGACTGTCACCCCGTAGCCTTCTCTTAGGTAAGCTAAATAGAGTGAGCTCCTTGAATCTATCACTATAAAGCATGTTTTCTAATCCTTTAATCATTCTCATGGATCTTTTCTGAACCCTTTCCAATTTATTAACATCTTTCCTGAATTGTGGATACCAGAACTGGATACAGTATTCCTGCAGCAGTCACACCTGCACAAAATACAAAGGTAAAATCATCCTCTGTTCCAAGTCAAGATTCTTGTTTATTCATCCCAGGATTGCATTAGCTCTTTTGCCCACAGTGTCACACTGATCTCATTTAGTTACAACAAACTCAGTATTATTTGTTATAGTAGGGGAAGAAAATTAAGACAGAAGAGTGATTTTTAAGTTGATGGACACAGTTGTAAATTATGTTTTTCAGAAGGTTGTTTTCAGGCTCCAGTTTATGTTATCATTTGAATAATCCTACATAATATGCTCAGGATAAAACTGAAAACAATATTTGGGACCAGGGCAGATATTTCTCCTCCTGGGACACTGGCCAAGTTAGTTAGGATATTGGATTTATAGCCTTACTCCAATTATCAGTGTATTATGTTTTTATTTCTTAATCATCTGGAGTGTCATTAACAATGATCTCTTGTCATTTCATTATGACATACTTACATAATAATTATCGTTTTAAGAACAGACTATTGGTAGATAAATTTTTAGCTAGATGACAGAGCTAATTATTATCAGTACAATTTCTTTGGTTTAAAAATACTGACAATATCAGAATATTTGGTCAAGCATATTTGGTGGTAGAAATGACAAGAAATTTCCAGGGGAAAAAATAATAGTAGAATTATAATATAATATTGGCCCTGAGTCTCCTCTTCTTTGCGGCTAGTCATGTATTCCTGTACAATGTGAATGTAAAACAGTACCATTGGGATCAGTGAATGGAACATTTTAAATCCACTTTGCACAGATGTAAATGACTACACAAAGTAGGTGGTGGAGAAGTGGGTCCACAATGTTTGTTCCTTAGCAGTTCATGTATTTTGGCTATTTATTATGCACCAGAAGTCATAACCTCTGTGTCAGCATCATAAATTTCCATAGCAACTACTTTAATTATGATGTCACCAGGGCTCCGAAATAGCCAGTACACACTCATGTGCTAAACCAGCACCTCTCTGAAGCTGCTATCTTGTTCCCCAGACTGTCAGATTTAATTTAAAAAAGTGAGTCTCCAGCTATTGTGAAGAAAACCTCAAATATGTGAACCAAATGTAAAGCCATGTTGACACTACAAATGTTGATCGATGCAAGTTATGTCAGCTTAAAGCCGCCAGAATTAGTATCGCTTGTGCACGTACATACTTGGATCCTTGAGTCGGTGCCATGTGTGCTCACCAAAAGTGCTGGTGTTGATGCACGGTGCAGTGCACCATGGGTAGATATCCCAGGGTGCAAATCACCACCATCCAGTGCACTGCTTTTGGGGACGTTTTGGCAATGCTTGGTGAAGCAGAAACTAGTCACGCGGGCTCACTGGGAGCAAAGGGTCAACTTCCCACCTTGCAACTGTCTCCATCCCATAATGTCATCTATACTCCATAATTTTTGCACCTTTCTAAAAATCCCACAAACCCATGTGGCGCACCTTGCTGTCCTCCATCTCTGATAGAAGCATGGAGCCTGCACAACTCTACAGTATTGTCATAAGCTTTGCAAGCCCAGCATGCATGATCCTCCAGTTTTTGCAAAGCCATAAGAAATATTTAATCAGTGGGGAACATGATGATTTCTTGGAGGATGAATTGGTTCTCGCTATGTCCCACAGCAATCAAAGGTTGTTGGTGGCAGTCACAGAGCAGCTGTATATGGTCGGAGTGATGCTTCTCGGTCTGAGAAACGAGCAGTGACTGATGGGATTGAATCAGAATGCATGCTTGGGATGATAAGCAGAAGTTGCAAAATTGTCGGACGTGCAAGGCCACGTTCCTGGCTAAGTGTGCCGAGCTCACCCCAGCCGTCCAGCACAGAGACACCAAAATGAGAGCTGCACTGACAGTTAAGAAGTGAATGGCGATTGCACTGAGAAAACTTGCAATGCTGGATTGCTACGGGTCAAAGGGAAAGCATTCTGGAGTTGGGAAATGTACTGTGGGGTCCGTTGTCATGCAAGTTTCCAGGCCCATTAATCGTCTCCTGCTACACAGGACTGTGACTCTCAGCAATGTGCAGGACATGGTGGATGGATTTGCAGCAATGGGGTTCCTGAACTGTGGTGGAACAACAGACAGCACTCATATCCCTATTTTGCCACCAGCCCACCTTGTAACAGAGTACATAAACAGAAAGGGCTATTTTTCTAGGGTTATGCAAGCACTGGGAATGCTTGATTGACATCAGTGTTGACTGGTCAGAGAAGGTGCATGATGCTTGCATCTTTAAAAGTACAGACTGTGCAGAAAACTACAAGCAGGAACTTTTTTTCCAGACTGACAGATTACCCTTGGCTATGCTGGAATGCTAGCAGTGATCCTGGGGGAACCTGACTTCTCCTTGTTCCCCCGCCTCATGAAGCTGTACACCAGCTACCTTGACAGCACCAAGGAAACATTTAACTACTGGCTCAGCAGGGGCAGAATGACAGCTGAATGCACTTTTGGTAGACTGAAGGGGCAATGCCATTGTTTGCTCAAAACATTGGATCTCAGTGAAAAAAAGATCTCGATGATTATAGCTGCCTGGTATGTCCTGCATAATATCTGTGAAGCAAACTGGGAAAAGTTGCCACTGGGATGAAGGGCGGAGGTGGAGCAGCTGTAGGTGGAGCAGCTGTCTGTTGAATTTAAACAGCCAGACACAAGGGCTATTAGAAGAGCACAACATGGAGCTGTACAGCTCAGGGAGGCTTTGAAAGAGCACTTTAACAGTAAGCCACAGTAATGCAATGTGGTGTACTGTGCGCTACCTGGCCCTGCTGTTCTGGGCACTGTTAGGAATTGGGTGTTGTTCGGTGCACATCTACGACGATAACACTTTCAAAGCACCTATTGATGCTGCAGTGCTTGCCATACATTTATAATTGTTTGTCACTGATCCTGTGAGCTGTGTGACACTGTACAGTAACAAGTAGGTGGGTGCTTTCAGAACTAATAGGCACTCTGCGGCATATGTTAGGAACGAATACAAATGAATTATTTTCCAAATAGAGTTTTATTCAGCAACAAAACCAGTGAAAAGAAAATTCTGTGCTATTTTTAAAAGCAAATACATTAAAAACTTAATAAATGAGTTGAACAGAACTTAACAAGGAGAAAGAACAGTCATGTCCATTTTACCTACATGTACAGCAAGCGTGGCTTTCACAGGTCAGGTTATTGGAGCTGTGGTTGTCCTTAATGTCCCCCTGAGTGGAGTGGCAGGGTTAGAGATGCGGCCCCTGATGCCATAGGGAATGCTGGGGGTGGGGGTTGTAGGGAGGTGCTGTAATGGAGTTCTCCATGGATAGCAAAAGGAGGCGAGTCAGGAAGTGTTCAACCTTGTATGTCCCCAAGAGTGTGCAGCATCTGTGTTTACTGCCAGAGAAGTCCCAGTGTGTCCTAGTGCATCTCCCTCTCCAGTTCCTGGGCCTTTCTCCTGCCTGTCTGCAGCATTCACCCTCCAGGTTCCTTGCTTGCAGCATGTTATTGAACATGTCATCCTGAGTCCTCGTCTTTCTCTTCCTTATCTGGCTGAGGCATTCTGCGGGTTTGGAAGAGGAACCCCTCAACAGCAACAGCTGAAGATAAAACACACAGAGGTACCATTGTCAGTATAGTCACAACTGAAAGTTAAAGGTAAGATTCAGAACTCCCTTCCCTTGCTCCTCTAAAGTTTTAAACAAGACCTCCTTACTGACACTTCTGCTTTGGAGTACTTGTGCACAGCACCACTCACAACTCCAACCATGGTGAATATGGTTCACCAGGAGTAAGAGAAATGAGGCAGGAATTGCTTGATTATGAGTCTAGGGCAATGGCACGGAATACTGGCACCATTTTCCACAGGCAGTGATGATTTTAGCTGATATCTCGACCCTGGAGTAACAAAAGCACAGAGAGCACAGCTGTGACTGGCGTCCCAAAGGCATCTGGGCCCATATGCTGTTAGCCTGTGTACTGAGATGGTGCTTGCCAAAGTTATTGCTGACTGGAGTGGGAAAATGTCCTACCACAGAGTAAGAAATAAGGCTGCCATCCCTAGAAACCTTTGGGAGAGGATTGCAGAATATCTCCATGGGAGTTTCATGATCTCTCAGGAGGATTCAAGGAACATGCCTGTGTACAGAAACAAACTGCTGCGAATTGCCCCCCTCGCCTAACTTTACGGGGGAATGAAAAGCAGATAATAATGCTGCCTCTCTTTGTTGTATCACTACCTCTTCTAATGTGAGTAAATTAATGAAAAGTCGATAGCTGTGTCCTGTTAAGTTGGGGTTGCCATCAGGACATCATTGTATTGGGAAATACAATTACATACTTACCCTAGGTTCCTTCCCCAGCACCAGGCTTGCCTGTGATCAGCTGCCGGGACTGACTGGACTGGAATCTCAAACAGGTCCTGGCTGGAACCCTTAGTCGTATGTCCCACATCCTCCTCCTCTTCCTTCTTCTCACTGTTCACACCAGAGGCTTATGGCTTGGGCTCCTTGGAGGTACTGGCGGTGGTGGGTTCTCTGCCAAGTATGGGGTGCAGCACTTTGTAAAAGTGGCAGGTCCGTGGCTTGGCAGTGGATCAGCTGTTGGCCTCCCTGGCCTTTTGATATGACTGATGCAGAGCCTTTGCTCTCTCCTGGCACTGCTGCTGGTCCCTATCTTACCTCTCCACCTGCATCCCCGTGCAATCCGCTCAGAGATGTCCACGTTTCTATAGTAGCTGTCCTTGTGCAGCCTCTTCTCCCCACAGGCTGAAGAGTCCAATATCTCCTGTCTACTCCAAGCTGGAGCACGACTGGAGTGTCTAGCTGGCATGGTCAGTTGGGCAGCAACACACACCAGTGGGAGCTGCTAGGTGTGCTCACCAAGCTGGACAATCAGGAAAAAGGGTTTTCAAAAATTGGCAGGACTTAAAAAAGGGCAGGGGGCCTTCCGGTCTCCATCACCCCTGGGCAGTGGAGTTCACAATTGTGACCAAAGCAATCAGTGTCGGGCATTGTGGGACAGCTGCTGGAGGACTGTTAGGGTTGACAAAAGACACGCAGTGTCTACACTCATGATGCATTGACCTCAGTACATTGACTATGGCTCAATGCCACTTCGGGAGGTGGTGTTACTGTTTCACCACAACAGGGCACTTAGATCAGCGGGAGACAGATTTAAGGGCAAGCACATGCACAACTAAGTTGATGCAAGATGGCTTATGTTGACATAACTCTGTAGTGCAGACCTGGCCTAAGCTGCAGAGATGTGTCTGCAGAGACCCTGGAGCAATAGCTCTGAGTGGTGTGAACTTCCTTGTTCATTTCTGTGTGGTGTTAATGCAGATACCCAGTAATGATAATTTAAATGTCAACACTGTTGATTACTTCATTGTACATATCAGAAAGGGTGGAGAGGGAAGGATGGATCCACACAAGTTATTGTGAATGACGTCTTATTTTTGTGCCAAAAGTGGGTGGAGTCTGGGAGACAGATCCGCTTATTTTTCTTTCTCTTGAATCAAAGAGCCAAGCCCAATGAGCCCAGTGGAGCCCAGGGGTATATTCAAGACCCACTGAGGAGAAGCCTAGCAGTTCACATGATCATATTTTGAACATCTGCACAATCTACTACGAGCAGCTGTTCATTTGTCAACTCACATGGGCAGAGTATATTTTGTGGAAGCAGTTTGGAAACCACTATGTTCCCCCCTGAATCATACCCTGTTACAGGCATTGGATTATTGATTTCAGCAACGAATAGGCTACAAGAGCAGATGAACACATACAAGTTACAATTGAGTTATCATGCAACTATCCCTAGAAATAAAAAATAGAAAATATGTAATAGACTATATAAGCAACAATGGACTTGATTTCTACTGCATTATTCCAGTTACATTGGCATAAAACTAGAAGGATGCAGTGGCCCCTGGTCTCTAAATAGAGTGTGTTGAAGATTTTTGATGAAGCATCAGCTTTACTCTAATGGTGTATAATATTTAGAAGATGTGAAGAAGACGCAATGCCTTTATAACCTAAATATTTTGCTGCTTTTGGAAGCTTCAATTTATATTTTTCATTTTTGGATTACATTTTAAGGAAAAAATTGGATCAGATCTTTATGGTGATTATTAACTCCAAATGATACTTCATTTCTATAGACAAGTTCCATGCTTGTAGTGATAAAAAATACTAGAGTTGAAATCTATAATGTGCATCTGAGAATTTTACTCTTAAAAATGATGTGGCAGACCATCAGCTAGTGTAAATCAGTGACTTCAATGGAGCTATACAACTTTACACCAGCAGAAGATCTATTTTGATGATTATAAACAGATTTACCTACCTGGAGCCCAGTTTAAATATCTGAGAGGACTGCTACCAATCCACTGCCATCCACAGTTGAAATTCAAACTGTTAAATCCAATCCAGAGAGCAGAATCCATATTTTTAGTTATCTCTAAATTACAAAAGAAATTAAATTAAACTTTGAACCAAAAGAAGTAAACCTAAAAGTAGGAAATTTACATTTCTCAGACAGAACTAGTCAATAAAAATATCGCTTGTCCAACTACTAAAATATATAGATGAAAATAGGAACACAATATACATGTGAGCATATATGTATAAGGTTACAGAGATTTCTGGCTAACAAAAGGAATAAATGAACTTTTTATTTCAGCACTTGGGAAAGAGGTTACTTCTCTGATCTTACATGGCAATACTAAACTTTAGTAAAGGTTGATGAGATCAGGATGACAAAAGCTTCTTTATTAGGGTAAGAGCTATTCCAAAATTATCCTCTAAGTGAGTCCATGGAGTAAACTAAGGAAGAAAGTTACAAACACAGCACATTAAAGAATCATCAGCTCTCTTCTGGTCCTGTTTCAATCTGGTGTTTATGAAGCCTCCTTCATGACCTTTATAAACATTCTGCAAGGAGCATAAATCATTAACTCCATTTGGCATTATTGGAAGTTGAAGCATGTAAAATCCACCCATATTAGGATGAGACTGCCTTCATGTATTCTCTTGGAGTTATAAATAATCACTAAAGATTACAGGAAACAAATTAATCTATAAAAACAACAAGGAGTCTGGTGGCACCTTAAAGACTAACAGATTTATTTGGGTATAAGCTTTTGTGGGTAAAACAAGCTTATGCCCAAATAAATCTGTTAGACTTTAAGGTGCCACAGACTCCTTGCTGTTTTTGTGGATACAGACTAACATGGCTACCCCCTAATACTTGAAATTAATCTATGGTTCAGGTTATGGCTACTCCTGAACAGTGGTGGGAGGAAGCAGAGAATGTGGAGACAACCTTTCCACCAGGACTTGCTTCTTGTTTTTCGTGGAATGCAAGATAAGACCAACTATCATGGCCAATATCACTATGCTCCCCAAAAGGGGAATGGCCACTCTTCCTGTACCGCAGGCTAGTGGTGGCGGTGGTGGGGGTGTTATCCTTTTAAAAGGTGACGTAAATGCTGCTGCCTCACTGAAAATGTTTCTCAGACCATTGAGATATATTTAGAATTGACACAAAAACAGAAAAATCACTGTGGGCGAAACCCTGGTCCCACTGACATCAATGTGAGTTTTTCCATTAACTTCAGTGCAGCCAAGATTTCACCTTGAGTTTTCAGTCTCGATTACTTTGTTACTTTACCTCTCAGGTATGTTTGCTCCTGTATCTCTGTGATGCTTAATAATTCTGCATTCTGTTCCTGGCAGCTTTTCCTTGCTTGGTGCCATGTTAGAGCTGATTGGGAGTTTATCTGGTAGTGGAAACCTGTCAAAGAATCTGCAGTCCAAAATCTTTCAGTGTCACCTGGAAAGGGAAGAAACATATGTAATATTAATTATGATTGACCCAAATAGACTCTGTCATTCAGTCTGTGCTTCTATGGAATGCAAAATCTGTCGGAGTCCACCAATGTATGATATTAATTGTAAAATACCATCAATTTTAAAGCAACAGCAACACTAACATCAAACCAGGAGTTGAATTCTCTTAGCGTATATTTTTGTATAGTCTTCTAAACTTCTGAAATTTTTTTTCAGGGAGGGGGGAGAGCTAGGGGTGGGTGGGTATTTTAAATGTGTTTTTGCTCACAAAATCTAGGGTAGCCTTAAACATAAGTGAAAGGGGAAGGGTGGGCATTCAGATGAGCTGTTGTTTTTGAGGCAGATTCTGCCACTCTTGCTCACCCATGCCCACAGGCAATTGCCTCTGACAGCAGACGACTGGTGAGGTACAGGGATCTTGAGTTCCATTTCAGGCTCTGAAGGTGAGTGTGCTTTAGAGGGCACAGATTCCTTTCTCTCCAGTCTTGAACCCTCAACCTGCCCTGGTCCTAGTGCTGACTCCCAGTCCCAAGCCCATTCTCCTCATCTAGTTAGTCCCAGTCTCCATGCCTCAGGCTACTGGTCCCAGTCCCAATTTCCTTTTTGTACAAGTCCTAGTCTCCCACTCCAGACTCCCTCTACCAGTTTCTCCCAGTCCATGTCTCCCCCATCCTGCTCCAAGTCTCTCTGCCTAGCTATTCCCAGTTCCCTCCACCACTCCCTGATGTGTCCCCCATCTCTCCCCAGTCTCCAGTCACCTATCCCTGCCCATGCTCTCTGTCCCCGCTGGCTCCCAGTGCCAGTCTCCTTCTCCAGACTCCTTGTCTTCCTCTCCCTTGGCTTCTTGTCCCAGTCTGTTTGCCCAGCCAATCCCAGTTATCTCCCACGCAACCCAGCTCCTTGTTAGATCTGTATTCCCTCCCTACACCTCCTCCCCCCTCCAACTGGTTCCAGTTGCCAGTTTTCTTGACCTGTCAGTCCCACTCTCCCCTGGCTTCTCATTCAATTTCAGTTCACCCATCATCCACTGTCTCCCTCTCCACCCATTTCCTTCCCTGGCTCCCAGACCTAGCCTCACCCAGCCAACCCCATGTGTCAATCATCAAACTTCCTTCTAAGACTGCCCCACCCCTTTCTTAGCTATTGTGGAGGAAAGAGAATGGCTATGGACTCATTTCCTTTTCACAACTTCTGGGCTGTCTAGTGCCAGAAGTTGTAGACAGCGAGTACTTACAAATAAAAATATTAATATGATGAGTTCACAGATTATTTACTCACCAGAAAAGGGGCTAAATTTGTAACAAATGTTATTTGTAAAGCATAATTCTTATCAGCTGTAATAGGAAAGACTCCTGTACGGATAAGGGTGATGGACTAGAATATCTATTGTATGTCTATCTAGGTCCAACTTTTGATTGTACAGAAAATCATTAAAATGGATTTTCGGGAAAGAGGAAAAGACTGAAACTTATTTTAGTAAAATTACATACTAAAAACATTGTCTGTACATGTGTTAGATGGGTACAACTGCACTTGAAGTGTTAAAAAAATCGCTTATTGTACACCCAGGCTGTGTAGCTATTATCATATTTCAGACATAGCTGGCAGCCTTGCCAATAGTTAAGTTTGATTGGTGCTTCCCGTTACAAGACCCTATTTTCAGTTGCTTTTTGCCTTTGCCAGAATTTAACCATTCAGGATGAAATTTTCCACATTGGTTGTCTGCCTCAGGCTGAATTTTTCTGGAATGTTTCAGCCATGAACAGATCAGTTGTTTCTGAGACTGATGCTAGATGTTAAAATAAAATCTGGTGGCCTTTACTTTGAGGAGTTCTAATGCCTCAGTGCTTTGGAGCAGGGATTTGAAACTTGGCTAGGGAAAAGCCTTTGTACTAAGGATGTGCCTTTTGCTATCCTCTTAAAAAACTAGCCCTGTGGAAAAAATAGTACATGATCATGTAATTAAAAACTGAAGCATAATGCACATTCACAAGATGGCTCAATTACAGTTGCACAGCCATTCATGGCTATTTAATGATGATTGGTTTACCTCCTGATAGTCATCATCATCATTACCACCATCATAATAAAAATAAGAGTATGTGCGTCTGTACGTAGGTGCACCGTTGGCCCAGTTTTTATAGGAGACACCACTTCCATCTGTCCAAAGAAATGATAACTCACTATTTATATCATTCAATCCAATCCATGTATCAGTCATGACTTCCCTTAATTGGTAGAAGAGGAAGGCTGAAAGGAAGCAAACATTTTAAATAAGGGAACCTCGACATGATTTTCTCCAGACAGAAAAAATGAACACATGTCCACAACTGAGGTCATGGTAAAAACATTTCTCTGCAAAATCCCACCTGCTTGAAAGTAAGGGCAGGTCTACACTATCACCTAAGTCAATCTAACTTGCATCATTCAGAGGTGTGAAAAAGACACCCCTCTGAGGGACGCAAGTTACAGCGACCTAAGCGCTGTCCATGTCTGTGTTATGTTGGTGGGAGACACTCTCCCGCTGACATAGCTTCCACCTCTCATGGAGGTGAAATAATTATGCCGACAGGAGAGCAACTTTCCCATCAGCATAGAGCATCTTCACCGGACACTCTACGGTGGCACAGCTGGTGTACACCTACCCTAAATGTCACATTTTATGGCTTGAATATAGTGTTTGGTGGTGAAATCATAAGGAATATACGCTACTCAAACATTAACTTATAAGAAACAAGACATTTTAATTTTAAAAACCAATGCGAAAAGGAAGGTTTTGAGTATGCTGAAATATGCCCCCCCACCCCCCCCAAAAAAAAATTCCTTACGGTTCATATTGCCAATGAAGGAATAAGATGCACAATGCCTTTGGGTTTTTTTGTTTGAGGTTGTTGTGCAACAGCACTGCAAAAAGACCTGATGACCTTTTATGAGTAATGCAGCATTATTAGAAGAGCTGGTCTAATAATTCATTCTGAATAATTTTCATAACGAATGTATGCCCTTTTTTACAGTTAACAGAATCTTTCACAAACCTATCCCAATTTCTGCATAATTTGTTACTATTCACCAAATGTTTTCAGACTGCTGCCCCTTTTTGACCTGAGTAGCTAGTCAAATTTTGGGGCCCTTGGGAGGTTCCAGTTGCAAGTAGAAATTGATGCAGCCATTGTGATCATAGAATCATAGAATATCAGGGTTGGAAGGAACCTCAGGAAGTCATCTAGTCCAACCCCCTGCTCAAAGCAGGACCAATCCCCAACTAAATCATCCCAGCCAAGGCTTTGTCAAGCCTGACCTTAAAAACTTCTAAGGAAGGAGATTCCACCACCTTCCTAGGTAATGCATTCCAGTGTTTCACCACTCTCCTAGCGAACAGTTTTTCCTAATATCCAACCTAAACCTCCCCCACTGCAACTTGAGACCATTACTCCTCATTCTATCATCTGCTACCACTGAGAACAGTCTAGATCCATCCTCTTTGGAACCCCCTTTCAGGTAGTTGAAAGCAGCTATCAAATCCCCCCTCATTCTTCTCTTCCGCAGACTAAACAATCCCAGTTCCCTCAGCCTCTCCTCATAAGTCATGTGTTCCAGTCCCCTAATCATTTTTGTTGCCCGCCGCTGGACGTTTTCCAATTTTTCCACATCCTTCTTGTAGTGGGGGGCCCACAACTGGACACAGTATTCCAGATGAGGCCTCACCAATGTCGAATAGAGGGGAACGATCACGTCCCTCGATCAGCTGGCAATGCCCCTACTTATACATCCCAAAATGCCATTGGTCTTCTTGGCAACAAGGGCACACTGTTGACTTATATCCAGCTTCTCGCCCACTGTAACCCCTAGGTCCTTTTCTGCAGAACTGCTGCCGAGCCATTCGGTCCCTAGTCTGTAGCGGTGCATGGGATTCTTCCATCTTAAGTGCAGGACTCTGCACTTGTCCTTGTTGAACCTCATCAGATTTCTTTTGGCCCAGTCTTCTAATTTGTCTAGGTCCTTCTGGATCCTATCCCTACCCTCCAGTGTACCTACCTCTCCTCCCAGTTTAGCGTCATCTGCAAACTTGCTGAGGGTGCAATCCACACCATCCTCCAGATCATTTATGAAGATATTGAACAAAACCGGCCCGAGGACCGACCCTTGAGGCACTCCACTTGATACCGACTGCCAACTAGACACGGAGCCATTGATCACTACCCGCTGAGCCCGACAATCTAGCCAACTTTCTATCCACCTTATCGTCCACCTAATCATCTAGTCTAACTTCAGGCAACCTTAATTTTGACATTTCCTAACTTCTGAGGGCCTAATGTAGTTTTTTCTATTACAGCCAATAACTGATGGGATTAGGAAGTGATTTCCTGAGTGAGCGGATTATTCCATAACTGTGGCGGTTCGATACAAGACAGGACACGGCTTTAGGCAAGCAAGCAGGCTGGTCTGCTGATGGGATTGCCCCTGTCAGCTTTTCCACCTCTTTTATTTCTCTCCCCCCCTGCGCATCACATACCCCAACCGACCGCAAAAGGCATCAACAAAGGAAATAATATGACTTTGATTAATATTCCTATTTACTAGCCTCTATCTACTACAATCTTTATTCTCAGGCCTTGAGCTTCGGCCGAGGAAGCTTCCCACGGCTGATGTCCTAATTTTGACTTCCCAGATGGTCCATGTTTTCATGGTCCATGTCCTTGGACAGAACAGAGCAATGTGTGCATTGCTCCTACACAACAGTCAGGGTGTGCCCTGACTGTTTCCAGGTGCATGAACGCTACATGAACCCTTCACATAACTGTACACTATGAGGTTTGTGACACTTTCCTCTGAAGCTTCTGTCACTGGGGCAGTCTCAGAAACAGGACACAGGATTAGATGGACTGCTGGTCTAATCTGGTATGGCAGTTTCTATGTTACTATGATCCGAAGGCCCATTTCTTATCAAACTAAAAATTTTGTTACATTTATACAACAGGCCAAAAGAGTAGAATGTATAACTGCAGTTGTATATTTTTTGCCTTCATTTATAATTGTTATGGGAACTGGTCGTTGCTTCATTTAATACCAAAGGGTTCACACATTATACCTTGGACTTCTTTATTTGGTATGGAAGCCAGGTTTCCTCCTAAATTTATACAAGCCATTCGTGCAGCATGCCACAGCAATGTCTCACTTTCACTTGAGCCAAATATTTTGAAACACTGAAAAAGAAAAAAATCAACTGGACATTTCATTCAATGCTGCAAACCAAATGGAAGCTGTCATATGTGAACAATATTAATTACTCATGTGCTATTCATCTTCCCACAGAAAGAAAGCAAGGATAGGAAGGCTAGCAAACCTTTATGATCTGTAATTTAAACTTTGCTAAACCTGAGCTGAAAACCTTTGTGAATTCAAACAACTTAGAGGTTTCTTGTTAACATTCATTTTATCCCTCAATGACAGGGAGAACATGCAGATTTTTTTAAAAGTGCTTCTCGCAGGAAAACGATTGCTTTCCAGCTACTATATGAAAACAATGCAATAAAATAAAATGGACATAATATTGATTATTTTTCCACATGCAAAGCCTAAATCTGGTGAGTTCTAGTGTAACTGAAACCAACCCCAGTCAGTTTCTGCAGCTCTGAAGAGCCTTATTCTCTTGCATCATAGTTCTATTGTAGTATTTTATAAATTTAAATTAAATTTCTCTGAAGCTAAAACAGTATGAATACTAAATGCTAAAAGTTCCATTATCAATGTGCTTTTATTCTGGCAGTCAGATGAGAAAAAAGTACCAATGGAGGTTTTATTTTGTAGTCATAAATAGATAAATATTTACTAGACAAACTCAAGTAACAAGAAAGTACTGGAGGCATTCCCTGATTGTACTAGATGGATAGTAATTTCCTATAGTCCTCTAGAGTGTGTACTTCTCCTGGCATGACTAGTCTTCCCATATTTATGTGGGCTATGCAAGACATGTATGTGTACATACTCCTGCCACTCACACCGTACCATGCATAAGCCAGGAACCCAAAGTGATCATGATAGACATGTGCTGTGTTGTTAGAGCTTGCTGTGTTTGTTGGGGGTGGAATTGTACAACATATTTTTTAAGGTTTCAGAGTAACAGCCGTGTTAATCTGTATTCGCAAAAAGAAAAGGAGTACTTGTGGCACCTTAGAGACTAACCAATTTATTTGAGCATGAGCTTTCGTGAGCTACAGCTCACTTCATCGGATGCATATCGTGGAAACTGCAGCAGACTTTATATATACACAGAGAATATGAAACAATACCTCCTCCCACCCCACTGTCCTGCTGGTAATAGCTTATCTAAAGTGATCATCAGGTGGGCCATTTCCAGCACAAATCCAGGTTTTCTCACTGTCCACCCCCCCCACACAAATTCACTCTCCTGCTGGTGATAGCCCATCCAAAGTGACAACTCTTTACACAATGTGCATGACAATCAAGTTGGGCTATTTCCTGCACAAATCCAGGTTCTCACATCCCCCCCACCCCCATACACACACAAACTCACTCTCCTGCTGGTAATAGCTCATCCAAACTGACCACTCTCCAAGTTTAAATCCAAGTTAAACCAGAACATCTGGGGGGGGGGGGAGGAAAAAACAAGAGGACACAGGCTACCTTGCATAATGACTTAGCCACTCCCAGTCTCTATTTAAGCCTAAATTAATAGTATCCAATTTGCAAATGAATTCCAATTCAGCAGTTTCTCGCTGGAGTCTGGATTTGAAGTTTTTTTGTTTTAAGATAGCGACCTTCATGTCTGTGATTGCGTGACCAGAGAGATTGAAGTGTTCTCCGACTGGTTTATGAATGTTATAATTCTTGACATCTGATTTGTGTCCATTTATTCTTTTACGTAGAGACTGTCCAGTTTGACCAATGTACATGGCAGAGGGGCATTGCTGGCACATGATGGCATATATCACATTGGTGGATGTGCAGGTGAACGAGCCTCTGATAGTGTGGCTGATGTTATTAGGCCCTGTGATGGTGTCCCCTGAATAGATATGTGGACACAGTTGGCAACGGGCTTTGTTGCAAGGATAAGTTCCTGGGTTAGTGGTTCTGTTGTGTGGTATGTGGTTGTTGGTGAGTATTTGCTTCAGGTTGCGGGGCTATCTGTAGGCAAGGACTGGCCTGTCTCCCAAGATTTGTGAGAGTGCTGGGTCATCCTTTAGGATAGGTTGTAGATCCTTAATAATGCGTTGGAGGGGTTTTAGTTGGGGGCTGAAGGTGACGGCTAGTGGCGTTCTGTTATTTTCTTTGTTAGGCCTGTCCTGTAGTAGGTAACTTCTGGGAACTCTTCTGGCTCTATCAATCTGTTTCTTTACTTCTGCAGGTGGGTATTGTAGTTGTAAGAAAGCTTGACAGAGATCTTGTAGGTGTTTGTCTCTGTCTGAGGGGTTGGAGCAAATGCGGTTGTATCGCAGAGCTTGGCTGTAGACGATGGATCGTGTGGTGTGGTCAGGGTGAAAGCTGGAGGCATGTAGGTAGGAATAGTGGTCAGTAGGTTTCCGGTATAGGGTGGTGTTTATGTGACCATTGTTTATTAGCACTGTAGTGTCCAGGAAGTGGATCTCTTGTGTGGACTGGACCAGGCTGAGGTTGGTGGTGGGATGGAAATTGTTGAAATCATGGTGGAATTCCTCAAGGGCTTCTTTTCCATGGGTCCAGATGATGAAGATGTCATCAATATAGCGCAAGTAGAGTAGGGGCTTTAGGGGATGAGAGCTGAGGAAGCGTTGTTCTAAATCAGCCATAAAAATGTTGGCATACTGTGGGGCCATGCGGGTACCCATAGCAGTGCCGCTGATCTGAAGGTATACGTTGTCCCCAAATGTGAAATAGTTATGGGTAAGGACAAAGTCACAAAGTTCATCCACCAGGTTAGCCGTGACATTATTGGGGATAGTGTTCTTGACGGCTTGTAGTCCATCTTTGTGTGGAATGTTGGTGTAGAGGGCTTCTACATCCATAGTGACCAGGATGGTGTTATCAGGAAGATCACCGATGGATTGAAGTTTCCTCAGGAAGTCAGTGGTGTCTCGAAGGTAGCTGGGAGTGCTGGTAGCGTAGGGCCTGAGGAGGGAGTCTACATAGCCAGACAATCCTGCTGTCAGGGTGCCAATGCCTGAGATGATGGGGCGCCCAGGATTTCCAGGTTTATGGATCTTGGGTAAAGTTACAGAAATATAGAAGCTTTTGGGGAGAGGATACTCGGGGTTCAAGTAGAGGATTGGAAGAGATAGCTGATGTGAAATAGGGGAATGAGTAAAGAGAGAAGTAAACTGAAGGAGAGGAAAATAGAAAGAGAACAGGAATAAGAAGAATGGGGAGAGGAATAGGAGAAGCAAAATGCAGAACTGAAGGGTTACAATGCTAGGAGATGGGTGAGATGAAGTGGGACCAACAACCACAATACTTAGATAACCATGTTTAAGTTCAGCACAACACATCCTAGTGGATACTTAGCAACAGTCATAGTTTAAAGGATAGGAGTACTTGTGGCACCTTAGAAACTAACCAATTTATTTGAGCATGAGCTTTCGTGAGCTACAGCTCACTTCATCGGATGCATACTGTGGAAACTGCAGAAGACATTGTATACACAAAGACCATGAAACAATACCTCCTCCCATCCCACTCTCCTGCTGGTAATAGCTTATCTAAGTGATCACTCTCCTTACAATGTGTATGATAATCAAGTTGGGCCATTTCCAGCACAAATCCAGGTTTTCTCACCCTCCGCCCCCCCCCCCCCCACACACACAAACTCACTCTCCTGCTGGTAATAGCCCATCCAAAGTGACCACTCTCTTTACAATGTGTATGATAATCAAGGTGGGCCATTTCCAGCACAAATCCAGGTTTTCTCACCCCCCACCCCGCCTCCAAAAACCACACACACAAACTCACTCTCCTGCTGGTAATAGCTTATCCAAAGTGACCACTCTCCTTACAATGTGTATGAAAATCAAGGTGGGCCATTTCCAGCACAAATCCAGGTTTTCTCACCCCCCCCCCCCAAAAAAAAAACTACACACACACACAAACTCACTTACCTGCTGGTAATAGCTTATCCAAAGTGACCACTCTCCCTACAATGTGCATGATAATCAAGGTGGGCCATTTCCAGCACAAATCCAGGTTTTCTCACCCCCCCCCCGCACCCCCATACACACACAAACTCACTCTCCTGCTGGTAATAGCTCATGCAAAGTGACCACTCTCCCTACAATGTGCATGATTATCAAAAGTCTGTAAGTCAGGTCTAATATTTCATGGAGAATCTGCTATAGAAAATATCAGTATA